TCTTGTATTTTATACAATTGCTTCAATAACTTGAACCGCCAGCACATAAAACTTGATAGCAACACTTCAGAAGAAGAGAACTCATCTGAGTGGGAAACACCATACTCCACTAATGGCATTTCTCTAAAGTATTTAAACGAAGTTTATGAATGGTGACGAAAGCGATGTACTTGATTTAAGGCTCAAAACATGTGTGTAAGTACCTAGTTATGCATATCCGTGATTCAAAAGACCTAAAGTCAATCTTCGAAGAGTTGCCATTCTACATACACTTACATGGGTATTTTATTTAATTTATGTTTGTAGCTCGACGTCGGCTTCAAAAACTGCACCCAGATATGCGAAAAGAATTTCAAAACTTTATAAAGATTTTTTTAGGGGTAGGCAATATGTATGATATTTCTGTAAGGGAGCAGCGAATGTGTTTATCTCACAGGGATATCCATTTTGCGGTTTCGAAAAAAATAAATAAAAAAAAATGCATATAAAATAATTTTTTCAGGAAATTCCTTTTTTGTTATAAAGTTTGAACTATTTAACCTTGCAAATGACCACATCGCGAATCGGAGAATCTTCAATCCGTGCGAAGTAATTTTCGACCACTTTTGGAACATTTTGGGAGGTTTTGCGATACCCTGTCAAGGAAGTAAGGTCCAATTACATCTCCGGATCAAATAGTGGCTCCGGCAGTAAGTTTTTTTTTTTTTGGAAATTGTTTGGAACCACATATGCGACAATTTTGCTTATTTACGTATTCTCCGAATGAGAAATGTATTGAACAACCGTGAATCATTGTAATGGGCACGTTCAGAATAGATCTAGTAAAAAGTAATCCATTCATTTTGCAATAGATCGTTTAGTGATCTGTATCTCGCGTTCTATAAGTACGATTGGATTACGCTAGATGAGCTTAGAAAGTTGATATTTTGTAAGAACAAATACGCAGTTTTCTATAATTTTTCCCCGACGAAGGCGCCAGGCCACACACATTGATAGTGACTCACCAGTAGCTTTGAGAGCTTAGCCGGTGGGATTTTGGCACCCAAACAAAATGTACAAGATAACAGCGATCAATGGCATACACATAATAAATACATAGATACATATATGTATGCCAGTGCGTTTTTATTAAAAATCTTAACAACTAAATTAAAAGTAAAAGAGCAATGAAAACAAGAATGAATCATTTTACTGCGCTTTTTAGCAATTTTTTGTTTCAGTGTGATACTCTTACACATATGTGTGCGTCTGTGTGGGCGTCTGTGCGTTCTCTTTTCCTTTTATTTTCAAAATATTCGACAGATTGCCGATTACAGAGTCAGTGCTTTGTTCGATTCTAATTGAAATAAATGTGCAACACAATTGTTGACCATGCATTGTTGTTTTGTTGTTTTTGTTTTTGATATATTTGCTGCTCTTTTGTTTTTTCTAATGCCTTCATTGACAAGTGCTCTCTGTGCTTCATTGATATTCATTGTGCGAAAATAAAACTGCTGCAAAGTATTTGCTCAAGCAAGTGGAGAAAAAATTGTGAAATTGCCTGATATTGGCAGACAAATATTTATTTGAAATAAATAATTTAAAATTGGCTTCTGAGTACTTGGGGGCTTTTTTCAGGCATGTCTCTGAAGAACGGTTCAAAAATTCTATGGGTTTAAGGGTTGGAAAAGTTCAAAGAATATTCCTAAAGTTAAAAATATTTCCAGTGAGAAAAGTTTGACGAAAACTTTACCTACAGTCTATACTAAGACGCCTCCGAACGGCGTGCCATATGAGTTAACAAGAAAATACCTTATTGATCGCTGCTGAATTCCAGTGGATCCACCACTTCCAGCAAGGTCAAACGAAAACAACCATGGCCCGATTCTCTATTCGAATCTAAACTGTCAGCAACTTGACCGCCTGAAGGAAGTTCTGTTCCTGTCTATGTCAAATGATTTGGCTGGTGAAGAACTAGCCTCAAGGAAAGCCTTTGGTAACACAGGCTGACAAAGAACATGACTATATTTAAGTTGGCAGATCTCAAAAACCATTCCATTTTTTAATAGGGACAAGTATATCTGTAAGAGGGACATAATATTAATTCAACATACCAAACTTTCTTCGTTTATGGTATGTTTTAGCTTAAATTCCTTCCATCAACATTTAAATACCCATTTATCAGCGATCCCCCCGTTCCACTGCCCCTCACAATGGCGTGCGTGCATTTTACACTCAGACACGCCCCACACAATTACCTACCATCGAACGCCCACTTTCTTGTTGAGCACAACACGCTGCCACGCCCACACACTTGCACACTGGTGCTTGTATACAGTGGCAAGTCATAGTTTCTAGCGAGCAAGCAAGTTTCGAGTTCTAGACTATAGCAAAATGCCACAACGTATGCATGAGCGGCACCACTTCCCACCACTTGCCACATTTGCTTTCAACGATGCCGCACCAAAGACGAGCACCAAATTTCACCTTGGTATGTTAACTGCCGCCCAGTTGCATGTAAATACCAAACAATGGAACACCTTTGTGGTGCCACCATTGATTATTGCTGGTGTTTGAATGTGCTTTCATTGTTGCTACGGATGTTGCTGTTCTTGTTATTATTGTTGCGGCAAATGTTTCTTAAATTGTTGCTGATGGCGTGCGCCTTGTTGCGGTGTTCTGCCAGGCAAGAGCCCGTGCAGTCAGCCGAAGAGCTCGACTAATGTGCCAGGCCATTAGTTTATGCTACATGTTGCAGCTAGCAAATCTTGGCCGCACACATTGCTTCTTGTCTCTGTATCTATGCACTCACCCATATCTACGCGTATATATGGATGTGTGTTTGCATTTATTTATTTATATTTACTTGTTGCACGTTATAGTCACCACATTACATGCAACTCACACAGCGCCTTTCTTGTGTTGTAATACCTTTTTGACTCTCGCCTTGTAAGTGCTTGCAGCACAGACAAGTACTGGTAGGGAAGGCCGCAGCTACAAGCTGAAACAAGCAACCAAGATGCTACCAATGAAGTAAATGTTTTCTTAGATTTATTGCACAAGTTAGAATCTCAATAAATCGCAAACAACTAAATATCTACTTAAGAGGATATTTAAGGATAAATAAGAGCATATTTTGCTAATAATGCTAAAACTCATGCCTGAATAAAACTGAGAGAGTTACTCCCACGACTGGTGATTTCTTATGAGTACCCTAATAGGTATTGATTCTCGTTATCAATCTGGGATCAGTTGAAACCAGACCCTTGAAAATTGACCAACCGGTGGAACCAATGTCTTACTGACTGAGCAATTCAAGCATGGCGACGAGCAGACCATGATCGGACGAAATAATAATTGATAAGAAACTCAGTGTGTTCTTTCCAATCTATAAGAAGCTAATTACCATAGGATAAGCCTCCTCAATTTTCACGTTAACAGTTTGGATCTATCATAGACCAGATACTCACCATGTGTCAAATCTAGGATATGACTGGTGAGAACAGGTAAATGACAGGGAAAGGCCTCCACTTCGTTGTAAAAATCATCTTAAGAATTAAATTGGATAAATTTTTTGATCTCAAGTCTTTCTCTGTATAGAAACTATATTAAGAGATAAAGTTGGATGAGTGCCATTCTATCAGTTTGCTGGTCCGGATATCTTATACAGCTCAAATGTTCGCCATATTTATATCATTAACCATTAAAGCTTTCTTTCATGAGTCATCAACAGATTCGCCTACTCTGAAGTCCTAGGCAATCGTCAAGTTTCCCTCAAAAAAAAAATTGTACAACGCTTAAGAGGGGGCTGTAGGGTGCGAGAAAAAGGCACTATGGAATGGGCATTAAAGGAGATTGGCAAAAAAGGTATACAGAGCTTCCTTTGGATTTTTATTTAATACAGAGAATCACGCTTCTCCGGAATATCGTTTGAAGGAGCTTCTAGTTGATAGCCAAACTCAACTTTTTAAATTTTTTTCTAGGCAAGTTGCTTCCAAAAAAATATAAAAAATAAATAAATAAGATTTGTGTCCTTGATAAAGCTGAGTTTTGAACCAAATTTCAAGTGCTCTCATACAACTCTCCCCAATTGAGAAATGAAATTTTATAAAAATAACAATGAATTTTATTTAATCAACCATATATTTTTCAAGAGCTCTACCGACCTACATTCATTTACCTTAAATTGAATGCCTTAATTTGCTACTGCTTTCGTGAACTCACATTCTGTTGGGCTGATTTACTCAGGTGAAATAAGGAGAACACACAGAAGACGTATATATGTTGTATATATAATGCATATGTATGTATATATGTATGTATGTTCCTATGCTATATGTAGCCTTGTTGCACAAATAGAAACAATGTAGATGGAAAACAATGAAAATAAAACCGTAATATGTACGTAAAGTCTACTTTGGTTACTCGGGTGATTGGAAATCGCTTTGGCAACGTGTTAAACAAAAATTGTTATTTGTTTTATACAATGCGCTTGCCACATTGCTCTTGCCACAATACCTGATGCAGTAAAGTCTGCAAGTCAAAGCGGCTCAGTAGAGTTTTCCCCCAAAAAAAGAAAAAAACGCAAACAAAAAATCCATTTCGCTTGGTTTATTGCGTTGCCTAGATGCAGAGAATCTCTGAAACAACAACAGCTGCTTCTATGAAATAACAAAAAAAGAAAGAAAAAAAAAACAAGTACAACAGCTAACATCAAAAAAATCCACCGACGTAATAACAACACTAAAATATTTTTTTGTTTTTTCCTCATACGCATTGGAAAAAAATCCATTTCCCACAATTTGGCACACGCTGTGGCAAACAAGCTAGCGGAAAATTCAAAATTTCAAATGAATATTAAAAAAAAATGAAAAATATAAAATCAACAGAAATTAAGAAAAGCAAATAAATACAGAGAAGACGACAGTAAGTCAAGCGAAAACAAAAAACAAAATAAATAAACAGAATTGAAAAACAAAAACAAAAACTAAAAAAAAATAAATCTAAACATTCAACAAAAATATAGCATGCGAAACAAATTCACATAACAACAAAAACGATATGACATTGCGAGAAAAAAACAAGAGCCAGAAAAGTCATGTTGAATTCATCAGTTTAGGAGAATTTTTCCCAACAATCGACCGGGCGGAAGGAAATTGCGCAGAAAAAATCGGGTTTTTCGCAAAAGAAAAAAGCAAAAAATTAAGAAATAATCATACGCTTGCGTGAGCACTTTTCAAATAACGGTGTTGTGCGCTAAAATTGTGTTTGGGCATCGCCCGAAGCCTTAAGAGTGAATCCCTTTCGCGGTTTAAAGCGGTGGGTCAGCGAGCTCAGCCGCGAAAGTTATTGCGAATGTGTACAAATACAACTTGAAAAAAATATATATAAAAGCCAAAAGTTAAAAAATTATTGGTAAATGTTAAAATTTATATAAATATGATTCTTCTTTCACAGCATTCTTATGAAAAAAAATTAAAAAATTAAAAAAGTGTTTTACAAAAAAAATATATAAGTACTTTTATTATAATACTACATACATATATGTATCGTAAAATTTGAGTAATATTTCTTGGTTTCAGGTTTATAGGCCTTCACAGTTTTTGAAAGATTCTTAAAAAGTAATGAGATTATGATAATTCAAAATTAAATTTTTTATATTTTTTAAGACACTTCTGTTCTCATGGTCGAACCAACACACGCTGAGCCTGGCATAGTACCTTAAGTTGAGTTTGAGTTGATGCGGCCGTTGGTTAGCATCCAATGCACTTAGGCCAATAGGCACATTGTAATACCGCTGTGAGACTCCTTTGCTCACCATTTCGTTTACTTTATAAAAATATCGAGATGACTAAGTTTTGCTGAAGCAGTGTGGGAGAAGTGTTTCCCGAAGAACTTGAAGATTTGAAAGCTGGACAGTGAAAAATGTAGTACTCAATAGACTCTTGCCATCATTCGTCCTTCGTCCAGCCGTGGCAGTTACCTTTTATTAAGGGAATCGGTCCAGAAGGATAAGATGTTTTGATTTGTTCGAGTCCAATTTTGGCCATAGCTGTCTGGTCATATTGCATGTGATCTGTTATAGCCATCTAGAATTAGCTTCTTTGGCAAAGGTCAGTTTAACCATTTAATTTGCCGTGCAAGAAGGTGAATCTGCAAAGCGGATAGAATCCTTCTCTCGCCTGTTCATCTACGACGTAATAACCTGGACTTTTTTTTGGAGTTTTGACGGTTGGAATATATCGTAACTGATTGTGTTGCTACCGTAGAATTGAGCAGCCATACGGCAGCTTCTAAAGATTGCAAAGAGTTCTGCTGCGGTGGTATGCTCCCATGCTTATATTTATTGAGAGCAACAGAGAGTGGATTTGACAGTTCACTCTTTTATTTAGCTGATCATCGTTCCCTGATAAAGGGAGTTTGTGTTTTCAACTTCATTTCTGGAGAAAGCAAGTTGAGGATACGAAGAGCGCCTTTCCTAACCTTGCTGTCATATCCAGGCTCTAGTTGAGTTTGCTATTTAAGATTATCCCGTCCTCGTGCTCTCCACGGCTGACTTTTCTGGCTTTTGTTTAGTAGAGGTTGTTTATAAGGATAATTCTAGGTAAATATAACCCAGTTCCCTACTATGTGTATGACATTTTGAAGCAGATCGCAAAATTTGTAGCTGAGGGCAATGTCGTGAGCGGATGCCACCCCACCACAGCCTGTGCTGTTCAATTTTCTAAACGGTATATTTGCTGTGAGACACCACAGCAGTGGAAATGAAACTCTTCCCATTTAACGCTTATCTGACTCTGTTCCTATTGGCGACCCTTTTTCAAGAACCTCAATGAAGAATGCTGTAAAAAGTCCGTTCTACGTCCAGGAATAGCATGTTGCTTAATTGGGTAGTTGTCTGGGGTAGATTTAGGCGTATATAGGTGTCCATCGAGCTAGCATAGATTTTTAAGATGAACGAGTTAACTGATGGAACGAAGATACCAACTAACCCGGAATATTTACAGGGTTTTAATGACTTCATCCCTGAAAATGGGTGTTTATAAGGATATTTAATATATCATAACAAGATGTAGTCCATTCATCAGTTCTAGAAGAGAACTTTCCTAAGTCTTTTACCTTTCACGTTTCTATCAATGCCTCTATATAAGGCCTTTCTTTATAGTGACTTTGAAAGATTTTGCTCAAGCTTTCTTTCTTTTCCACCGCACGACCTAGTCAACACAGCCCTGTCTCTTGATTCACTGAAATATGTACACATATTTTTTCATACTTCTCATACAGGTCATTGCTCCATGGGCTGCGCTCTTTCCCGTTGGCGATGCGCAAAGGACCATAAACCCAGGTGAAAAGCAGTTCAGTCCATTAGCCATCAGTTGCCGTCGCTTAGTTATTACACCTTTACAGGCATCGTTGGTTGAAGATTCGGGCTTTCCATCTGCGTGTGTTGCATTTGCACTGAAATTTGGCCTCCTTAAGCTCTGCATTCTTTGGACATCGGTCATCGGATAACATCCTTGGTTTTTACATAAGTATGCTCTGTTATTAAAACCTGCAGTAAGTCGCCGCATAGAATTTTCTCTTGTCGGTCATCTTCTCAAGCACTTCGTACTCACGCATTTCGGTCTCTCTGTTTTTGTCTGCAAAAACGTTTTGCCTCCCTTTTCAGTAATCAATTTCCGAGCCATACCGCATGTGTTGCACTGGAAGGCTATCTTGCGATGTAGGCTAGCAAAGTTAGGTCTCTTTCCAATGAAGCTAGATATACCTCGACATACCAGCTCTTTTGGTAGCCTCACAAAAAATCAACACGTTCCCTTATAAAGAGCTGCTAATGGGTGTTTTGAGAAGGCAGGATAAAACTCATTACTGTCGCCAAGCACTATTTTAACATCATGCCCGAGGTAGCACTAATACAATAGAAAGTGTTTGTGGTTACATCGTCCGGGTAAGGTAATGTTAGCCATTTGTCTCAGGTGGACATCAACTTACTGGGCAGTGATACCTTCTCTATAAAGGGAAGGTACATGCCAGATGAATGTCTTAAATCATGATCCTTAAAATGTTTGCCTCCAATTCGAGGCTTGGTGGTGTAAATATGTTGTGGCTCCCAACCCTACGCACAACCGAATTGGGCTTCGTCTTCTCACTTAACAGAGCTTGCATCATATTCTCCTTATTCTTTTTGCTATCCATTCCTTACACTAACCGTCCTGCTTTATAATTCGGAGGTATGAACGATTCAGCGAATCTAGAAACAGGGGCCCCAGCTTATAATCGCGGCAGCGGTGTCTGCAGTAGTAAAGAAAGGGGAAGCAAGAAGAAGCAGAACGAGAATGATGAGCGACTTGTGGAGTTTAGTTTTAGTTTGTCGAGAGAGAACAGGAATGAGCCTACTTAGATTCCGAGGCAAACACTGCCCTTGGTGCTGGAGCTCGTTCCAAGATAGGTTAAAGTAGTGACCGTCAAGAGTGGCTTGGGACCCAAAAGATGAATGCGGTTACAATGTGTTTGATGTCATGAAAATTTTCTTTTTGCCTTCCCAGCTGGCAGTTCGTTTCGCGAAACGAGTGATTTTAAGATACGTACATACAAATGTATTCGATATATGCATATGGAATTTGCTTTTCCATGTAAAAAAAATCATATCTAAACAAAATTTTTTTTTCTAATTTGAACCACCCTAATATCGTATATCTACTTCTGCCCAGCAGCACAGGTAATAGTAGTTGGATGCCATTGTTTGCTTTAAACTTTGATTTGCATGTTCAACGAAATGTAAAAATAACAAACTCATCATACATACTTGCACCTCACATTCCTCTGCAACAACAACACCTACAACAATCAGTCAAGTGATTGCATTTGATTTACCAACTATTTTCTGCCATTTTCCAGATACAACACGTACCACATTTGGAGGCAAGCAGCCGAACTGCCGAGAATCAAATCTGATCTAAGGATTCCAATTCGATTTGCGCCAAAGGAAACCGCAATTGAACTGAAGACAAGCGACGCAGTCTCAAAACCTTAGTAACACACACACACACACACAACTGAATCTGCACACATACATACATACAGCACAATGGATGTTGATAACCGTCTACTGTGGTTACGTTACGTTATCAGCAATATGTTGGGTGTGGACGATGCGGAATGTGTGAATGCCTTGATTGAGAATCACATTGAGGACTTCACTCACTTTCTCGATGACAAATGCATGAAGAACTTTGATATTAAATCGGTGTTGCTGACGATTTGGCGCACATACTATGACAAGTTGGTGGAAAAGGAGATTACCGTGTTGGAGGAAGGTGAGTGCCAGAGTGTGTGGGAGAGGAAAATGCTCAGAGAACGAGCTTAGGAATAGATTAGAAGTATGTTGCTAATGAAATGAGCTAAGGGGCGGATTAAGTATGAGACTGGCGAATGGCGAAGGCTACTTGTACAGTAATAATAACCAAATACCGTAAAATGGTTGTAGCAAAGTACCCATGGCACATTTGAATTACGTCTGCATATTCTATATATATATGTGTATACGTTTCTTGTTCCTCGACTCAGTTTTGCTGCATTCAATTGTGTGCTTGCAACAAATTCAGGTGCTACATAAACAAAGGGAGCAAACACCAACCACAACAAAAGCGTTGAGCCATATCTCCAATGTTCTCACCGGTCTTCGTCGACTATTGAGGCAATTGTAACAACAATACCTTAATACAGACATAAACAACAAGTAAACTAGTGAAGTTCGTAGCCAAGTTAGGGAAAAGAGCTCTCAACCCAGCCATGCAAAGCGGCGTCTCTTGAAACTGCAGAGAAGTGAAGGTAGTAGTGCACATCTGTGCTCGAGTGCTTGGGTCACTTGAAGTTGAAAATCCAAAAATTTGGTCCGTTATTTTTCTAGTGGCCGATTTTTTGAGGAGTTCGCATGGGCAGGTTACTTTATGCTAAGTAGCGGCCTTTTAGGGAAAAAAGAGGTTTGAAATCTAAAGCCAGAATACACCAATGCAAATAATTCGATCCTCGGAAGCCTTTGTTTTACCGTCTGCATGATGCACACAACCTCCGATTACGGTTTCAAAAGAAACATTACTAAAGAAAGTTCATTAGACAAGGAGGGGGGCGAAATTCACACTCAAAATCTGACATAGAGACGGAACGGTCGCAGTCATCTACAGCCAAGGCACGCTAAGACCCGCATTATTAGTATGTTGGGATAAAGCCTAGATAAGTAAGATTTAAATTATGAATGAGCGAAATCTGGAGGTTTGAAGTCATGGCCTTCTGAATATTATTTTTAAAAGTCAGTAGGCTTTTCATTTCCAAATGGTTGCAGCGAGATTTATTACCAGTCTGCCGGTTACACTGTATTTCGGCGTTTCTTTGTCTTAGCTTTAGGAGAGAGCTTCGAAGCGTAAAATTCGACGCATTAGGTTGCTTTAATTTCGATTGCTTACCCAGAAACTCCACCGCTGATTGTGGACCACCCAAGTACTTACGGCCAATGTCGACAATAAATACTGGGTAGCAAAGTGCGTCGACGGCAGGAAAGTCTAGGATATTTTTCCGCGAAGTGGGTTTTTGTTGATATCTAGGTTTATCTGCATACTTATGGTGTTTGGTGAGGCAATGGGAGAACACTCAAAGCAGAAGGCTTTTGCTTACATTGACTACTGAGAAGGTGCTTTGCTGTGAGTTCTCATTTGGATTGGAGTAGTCTTAAGTTTCTCAAGCATTTCCTTAAGCTCCTTCCAAGTATTTTGCGCTGATGCCTACAGTGACTTTAAGCAACATCTTTGGTAACGGCTTGGATCTGCCTTGGTTGCTTGCCGCTGAGCAACTGTGGTCATGTACCCCTATATTTAACATTTATCCTTGTAAATACATCCGCGCAGGACATGTACGGAAGTATTCAATGTGAGTGAATGTGGCGCGTAGCAGGTGTTGAGGGATTTACGCTGACAAAGCTCAACACTGACCAAACAGACAATTTGCATTTATACACAAATTCACAAACAAATCCGTAGGCACATAGAATGAGGCTGGCAAGCAGTTGCAATGCAGTGTTTGGAGGGCAGTGGTAACTGGTGTATGTCGTAAGAGGTCGGGCACAAACTGGGTATGAAACGAATCTACGATCATTGTTTGGAAAGGTAAGGCGCTTGGTGAGACTAACCCCCACCGCACGAGACTACTGCCTAGCGAAAAGCGTGGAGGGCTAGGGACTACAACTTGTTTCCTTCTGATACCTCCCTTCCAGGGATACCTAGACAAATCCTCGGTTTCGAGAGCATCGACCATTGACACATTGTTTTTAAGATTGCACAACTCGTTTTGTTCCGTTAATTAAACCCAACAAAGTGGTTTCCGATTAACTAAGCATTAGTTTTTACCTTCACTTCTGGTTAATCGAAAGGAAGTTTATTATTTCCAGCTCCGATTTCGGCTACGCATGAATTCCGGTCTCTCCATCATCACTGCTATTCCATAAGGGAGTATGTAAGATGTTAAAATTGACACAACCTAAGTATGATAGACTGAGCAATGTTGTTGTGGCTAAGCAGTTCACTGCAATGCCGGAGACTTCATGCTTGGACGTCAAAGTTGATGATGGGCTGAAGGCAACAGCAGCAAACAAACCCCAAAGACCAACAACTTTTGGATATCTGCCAGCAGCTGACTTGGCACTGGCTGACAAGAAGCAGACTGGCAGGCAACAACAACAGCAACAACACCGTAACAGCAACAGAACCTACATGCAAGCACACGCGGCGAAGACAGACAGCTCAGCAGGTGACGCGGACAGTTGTCTTGGGCCGTGTATGCAGAGCTGCCGCTGATCGCATGGAACATTTCCAACATGACACAACAAAGCGTGCTACACAACGTTGGCGCGCTGCTCTAACGGTGCATACACCTGCATGTTTCATGCATATTTCTTAAGCTGTTCGTTACTGCGGGCAGTGGGAAGACAACACATTTCATGGCAGCTAAGGATCCATTAGTACAGCTTACAGCAATATATCGACATCATTACAGTTATTTGTTGTATTTATACGTATATATGTATGGGTATTATAATTACTTGGCATTTGATAGGGTGGGGGGCGGTTGATTGGGGGGAACAATGCCGATTGAGTTTTCCCTTTGCTGTGGTGAAGTGCAAAACCGGAGTAAAAGGGCAATTGTTTTTGGTGTTGCTATTTACCTAAGCACCTCTTGCTTATTTAGCAATTCTACTGTATATATTGCTGCAGTACATAAAATTAGTGCATTAATTACATACCCAAAATAAGCAACAACAAAGAAGTTATGTGCAATTGTGTTAATTATGTGTGCACATATATGTATGCATGTGAGTGTTCTTCTCCTTGTTTATTACAGCAGACACCACTTATGCGTTTTTAACCGATTAAATAACAACACACCATTCCTCTCTCCCCTTAGCCGCTCGGCAGCAAGAGAAACCAAGTCCTGCTCCACCTGATTATGCCAATTGAGTGTGAGATCCTCCTTTTACACTGGTTGCACCGGCGAGTACTGCCTTGAAAACTTTCAAATATAGAGAACTCTTTATCTGGAAGACATGACCCAACCGCCGTCTTTAGGTTCCCTCAACTACATATGTCGATGTCGCTGTATAACTTGTCAGCTATCGTTCCGGTGATTAGAATACTCGCCGCTGTCATAGCAAAAAGATCAATAAATCGATCCAAACAATTTCTTCCCCGAAAACTCTAAGCGCCAACTTATTGTATAGCATCACATTGAGAGACGGAACTGAAGAACCACTTGTAAATATTAGTTTTTGTTTGTCGAGAAGGAACTTTACTTTTCAGATGCTCTCCGATTCTATCGGAGCTTTTAATGTTGCTCAGGGTTAATTCACACAGTTCATTCACAGTTCAGATATAGGCTGTTCATATTTATGCCATCCTTAAGATCGACGAACGAAGAGACCGAGTCTGTTATATAAGGCATATGTGTGTTGCCAAGGATTTTAAATTTACGGTAATAGACACAGATGTGGGGTCCTCTTGGTTATGGATTGCGCATGGCACACTGATGCTTCAATTCCTTATCCTTGCATATTGTCAGTAAGACATCTTTGTTATTCTTTAAGCGGGTAATCGCTATTCGAACTTCATAGTCGGCAAATGTATTGTCTCTCCCGTCATCATCAATTAGGAATTCGTGTTCATCATCTCCGGGAGACTTACTGTCATTCACCAAGATCGGAAACCATTTACCACCTTAGTTGCTACGTAAATATGCTCCGGTCCTTAAACTTTCTCTACAACGTGGCAGCGCTTTAAAAAGTTTTTGGTTGCCAATACAGAGAGCTTTTCAAACTCTCTAAACTGAAAAGTTTGTCCCTCACATTTTCTGCAAATCCAAATGCTTTCCAGTGCTTATGTCCATCTGTTGGTGTCCATCAAGCACGGCACACGTTGCAGTTGAACCAAACATTGCAAGATAGGAAGTCCTCCTTCTCCCGACTAAATTGGGAAAACTCTCAACATAACTGCTCTACTTCCGTCATTTTGGAAAACCAATAATTCCTTTGTTGGAGGTGCATAGAAGGTTCAGAAGCCGATACACAGTTCCCTCATATCGAGCAGACTTACAAGTCTTATAAAAGACACCTGCAAACCGTCCGCCGCGATTGCAGACTTCAGACCAGTGTTTGAAAAGGATTAAGTACTTAAGTACTTAAGTAAAAAAAAAACGGCAGTGTTTATTCGGTTCAATCAGCTCACGACTTCCGGCTTGCCGAACAAAGTTTTCTCTGGACAGTCAATCTTGCATTCTATGCGAGATATGCGCAATCCCTTTTGCTGTCCCTTTATCCGCCTTCAGGGTATCTGAAACGAAAAAAGACAAAAAAAAGCATTATAGAGGATTGCATTAACTATAAGCTTACCCACGATTCAGGTACAAAAAATTATATCCAATCAAGAGATCCATGCCAAATTTACAATTTTATGTCCATCAAATATCAGAGGGTTACTTTATGCCTGAAATAATGCTGAAGACGATGAAAAAAGTTTCAAATCGATGGATGGTCGAAAACGTATTTGAATAAAAATTTATATGGCTGATCTCACATGTTTTAAGATTACGCCACAACTATTACAGTAACGCATCTGGGGTCGAAGTATGCTCTTTCCGAAGGTATGAGTAGACCGAAGATTGCCAGGAATATTGAGCCCATCAAGTGGGAAGGTGTCGCTGTTCTCATGGCTGACATCCTCTCCGTTCAAGAAATGCAATGAATGGGACAAAGATGGAAATAGAAGGGTTGTTTATAAAATCTCTTACGGCGGTCATATGTCGAAGTGTAAAGTGAGTGAGTAGTTGGAGAAAGATTCAGTCTCTCCGTTGGATGAACATCGAGCCATAATTGTAATAATATTTTGTACAAAACAAAGTGATTTCAGATCGGCAATCATATATTTGAAGAGTGTTTTTTTGTTGTTGGTCTTTTCAACAGCTGTCAGTTGGTTTCTACTCAGCTCAATTTGCCATTTCATAATGTTTAAACTTACGCCGAAACAACGTTTGCAAATCGCGTTAATTTATTAACAAAATTTTAGTTCAAGTTGCGCAACACATCGACAATATTCGGACGCATCGAAATGGGTAATTCGTACAACCATGGATCGGTTTCACAACACATCTACTCTAGTGGATAATATGCAATAAAGTGGTGAAGAACCACCATCAAGTGTGTCACATGTTTGCTGAGTGAGCCGAACGCGAGATGGCCATCGATCCCGATTATCACGAGAAAGTTTTGTTCTTCTTCGCTGACTTCTTCGTCCACGTTTAGTACAATGAATATAAATTGGTTAAAAAACAAAATCTTTGCATTTGGAGGGATCCCCAAGCCATTGTTGAGGCGCCGTCAAATTCTCCAAAAATCGCTATTGGGTTTGCTCTATGGGCAGAGGAAAACATTGTTCCATGTAAATTTAACCATGTATCCGGACAATGGAAAATGTTTTAGAGCATAGCTAATAATATTTTCGTTCCTGAATAGGAAGATATTGATTCGAACGACCTTTGGTTCCAGCAATACGATGCTGCATGACAGATTACGAAACAGTCTTTCAATCAATTTATTGATGGAAACTTTAGATGACTGTATTGGCAACGCGGGTCTGTAGTTTTTGTCGGGTGGGTGATGTAAAGTCCCTTGTCTACGCAGATAAGCCGGAGACGATTAACGCCTTGGCAGAGAATATTCATTAATTGTTATTATTTCAACTTGTTTTGCTCTCAATAGTGTGGTCTATGTGATGACTTTCATGCTACCATAAGCCTTTGTCGTAGTTCTTATAAATGAAGACTCCTGAATCGTGGCTTCTCCTTAATTTTGTTTTTAACTTCTACTGCATTCACTTAAAAGTGTCTTTCGAAATTTGAATCATCTTTTCATTAGTTTTGTAGACATTTATTATTATTTATTGACTCATTCTTTATTTAAATTAATTTAAACACCAATTTTCTGTTTGCAGTAATTGAGCCTCCTCCACCCAAACCGCAGAAACCAGATAAACCAGGCAAGAAAAAGGGGAAACCGGCAGCAAAAGGTGAAATTCATATGCGCAATTTTATGGTTCTGATGCATAAAAATCACTTTCCACCACAGGTAAAGGTAAAGCGACACCGGCTGCTCAGCCCGCAGCAACGTCAGCACAGCCAGCAACCGATGAGGAATCACCTGGCGAAACTGGCGGCGTAACCGATACGGATGGCGGTACCAGTATTGGTCGCACAACAACAACAACAGAAGGCGGTTTAACTACAGAAAATGAGGGTGAAAGCCCTGATGAGGGTATGCAAAGCGGTGTTAGTTCGGTGAAAACAGGTGAGAGTAAATTTTTCCAAATAACTTTTTATTGATTCACATATATCGTACATATTTACTTGTTTAGATGACTTCCAAAATTCTACTTAAAATAATCAACAAATATCAAACTATACGATTTTTTACTTAGACAATCATAATTAAATATTACAGAAAGATAATGTATATCCCAGTAGGAAAATCTGTTCCAAATATTTTTAAAGCGATATCTACATTTTATTTTTAAACACATTGACAATCCTATTATGCGCAATTTAAAAATTCACCATCTTGCTTATTTATCAAGATTAACAATTTATCAAGATTTTTCTATTCTGTATCATAAATAAAAATCTCTTTTCTTGATAAATTGTAAAGATGTCAAATGCTCTTGACAGTGTTTATTTGTTTTCAAATAAAACATCTTTTTACTGTTTGTGCATAGTTCTGAATAACAAATTGTAAGTACGGATAATACATATTTTACCTATATTGTTGTTGTTGGACGAAGAGGAAAAAGGGATCGCTCGCATCTTTTAAGAAGCAAAAAAGCAAGTTAACCGTTTTCGTTAAGTGATAACACATTTACATAAAATTTTCGTTTGACTTGCGAAATTAGACGTCATCTCATAGACGAACTGGCCCCACATGATAGCCGTAGACCTCACTGTCTTTAATCATACCAAAAAGTTGTAGGCAACAACTTCGACTTGGCCATGTGTCAGTCGTTTCTTTCCAGAAAATTTGATTTTTGTAAAGATAAAGAGAGGAGAATTAAAATTTCCCTTTTAGCCAGAAAAAGAAACTAAATTATAAATATTTTGTTAATTTGTCAAGTGCACAGAATAGGGCTGTGAATCGTTTTTAATATTTCAGCTCTTGAGTTATGAAATCAAGAAGAATAAAATGTTCCTTTTCTACTTAAAAGCAAGCGTTTTCACTACGACTTCTGCCGAATTTCTCTATGGGACGAATTTCTCGTTGGTTGCTTTCAATAATTCTCCACTATTTTGTAGAACCAGTCAGCAAATTAAGGGTCTGAACTGAACTTGTGGTTAATTCTAAAATGACTTAAATGCTTTTTATATCAAAGAAAAAATAGAGACCTAGAAGAATATCTTGCCTTTATGCTAGATATTCGAATACATTAGTCCCACTTCAGGGTTTTCTTACTCCTACTTTAAGAAACACACTCTCGGAAGATTAGTGATATGATCTCTCTCTTCGGCAACTTAAACAAGCATCGCTTGCTATTTAATAGCTTAGTAAAGTCCAGAAAGTTAACACTTAAGTTGATTATATTAAGCGCTTAATTTAATGGTGTAGATCGTTAAGTAGCGGTTCTCGTAAACATTACTGCTGCACCGGGAAGAACTCAAAACTTGTGGCTTAAATTCATATAACATGACCAATTCTGGGATCGCTGTCAAGTTGATCGAAACTGACAGCAGCTGAATACTGAGTCGCTTCTGCTGTCGAGGCTTGGCAACAATTACTCGAATAGCCAAAGGACGATCATGATCTTGTGGGCTGCTTGCAAATAGTCATGATAAGTCTGTTCAACCTCTCTGGCTATCGTCTACCGACAAAATGGTCTAGTAGTTAGGGAGAAATTCTCCAAGCATTTTCTTTCGACCTTCGAGAGGGAGGTTAAGATATTTTCAAGAATTGCGCATTATTATTTGACCTTAACTTCAGCCATAGTACTGATCTCGATAAACCTGACATTTTCTAAACTAGATTCTCAATTATCCAAGATGGGAGAACTCTGGTTCGTCGTAACTAAGGTTTATCGACGAAGCACTTAGCCTAAGGATTCTCACCGACTCTTTGGTTGTTTTACTTTCCACCGTCAGTGTTTGCGGTAGGTTGTAGCCGTATTATAATAGACAGCTCCCTTCCAATCCAGCCATATACTCAGCATCACTCCTGGATGGTATTTGCGTTCGTATACAACCCGACCAACTCAATATATATAGGTCACCCCTCGACAAGGAATATTTAGCTTTATGAGTTTATTTCTGGTATGAGAAAAGTATTTATCTGACCGTAATTCCGTTCATAACATTTTTTTTTTTGCTTTCGTTCTTGTGACACCAAAACGTAGGCTTTCTTTGAGGAGCCAAACTTTTAAAATGAATCCATACTTTTACTTTGGTGATTCCCAGTGCCTTGTATGTATATCCTTTGGCGGCTTGCATTCCAGTCTTGCTCCAACAGTTGCAGAATTTCATCGGCTCTTTTTTGGTGACTGGGTGGCCAGAGAAAGATGTGCCTTTGATATTAAAATTTCTGAAACCGAATTGAGTAAGCCACTCTTTCGCCATTTTCCCATCAAGACAAATATGACATGAATGGCAACTTACAGAATCCCTTCTCAAAAGGGCAACTTGAAGTCCATCAAGTGAAAGCAAATAGCAGATTTTAGGAAAAACTTTTGAGATACTGATTTGTTCTGTACTTGAACCAACCAGCTTAAGCTCATAGAGAACTAAGACTGAAAGAAAGATAGTTGAAAAGATGAAGGCGCATTATCCGAATGGCCATCAGTTCGAATCTAAGTCAGAACACAAATCTGAATCTATTCCATAAATAAATTCCATTCACATGCCTCAACCGCTCGTATTTTCGATTTGAGATAAAAAGTTCCTAGTGAAAGTCCATCATCTGCTTAGAGGCGGCTTAGAAAAATAAGGCTGGTTTCTTCCTTTATTAGAAATACGATGAAGACTCAAACCACAAAAGATAGAGGCGGCGGTTATAAAGATTATAGATTCTGCCAGAAACATTTTCCTACTGGGTTATATTACTAAGTATACGAATATATATATGTATTTATACATTTAATTTACATGCCATACACTTAATGCTACATAACTTTTCTTTCAAAAACAAAACATAAAAAACAACATGACAAACAGCCAGCGATGATGAGGATGATGACGGTAATTATGGAAAAAGTTTTCCCAAAGCTGATTCTTAACTATTCATCTTGTGCATAATTCATTTGCATTTTTCGTTATTTTTCATAGTTTTTCCGTTATTTTTGCGTTTTTGTTTAAGCGTGATTTCTGCACCATTCAAATTCCACCGCACACTTTCGCACTTTCGTACCCTCGCACTATCGAACCCATTCCCCAGCATCTGTCTTATGCCTCCCTTCCCGCGACTTTGATTCGCTGAATTATTGCATCCATTGTTTTGCGATGCAGAGCTGTGCAGCGCGGTGCGGTGCGGTAAGGCGTTGCGGGCGCTACCCATTTGCGGTTGACTAAAATGAAATGGACATTGCTGTTAGTTAATCTCGATGTTGGCAGACGACGTCGCCGTCGGTGGTAGCGCGCTCTTGTCACAACTAAATGCTGCGCTCAGCTATTAAGTGAGATTTGGCGGATGACGGTGGTGGTGGTTCACCAATGCAGCCTTCTAAGCAAAAAACAATCAGCCATCGACCGGGAGCGTAGCCAAAAATTGCGGGACGCTCTTTCGATTTGCGGCTTGGCCTTGACTATGCCCCAAGTTGTCGTACTCTGTGGAAAGTGGCGCCGGGGTATGTGTGTATGTTAGGACGACGATGTGGGCGCATGCCGGAGCTTAGCAGTCAAAAGTAGTTTACGCAGCAGCGCTTACAAAACTTCTTGCTACGTTGTAAATTACTAACATTTCTTGCCACCAAAGTTGTGTGGCATGCCACCATGGCCAACGTGCAAGAAGAGATGCAACTTTTGTTATGGCAGGAATGCATGTGTATGTGTGTGTGTGTGTGTGTGTGTGTGTGTGTGTGTATGAAGAGAGCTTGTGTTCGCTAAAGTGATGAATATTGCGCCTTACAGCATCACTACGCGTTAACATCACAATTGTTTGAGTCGTCTCCGAGAATTCACTAACGTCACTAGCCAACACACACACACACACACACACACTCGTACATATAAAGACAAACACTCAACGAATTTGGTGCATTACGTAAGCTGAAATTTAAGTGACGTCTATCTAAATGGTAATCACGAGTAGGGAGTATTCAAGTAAGCGCCCGCAACCGCACCAAACTTCCGGCCACCCTTTGCCGATTATGCAGCTTGATTGAGTTGATTTTAATTTCTATTAATATTGAATGATTCTTCTGCAGCTTCCGCTTTCTACCTGATGGCATAGTTGTCATAGTAGTACTTGTGTGCTCAAGCAGCAAACGGTAAGGTAAAATAAGTTTGTTCTCTTCAAGGAAAAGAGATTTTCTTAAAATATCTGCTTTCGATGAATCTCGAAGTATTTCTTGTTTTGAATTCCCTCATCAATATCGAATTAGTAACTGTCCAGTTTTTTATCGGTATATTATGATTTTATCGGAGTTAAAAGCCATTAGACACCTTGAAGCTGTTCTTTTTCCCCAAAAAATTCAAAGAAGGCTGTCCGCCTGTGTCTACTACGACCGAGCTCAATACTATTATGTCGTAGTCGTCGAGTTAGCATCCAACATCCATGTTTACAGATAGCCCCTTTTGTTGGCGTTCTTGACTGATTGCCCAGGTCTCTTCTCTGTCAACGGAATCGCTGGCAGTTAGATTGATATTTTTCCTCTTTGATGTATTGATGGCCGAATCAATATTAGCGCGTCATTTTTCTCTTCTTTTCGCAGTTGGAATTACCAAATCAAGCCAGGTCACTCTCCACCTGATCCTTTCAACGGAGTGTATGTCTTCCTCTTTCTCTGCTTCCACCAGCGAGTACTGCATTGAGTATTTTAAAAGCAGGTGTACTTTCAGTCACTCGGACGACATGACCTAGCAAGCGTAGCCGTTGTCTCACGGCGCGGTTGTTGATGCCAGTAATGTCAATACCATCTTGTTCTTATAGAAGATTGTATCTTCTTTATATGGAATCATCCTGTCTGAAGCCTTGTTTGATATCAAACGGCTCGGAAAGGTCCTTCTCGATCCTGACGGAGCTTTTTGTGCTGCTTAAGCTCAGTATATACAGCCATATAAGTTTTGCGGGAATACCAAATTCAGATATAGCAGAGTAGAGTCAGCTCATTTTCGTGCTGTCGGAGGCTGCTTTAAAATTGTCGAAAGGGTGGTGCGTGTCGATCCTCTACTCATTTTTCACATATAATAATGTTTATAATATAAACTCGCATATGGACCAAATGAGCTTTATTGTTTCTTATTTTCCTCTCAACCGTAACCTATTGTATGGTACGACCGGTTCACCGAACCATTTTGAAGCTAAAAGGCTGCTCATTGGAAATTTTGATTCTATCTCTGCTTTACGCTTTCGTTATGCCATATTCGTTAATCTGATGAGCAGTCGTAATCGGCGAAGAATATAGGAACAATATTTTCTTGTACAATAAGATTATTATATTCGGAAAACAATGCCCATAGGGCTCTCTGTGGTTTAGGAGCCTACACGCTATAAGGCATGCCTGCCGTGCAGTAAAATAATTCTCACGAGAGCCAAATCTTGATAATCGTACAATCCAGCTAAGAAATGTTATTTCGCAAAAATTTCGCAGATCAAAAAATTGGGAAATATTTTCCGGTTACCGCAAAAATAACAACATAAGAGTATGACCGCGGCAAGGTATTGCTTTATTAATGGGCGACCAAGTACCACCAACCATAGGGCTTAACGAGTAACAGTCAATTAATCGACTACGATGATTGACCGGAGATTTATACTTTTACAACGAGAGAGCTTATTCTGGTCTGTTAGTTAAAGTGCGGTGCCGAAGTCAAGAGTCGTCAATTTCACATACCTTTTGAATTCTTTGCAGGGTTGCATTGAAATCGGCTACAGAACCAAAGCATGACCAGATAGAGTTCGTACGTAGAAAAGATGATTCGTAAGATCACTGCACAAAATTCTTCGGAACTCCAACTCAAGACGCTTATCAATGTGTTGTTTTGATCCACGGAGTTATGATCTTAGAATGACAACTGTAATTCATTGACATCTGTTCGTTGAGATCTCGTTATTGTAATTACTCTGACCAATTATTTTTCCTAATAGAATCGGCTGAGTTTGATCGCGATTTTAGTGCTGAGGTGAGGTGATTTTTTATACGAGCTGATTCCACGCTCATGCTCAGCGCTGAACTTTATTTATCACTAAGCTCGGCCGGAGCGTCGATTACGTATTATCAACAATGATACCACGATAGTGTTGGCATTTTTAGAAACAACATAGAAGTGCTCAAATAAATGACTTCTCCATCTATCACCTCAACACAGAATATATGGGTTACTCAACACAGCTGATAGTCTTCAGCGTACCGCTTGTAAAACCGATCAACTGTTGTTGCTTAAGTTACTTGGCAATACCAACTGATACCGACATCGGCATCGTTTACACGACTATAGCCGAAGAGTATTGCTCAAGAACATGCCAACCGTAGCCTTGCTAAGCCGTTCGGCGCCAATTTCTAGACAACAAGCGAAATCAGGTCCTTTTCTAGCTGATTTTTCTCAAACTGTATAGGTATTCCTCTTCTTCAAGCGGGTACTGTGTCGACAAATTTCAAAGCTCTTTTATTGATTCAAACGACATGACCAAGTCAGTGCTACGCGTCTATACTTTTACTCGCCGACCTACGTTAATGACGTAACTAATATTAAAATAGTATTTATTCTTCGAACTCAGTGCCTCCCTATCCTTCATATTAAATACAAATTTTTTTCGTCAACTGGTGCTTAGTCCCCCCCCCCCCCGCTCCCCTTCTTCTGCACTCTCTCTGCATACTTCCTTCAGTTTTCTATTTTTCAGATTTGCCAATTTTTCCATTTCAAAACTTTTTCCATTTCGGAAGCCTTTTTGATTTTCATATTCCTATGCATTTTCATTTAGAGTGGCTTCAAAGCGCCAACAGCCTGCTATGACTGCCATTTAGATGCGTTTGTATGTAGTATGGTATGTAGTTGCAATGCCAAACTTGCAACAAAGCCATTTGCACATTGTTCACTTAATTCGAAACTACAATAGCAATGACCAAAGTACACACACACACACACACATACACACAAGCACACAGAGAAAGAAACGCAGTGCTATGGCAAAGCACCGGGAATTAAAAGAAACAAAAGCCCATGCTCACATACATATGGATAAGTATACAAGTGTCAGCACAACTTTTCACCATTGCACTTTCTATTAGTAATTTTTTTTTATTGTTTTTTTTTTTTTTTTGTTAATTCCTTATTACATTCTCTGCCAATTCTTTTGGCTTCACTCGGCTCGTTTGGCTTTGCACTTGAATGTATGACTGTATGTATGTATATGTAGATGCATAAATTAATACTTTGATGTTGTTTTTCTAATTTCAACATGGCATACCGACTTGTCCGTCTTTGCTGAACAATCAAAAAACTGAAAACTAAAAAAAAAAAAATTAAAAAAAAATTTAACAAAAAATTCCAAAACCAGAAACATCCAGCAAAAAAGGTGGCAAGAAGAAGAAGCGTGTTCGCAGTTCACGCAGAAGAACAACACAAAAGCCAGCTGTAAAATACGTTGAAGTTCAGGTGAGTAGCTGTGGCTGTGTATATAAATTTTTACGTGTGTGTGTGTGTGTGTGCCAAAAATGGCTATTTGTTCATTACCTTGAAACTCGAACTATTAATCAGTTACAGTGTTGATTTTAAAATGCTTTTGCATGCAAATGCGATTTCTTCATATTTAACTTTTGCAAACCCATTTTACAGCTACTTCATTGTTTCCTCCTTCTATCTCCCCCCTCTCCCCTTCTCTCTCGCTCCCCTTGTGCGCTACCTCCATTCTCTCAAATAGGGCAAACTTTTATTGAAAGCTCTGCATTTTGTGGGGTGCACTTTTGATGAGTTATGCAAATATGCACAAATCATTTTCAACTCTAAGCTACCGATCAAATTTTCATGTGGTAATATGAGCGTACATACACGTATGTATGTATTGTTGTACGTTGAAGATTATCAAAAATTTAGTTTTATAAAAAAGAATACTGTTTGCTCTACGAAACTTAAGTGCTGAAGACTTGAGGTTATACATGGAAATTTGATAAAAAAAGCTCAAGTAAAAAGTAGTCCATTATATTTGCATTAATTTGCAGACTCTATTAGCCATAGCCGGAATTATCCAATTCAGCATCCTTTTTCTCTATAACTTTTTGTCATTTTCAAGGTAATGTCCTTATGCTTCTCTCGTAGAAACTCTTGTACCTATTGCCAAAAACTTGTGAAAAGCAATTTTCACAGTCTTCATTTTATACCAATTCTTCACTAGCCACAGACAGGAATGGATGGCAATCACTTGACGCGTAGTCCGGACTTAAAGAACCTTCCAATCAAACTCTTGGAGCGTTGTCCTAGTGAAACACAATTTCGCTTAGATTCAGCAGCTAACTTACGTGGCTCACATATATCGAGCTTCTTTGTATGTCCAGCCTTTTCCAATGGCGTCTCAGCATATTTTTTTTGCTTGTAATAGAACCTTGAACCCGAAAACCCACATAAACACGACGGCAAATAAGTTCCTCTACCTCACCATATCGAAGTCCGAACAGCGATTGCCCGCCTAAAGAATAACAAAGCGGCTGCGGTGCATGCATCAGCTGGTTTGCAAAATATGGTCGAATGAAAGCACTCCTGATGATAGGAACCTAAATATACTCTGCCCAATAAAAAAAAGGGCGATCTCACAGTGGAATAACCCTCCTTAACATCGAGCCTATTGTATGAAAGACTAAAGCCTACCGTAAATATCCATTGACAAGTTAGTCACAATGCGCCGAATCTTCGAAAATACTGATGAAAGAGGATCAACACAAACCAAATCTTCGTCGTAACGCCGCCTTCGACAGCACGAAAAGTAGCTGCCTAAAGGAGCTGCCTACTACGCTAACTTATACGGCTATGTAAACTGACGCTAGACAACACCAAAAGCGCAGTCAGAATTTGAAAGGAGTTATCCTAGCTTTTCGATACCAAATGAGGTTTTAGACAAAATGATTCCTTATCGTGCGATTTTTTTTTACCAACTGCAGAGCTTAATAGGGAAGATACAATCTTATATAGGAGTGTACAGCTGCTGGCCAACGTGATGATATTGGCATTATTAGCCTCAACAACCGCGCTGTGAGTTCTGCTTTCTTAAATACTTGATAAAGAAGCGAAGCGAATGGGTCTCTTACTGATCGAGGGCAAGACGAAATATCTTCTGTCATCAAAAAAGCAGTCACCGCACTCGGCTCCCTCGTCTCTGTTGACAGTCATAACTTTGAAGACGTAGATAATTTTGTTTATCTTTGAACCAGTATTAACACCAATAATAATGTCAGCCTTTAAATCCAGCGCAGAATCACTATTGCCAACTTTGGACTGAGTAGGCAACTGAACGACGAACGAATGCCAAACTCTACAAGTCGCTCATCATATCCGTCCTACTGTTTGGGGCAGAGACATGGACAAGTCTTCGAGAGAAAAGTTTTGCGAACGATTTATGGTTCTTTCTTTGCGCATTGGCGACCATTAATACCGCAGACAATGGAACGATGAGTTGTACGAGCTATACGGCGATAATAACATAGTTCAGTGAATCATGAAGCAGCGGCATACGCCCTACACTATTTGTAATAGACCCAGACTTTGATCCTAAGTGGGCGTACACTATAAGGTCAAACCCCCGATCAAATCCGATCTAGACTCACTAAGCAGACTGCATTTTTTCTTATTTTGTTCCATATCGTAAAATGTGTCAGGCCCTTCTTTTGAAACAGCCACAGAGAGCTCGATTTAAAGACAAGTATTGAGCATAAGATGGCCAGGGTTCGTGACCTGGGTCGATCAACATCCGAAATTCTGGCAAGGAATGTATGTAAAGACTTCCAAATGTATTTCTGACACGAAAAAAATATATTCATTAAACTCCATCGGTCCTTTAGAGGCGGCTTAAAATGAAGTAAGTCCCACCTTTAGTTGGGAAAACATCAAGAAGCACATCAAGATGCACAGCTCGACCGAAAATTTAATCAGATGTAAATAAGCGACACCTGAACCTTGCACTAATCAATAGTCATAAATAATAAATAATAAATAATAAATAATAAAAAATAAATAACACGAAGAAAGACATATCAAAATTCACCGCAGTACTTTCTTTTTGACTGCCTGATTTGGGCGGCTCAGAGAATAACCCAACAAATCCATTGCCCAGCCTAACCACATCTAACCTAATCACGCCAAACCAACTTAAATTCATCTAAGTCCAATTGAACCGAAACGTACCTGAATCCAACTTAACCTGCGATAGAATCTCACGTATGTTTTTCTACATGGAATATCCACTTAGCAAAAAAGACATTACATTTAGGAAGTGAAGAGGTACTACAGATCTGTTCTCAAACAGCAAAAGCTGACACACACACTGTCAAGAAGAAAGGAACAAACTAACAATAAAACACTGAAGTATGTTTGTTGTTGCAAAAAAGACACACGAACCGTTAACTTCACTCGAAATTTTATTTGAAAAGGAAATTAGGAGGTTTTACATTTGGTGTGGCTTTGCCGTTTTAACTTTCAACTACTCACCCATACATTGAAGAACTGTTTCCACTTTACCTGTTCGCTTCCAAGGCCTTACCATTTGCTGCTTTAAACCCTTTAAAAATGTTATTACATAATAAGAAAATATATAAATATATATATATTTAAAGAATCATTACTAAAATATTTAATTTAAAAATTTTTATTCCAGAAAATTGTTCAAGAATATGTGAAAACGCCGAGACTGCATTGTCACTTCGGTGATGTAGATGCAACCAATATCGATCCAAATATTAGATATTTGTATTTTCTGCGTAAAGATCCATATGGCATACGTAAGTCGAAATGTTGTTAATTAATTTTATTCATGCGTATTCGAGTTGTGTTCAAAAAGTATCGCGAATTTTAAATTTTCGGGGGTTACGTATAATCGAATTTCAATTTTTTTTGACGTTACGTTAGTACTCATGTCTGTCACTTATGTCGACAAGCTCGGCCATTTTGAATGTTCACTTAATTGTTGACAGCTGCTTTGCTTGCACGTGTTTTGTGTATTCTAGTCTCTGCGGTTCAAACCACTAGCTGCTGTTGATACTCCTATCTCGAGCAGATTTAGCCCGATACTTTTCGTGAAAAGAGCTTTGTAAATCGTCGAATCTTGTGAAAGCTTATTCCGATTTGAAAATCAGTGAATTTTTCCTAAGAAAAGCGTTAAATTGGTTTGACCGAAACGCTTCTGAAGCGACTCATCAGGGCCGATGAGAACTTACTTAAATACGAGACTATAAAACGAAAAAACCATAAAGCGTTCACTGGCAACAAACGACCTGAATTGACGTCAGACAAGTTGACGATCGGTGTACATATAGTGGGAATTGTCCATTATGCGCTGTTACAATCTATCGAAACGATGAATTGTTAATAAAGAAAAAGTATAGAGATTTCCAAGCAAACTTCAAGAGAACTGGTCCGGCTTCTATGTAGTGACTATTTCCATTTTTTTATGTCCAGAGGCGGTAATGTGCCGCTGGGGGCTACTCTTGAGGTTGCTGCACGTGCTGGTTATCGGATGATGATGAATCTGTATGGTATTCGTCGGTAGTCACACTATGGAGGAAAAATATTTTACGTTTAACATTAATGATAATAAATTTTGACGGTCCTTAAGCCTATAAGTTCAATATGATACCATTGAAGTTTTCCCATTTTGTATGATGATACGCGAAGTAAGCTCAACTACACATTTTAAATGGTGTTTTCTTCTTCAATCGGGACTAACTCCTCCACTAAAACTGAGAGTGAAGCATGCCTTAGGCGAGATTATGGTCGCAGAATCGCCTAACTACTCAAGCTATTGGTATAATTTTAAAGAAATTTGAAAATACTGCATCAGTTGCACATATTGTAGGGCTTGGGCATCATCGGTTTATTCGTTCTACCTCAAATGACGCTACTGTAGGGGAATGTAGTTATATTACGAAGTATGATCGCTTCCAGACGGAAGAGCGCATCAGTCTCTCTTTCATTATTTGAAGATTCTCGGAGCCTCAAAAGCGACAATTTAGCTTAATTACATAACTTCCGAGTAAGCAATATGTCCCGTCGCTGAAGAAAACTTTTGTTCGAAAAATCGCCGTCCACTGCTTGTTGTTCCAACACCCAATCGACATCATCACAAATTGGAGGAAGTGCTCGGGCGAAAAATCGTGTCAGCGGTCACAAAGCGTTAATTGCATATATATTCAGGGGTATTTGGGGTCGCTGATTATGAACCTGATGTCAGGCCTTCAATATGGCGTTCATTACAAAGACACTTTCGGTCAAGCGGAAAGTGTGAGTTGCTCTGGAGCTTCGCGTTAATTCTGAGCAGAACCAATTTGATTTGCGTGGAAAGTAAAAAAGAAAAATTGAAATACAATAATAAAATTTCATTTGTTTCCACTTATTTCCACGAATTTTATTACAACTTAATATTAACAAGCTCCTTCGTCGAGTGCTTTATTGCTTTTCAGCTAATCAAATCTCTAATCAAACTCTCATAGCATTCATATTTTATTACCCTCAAGTTTTGATGTTCTTTCTCCTCTTCTTCTTCTTCTTTTTCTTCTTCTTCGTTTTCTTCTGCTTTTCAGGTAGTTATTACAATCGTGCTGAATGCTTTGCTGAAATGCCAAAATATTTTATTGTTGGGACCATAAATGGTGTTGTGATTCAATCATTGCAAAATGATTTGAATGTGGTAAGTACTGTTATAATTGATTAGCATAAACACACACACACATATATATACACATACACAGTAGCGTAAGGTACAAACCTTATCAATGCAATGATGAATTGCGGCAAATTGACAAAAGATAATCGAAAATGTTACTCTTACTTGAATAGCGAGCGATTGAACAAGCGGACGAGAGAGCGAAGTTAAGGAACAAAGCGCAATGCAACACACCGCTACCAGGAATCGTTTGAGTAAATAGAGTGGTGAATAATGAAAATAAAAACAAAAGCGAAAAGCAAAAAGCGAAAACACAAACACATTGACGAGCTGCTAAAATTAATCTATGCAATTTTAATTTACCGTTATACTACAACCTCTTACCCTCCTGCAGGTGTTGAGAGCCACCACTGCCAGTCAAATCAGTCAGCTTGCCACCGCCCGCCACATGCCAACTGCTACTTACTGCCACACAATCCATACACCATTTTCCATATATACATACATACACATACACACACACACACACACACACACACACACACACTTACAAACAACAAACACACACTCTAGTAGCTGGCGCACTCGCTCCGCAGCATATTCGGTTTTCAATTAATCAAAGCTTTGCCATGCTGCTCCATTCAGCGCGTTCGCCACAGCGCGAGTTCGATTATTTCGAAACGTAATGAAGTGGCGAATTGTAATTAATTCCATAGTAACACAGCCATCTATCAAATTCTCCTATGTTTTCTTCTATTTTCGCTTCTGTGGGTTGCGATTTTCCGCAAGACTGCATCTGCAGGGTTGACTGGTCTTATGGATTTTGGGTTCTCTGCACTGTCACTAGGCGCGACTCCGTTCGCTAATGTGGCATATTGGCTTTGCGTAGCGCAGAGTGGAAAGTTGCGCCATCATTCTCAGCCATTTTCGTGTGGCTATTAGGCGTTTTGGCTAAACGAACCTTTGTCAAGCAAACGGCGAATGGCTCCTTTCAGCGCTTACTGTTATTTTACAGCCATCGTTGCAACCAGTGTACGTATGTATGTATGTATGTATGTATGTTTTAGCGCCACCCGACTGTGTGGGTTTACGCGTCGCTGCCGCCACCGTTGCCGCCTTTATTGGCTTTTTGCGCTTCGTTGAAAAATAAATTAAAATTCTCGTTGCTAAATTGTTCCCCGAGTGTGCCGGCTTCATCAGCTTACTTATAGTACTCCTTAGACTGCGCGTTGCGAAATTATCGAAGCAAATCAATTAGAAATTAAAAAATTGTAAGCTGCGGTCGCGCCACATCAATGCCATGCACCCTTTTGCAGCACTTTCAAAGAAATATTCAAATATTTGCCTGTCATCAGGCTTTTGGTCTATGAAATAGAAGTGAAACGGTTATTTGGTTATGGCGCTGAATGTGATGGCTGGATTTTCAATTGCATCTTCTTCGTTGTTTTCTGATGTAGATAACGGTTGGGCGATTATAGCCGAATTAACGCACTAGTCGTTTCGCCGTCATTTGGAGATACCAAATAAAGCCAGGTCGCCCTCACTCCTTCCAACAGAGTAGCAATCTTCCTATTCTGCTTACTTTGGAACCAACGCGCTTTGAGTAACAGAAACTGCAATTGGACATAAATGAACCCTTAAACTGGATATGTCAGAGTGGCTCCACTAAAGTTTCCACTCTTTCGGCCGGGATCTTAGCCTTCACGCGGGTTGTAAGAGTAGACAGTGTGTAAAGCTCTTCGACAGTGATTACTTACACAGAATCCCGCTTAGTCTCGGAAATAAAAAGAACTTCCTATTCACCTTCGGTTTGTTCATGAATCAAAGTGTTTTAAAAATTTTTCCCGGCGCTTACCCGTCTTATCCATTCGTTACTCGTTTTACTTCATCGACGCTGTTGCGTTATCTTTTCAGAATTTACAAATTAAGACTAAATTCCAGTTAATAGTTCTCTTCTCTGATATAATATTGACTCAACTTATTTATTAAGCACTCTTCAAAGACTGGCAGAGCGGGGAGAAAGATAGCTTATTCAAAACCCCGAAGTGAATTTTTTATTTCAGAATCGGAAATTCTCGTCCTTGTACCGGTACCTTTTCTTATTTCTGACCTCATACTACATACTTTCTAGTTACCGCTATTCATCTCACATCTTTCACTCATTTTCGGTAGCAAGTTCTGGAACTCCGACGCCACTTCCAGCTTCGGCTACTCTCTGAGTAATGAGTTAGGATGATTTGGACGACTTTTCCTTCTGAAACCACATCGTGAAGTCGGATGCCTGGGCTATGCGCGCCTGGCGATATACGCTTTGATTCTGAAAGAGCGGTACGAACGATTATGGTAAAGTCTGCATAAGAATATTGTTAGACACGAAATAAAGAGTAAAAAACCTCGGTTCCGTGCGCTCCTATTTCGACTCGTGTGCGAAAAGGAGAAACAATTTATTTTTGTCTGACAGACACTGGCGCTCCCACGTTAAACTCGCACCGTATCTACTACACTATAAACAAGTGACGATTTAGTTGGTTTGTGCTCCTTTTTAATACAAGATTTTGTTCTTTTTTTCTGCTTTTACTTACAGGTCGGCCACAAAGCGATTCAATTTCAATTTCGAGAACCAAAATTCGATGACAAACAAACGAATGCCGATGAGAATATATGTGCAGGTCCCGGCGCCAGTACGGGTGAAGTCAAAGAGACGGGACCGGGTTTGTTGGAGTTGTCAAAGCCCTCGGAATTCCGTTTGCGCGCCCTTAAACAGAAAAAGTATGTAATGCAAGGAAAGAATTTGTCTTGTGCTGATTGCCCTTACCCATGCCGAGCTGCCCGTCTGACGTCTGCTAACACAGCGCTCACAGCTTGCAGCTTGTCTCCTTTATTGGCTGAATTCCTTACATTTTTGTTCTTCTACAATATGCTGTTGTGTTTGTTACGCTTTCTTGTTTGCTTATTCATGTGCTTTTGTGATGGCTTGACTTCCCCACTAAGTTGGTCGGCACATTCAATTCACCAACTGTCGACTTGCTGTTTTTTTTTTTGCGATTTTTTTTTCGTTTTTTCATTCCTCCATTCATTCATTCGTTTAGTTTATTTCCTTTTTGGTACCCATTGGTATTTTACATTTACCCTTTTCGCACATAAATTACAGTGCATCCGATAAGGATTTCCCTTTGTTCTGTATTTTTAATCGTATTTTTTCCGCTGCCCCCGCACCACTCATGACTCACAGTAACACTGGTACATTTGTAACGGTTTTCTTTCTTTTTTTGTTTTTGCTTTTGCCTTTGTGTCTGTTGGAGAAGATTAATAATTTGTTGACTTTTGGTATTTAAATACATAAGGAGTCACTTGAAATGATTTTCTATAATTATTCGGTGTTAACCGTAGTCGGAGGTGTCTGTCCTTTTAAAGCTTTTTCAACTGTTCTTGGCGCTTTGGACAAGAATTAGGCAAATGAGGTCAAAAGTTAAAAGGGATATTCCAATGATTTTTGTTTTTGTAATTTTAATACTATTTACAGAGAAATTAAGTAGGATTGTCGTTGGAGAAGGCATCCTGGTGGTGATTTTTTGAAGTTCTTATTAAGATCGGTACTTCGTTATATTTGATATAATTCACTGGTCAATCCATTAGCTCTCTAGCTTATCTTTTATCTCGGTATGTAAACATTGAATAACTTCGAGAAAAAACAAGCGATTTCTATATGTTATGTACTTTTATTCAGTTTTGTTCCTTACAATTTTTATTGACAAGTTTTTGAGAAGAATATCAATCAAGTGGCTACCTTTATTAGCAAATACAAAACGACTCCTTTTTCTGGGTTTGCCATTATATTTCTGAGCATGTCGTGTGTGATAGCGTCGATTTCAGCACGAATGTTTGCCTTGAGCTCATCAATAGCTTTGAGCTGGCAATCCTTGCTTTTCAGACAATTCCTCAAAAGGCAGTCCGAGAGGGTTGAGTCATGTGATCTGTCAGATGGTGCCTTTTTGCCGCGATATTTTTTCCGATATGCACGTTAAGTTAACACGATGGAACCACTGTTTTCGATGTTAAGTGTCTCTAATTTAACGTATTGTTTCGATGTAAAGCGATCCATGGCAAAAATTGTACGGGTCTAACGTTTCCAAAGCATATCTGATGCAATCGATCGGTTGGTAAATGTAAAAGTTATTCAGCATTTACCTACCGACATAAAAGATGGAGCACCCTGTATATACGTGTATTGGATTTGATTACTTTAACTTTCATACACTTCAGGCAGCGTTAAGGCTCTGGCAAACTGTGTTATATACCAAGGGCATTTTATCTCTTTATGCCTCGTTATGCTTCCATTGGAATATACTTCTGTTGTATGCGAACAGAGTTATCAATGTCATTCGTTTAATAATATTTTCTGGGTTCAGAGTAAAAGCTTTCTTCCTTATAAGTAGCATTCTTCTGGAAATTTTTAAAAAATTCATAGCAGCTGATGGGCTCTCTGCTTCAGGCGCAAGTATTGCCGCATACTTTTGCAATGGGTTTCGGGATATAGAGGGCCCAGACTATCGCTGGGATATACCGTTTATCCTTCAAGCATGCGCTTCGTTCATTTGGGATGCAGTTAAAGATCGGCCCCTACCAAAACAATTAAATCAACAAAAAAAATACAATTTTTAAAGGTGACCTCCAAAAAAGTCCAACGATAACATCGTCAGGACAAGAGATTATACGGCCGGGAACTTTCTCTCACAATGAATCGATACCCGCTAGTGAATATGGCGTGTGACACCATCTTGTTGAATCCACATTTTGTCCAGGTCGTATTCTTCAAATCAAAAATCAGTTTTCATAGGACCAAAACACTCCGAAATGAACGAGATTGAGTTTCGTCGGTTTCGTTTTTCAAACAAAATATAAAGTTCAGTCTCACCACCGGAGCAAAGAGAGCACCACACAGTAAGTTTTCTTTAATGTAATTGCCAGGGCTCGGGTCCTCATTAGACCAGAAAAAAAAATTAAAAAAAACAATTTTTTCCAATTACGATGTCCCCTCGACAGGGAATATTAAGGTCTCCGAATATATTTTTGACTTGAAATAAAATATTTTAGTACAACCTGTATCACCCTTCGTTTGTTTGAAAAACATCAACGGAGTTTAATGATTACAAAACGACAATTAAATATGTATTGACCTCTCTTAAATTACTTGAGGTCTCTCGGAGCACCGAAATGCGACAGTTTTGCCTATTTACGTATCCACTCGAGTGAGTAATCTGCCTCATCGCTGCAGAAACACAAGAGAAGACTTTATCCCGACTCTGTGTCAGCAGTTTTTTTCTACGAGATTGATTTTTTATGGACCCATTTGTAAGATCCTTCTAGCTGAAAGTAGATTTTGAAAGGTCTACGCAGGGCCAGAGTTAAATAAAAGTTCTAATTGTTGAATTGACTTGGTTGCAGGAAACAATAGGAACTACGGCTCTATTCCTCAATATTTTCGGAAAGTTTACTTATATTTTGCTCCATATTTATATACATCCTAAGACTTCCGAAACTCAGAGCTCTGTTCGTAGCTTTGAACTGAGAATACTCTACCCACATAGCTTACCAAATTTTATTCTACCGCATGCGGCGAACATGAAATTTGACTGAATGAGGACTGCATACTCAACCCTTTCACCTAGACGTCCACTAAAGCGAAGACGCGCAACCAGAATCCTCCACTTTTATCAGCGACATTGGTCGAAAAAATTGATTACATTTTTCTGCTAACTTCCGCGCATCCACCACATCGCCTGCCGCCTGGCTTACTGAAACCAAAACGCTCAACTGCTGTTACGTTTTGTAGCTTTTCGTTTATCTGCAGCTTTTAATTATATTCAATTGAACTCGTTTTTCTCGGTTTCGGTTTGTTTCATTAAACAAATTCTTTACTTGTGAATTCACTTTTGTCTCCCACCCACCGCCCGCCTTGCCTTTTGTTATTTAATTTATCTCATTTTATTTTATTGATTTTTTTTTGCTCTCATTGTTGTGGATCCCTTTTATTCACACACTGGTGGCGGCTGTAAACCTTTTTGGTCGTCTTACTGTTCTAACAAGCATAATAATAATTATTATTACTATAAGTATTGAATTATTTTCCACAACAACAAAATAATACAACAAAAAAATTAATATTCCACAGACAAATGGAGAAGGAGAAAAAGCAATCCCTTTTAAGAGCGAAATCTGCAAAGAAGCCCGGTGAGGATAAAGGTGACGCCGGCGACGAGGAGGACGATGAAGAGGAGGACGCGGCTACGAAGGTCGAAGACGCTGTATCGACCTCCTCTTCCGAACAACTGGGTAGGTGTTACAAAAAAAAAAATCCAATAAAACCAAAAAGGAAAAAGAAATAACAGTAAGAGTTTGGTGGAAACAGCATTGCGGTAGCTAATTACCGTTAGCTGCCATTTGTGCCAGCAGCAACACGAAGGGTCGCATTTTCGCTGCCCGTAATCCCTTGGGTTGCAGTGTCAACAAGTCAAACTGTCGTCACTGCTGTCAACACACGCTGATTTGGGTTCGTTTTAATATGCGCTCGTTGTAGCGGTGCCAGCGCACGATGGCATTCATTAATCGGGCGCCAACGACCCTCGCTAACTGTTCAATTCACTGCCTCACCTCCTGACAATCCTTTGCGAGCCGTTTTCTCATTTTCTCATTTCAATTATTCACTCTTTTTTAATTATCAGAGGAACCGGAGAAACCCAAATTGACGATTGCCGAGCGTTGGGAGCAACTATTGCGTGAAACAAATGAAGCTGTCGAACGGCAACGCCTCGAGGAGGAAACCACAGTGGAAAAGTTACCGCCATATCAGCAAAATCTACTCAAAGAGATGACCGAATTCGAACATGAGGTGGAGTGGACGACAAAGCATAGTATGCGCGCCTTTGATTTACCCACCAGCTATGCGGCGCCGGGGCAGGAGGATGTTGAATTTGAGGAGTCAAAAGTGAAGATACCGGTGGATGTGAAGAAACCCGAATTGATACCGACATACTCACAAGAAATACTCGAGGATATTGTACATGGCTGGATATATTTCTTGGAAGGTCGAATCAAAGCGCTGAAAGAAATGGTGAGCGGAAAGAGAAGTGGGGAGTAAGAGAGCGAAAGATAGGGGGAAAGCGATACATACATATATATAATTACGTATGCCAAAGAAAAGTAAAACAAAATAATAAAGCTCGTTTTTTCCTATCCTCAGCAATTGGATGAGTTCACGCCAATGGCCGCTTATCGCATTTGGCATCATGCTGAAATTGAGCTTTACACCGCTTTGGAACAATTGAAATCTGATTTTGTTTTAACGGTGTTGGGTGAGTTGTTTTATGCGATTTGTTGCTTGTGGGAGTGAAATGTGTATCTTTATTTTTTGTTCTTGCAGATATCTTACGTAAAGCCGATTCGCCCATGATCAAACGCTGGGATGAATTTATGCGCGTGCTCCAGGAGCATTATTATTTGTCTAAGGAAAACTCAGATTATATTGCCACCATCACCGACTACCTCGAGGTGAGCAGATTCATGTACATTGAAATAGAAGGCGATGACCGAGTGGTCAGCAATGTGTGTTGCCAGTAGGAAGATTAGGGTTAGAGTTCTGGTATGGTCAACTTCTAAAATTGAGAGAAATTGAATTTAAATACAACAAAAAAATTAAGTTTAGCGTTCTAATTACGGTCACCTCTCGGCAGGGAATGTCGACCCCTCCGACTGTACTTCTTCCATGAAATAAAAGCTTTTTATGAAAGCCATTCGGATGAAAGGGAAGACGAGCTCGGTTGAAAATGGCTTCGGTGTTCACAAGGAGCTAATAATATGTAATTCATATATACGAAGGATATGGAAGGGAGATCTGTTGCTGAACTTTTGCAGTATTTTTAGTAGAACTTTATATACTATGGGCGCTTTCAAACCACTGAAGCAACATCTGTCCGACATCAACCTCCCATCTTTTGTGCGCGTCTTATATTAATTCTAAACTTTACTCTAAGCCGCCTCTGAAACGCTGTTGGATTCTTATTAAGAGGCTGTGTGGCACAAATGCCTAGTTGGAGACCGATTGCAACGCCAAATAAACCACCTGCACTTTTGTGTTTTGGCTCTGACGTCACTATTGACACTCATAACTTCACAGTCAAGACTGTTTCTCAATGCAGTCAAGATTCACAGGGAGCCAACTCGCGTTCTCGCTTAAGGCGCCGTTAACACTTAAGGAGCACATATTTGGTGCCATCTTTTAGGTACTACTCAAAAAGAAGGGAGACTCCGTAACACTTCAGTAATAATTCCAGCTACATATACGTGAAAAACTTGAGAGAGATTCCTTTCCGCTTAGATCCCTCTTCAGATGGCTCCATGAGTTGGTTGCAAGCAAGAAGGCCAACTATTATAACTTGCGATGTCGGGGAAACTATCCGGGCGTGTACTCAAAAGTTTTCGCCTTAGAAATGACAGAGACTTTTCTGGGTTTTCTACAGGCAGAGGCTTTTTTACATCACTGGTACTTCTGTTCATTTGGTTGAATGAAAACCTTTTTCAACTTCAACGAATCCCAAAGACATTGCCAGACATTACTGAATGTTCGATCATTTTTTACTGCTGGAATAATCAGAAAATGGCACACTCACTAATAGAAGCTGTAGTTAATTTACCAGGTTGCTTGATCACGCAACCCTAATCAAGCGCACTTACGCCTATAGTCCTTTGTGATACCTATTCAGGTCCTGCTAAAGCAATTCCAGTCACCTTTTCGAATGACGCAACTTAGGTCTGGATACTGTAGCAGGTGAAACTTGTACTTATCCAGACTCGACCCCAGCATACCCAACGTATGCCCTGCATGTGGAGAGTCTCCGCACGATAATAACCACATCTTCACATGCCCCCTAAGCCGACACATCTAACCCCCTCTTCCTCCAGTCCAATCCCTTCGAAACACCACGTTCCCTGGACCTCCCACTAGATGACCTCGGCGACTTAGATTGATTAAATCTGTACCTAAGCGGAGTTGGTGAACCGCTGAAACAACCTTTTCGAATGTTCAAGCCACTTAGTGTGTTTTATGGAGGTCAGCAGATGAATGATGTCTACCGATGCAAGCTCTACAAAGCAATAGAAGAAGAAATTGCCGAGAAAACGATAACGGACCGCACTAAGAGCTTGACAACGACACAGGTAGTATTCCACCGATTTCTTTTCCTTTATGTCCCTGCAGCAGGGGCAGAAGTCGTTTGAGAAGCAGCCCATCCTTTTACCATGAGTCCATATAAGACAGCGTCCAGTTATGACGCCGGTCGGTATGCTTAAGGAGATCCAGCTAAAAAGGTATAGAGATTTAGTTCCGTTTATCTCAATGAGTAACTACATTTGTGTTCTCACCTTGAATCTGGTTTCGTTGCGGCATCTGCTGTTGACTCTGGTGGTGAATGCTAGTCCAAGCAGATGCTTTACCGAAGAAAGCGGTATGCTCACGTTAACTGTTGCCTTTCTGACCAGTTCGTCGGCTACGTAGTTCTCTGAGATATCTCAGAAGATATGGTTCTGACAGTTTTCTTTAGTGATATACTTTATCTTGCACCCATGGATACTTAACACCAGCACATTTGAATCCTCCCTCGCTACGACATTTTTCTTAGTTCTAGTTGAAAGTAGAAACAAAAGTAGAGTTACAATGTGAGCATCCTTTGAGAATACCCCAGCTTTTTCAAAAAACATCACACTTCCAAAATCTTTAATCGAGGCTCTTACCCGGAATGATGGCCTTCAAATGGTCAGTACTATGGTCTCAATCATGTGATCAACTCATGTGTACCGTTGATTTCTGAGCGATATCTGTGCGATCTCTGTGCGTTTGAGACACAAATATTCTTTGCTGCAACAGAAAGCTCCTTTTAAGTTTTGGATCAATTAGGTGCACTTATTGACTACTCAAATCATGGGTCACACACTTTTTGCTGATTTAAATATTAATTGAACTTTATTTTATATTTATTCAACAATCTTCTTATTCATTTTGCATTTCTCGGCAGAAAATTCGTGACTATGAAAGCTTCAAGATGACCACCCTCCTCATACCAAATGTTATGGTGGGCCTACGCCACATCTGGACCATGTCCAGCTACTACTGTCGCGACGACAAAATGCAGATTTTACTTTGCCAAATCTCGAACGTCTTCATACAGAAAGTCAAGCGCATCGTGTGCTTCGAACACATATTCAGGTGAGTTGATTTGGAAGCTCCTTCTTGTGGCATTGCATTCATGAAGTATAAGAATTAAATCCGCGTTCAAGAAACTACGAGGCAAACTGTCGCAGTGTGGTTATGGAGTGAATGAAATAATCTCCGAGAGCGCTCACTGTAGTAACTGTGCAAGTACCTAGGCTGGTTGACTGTTTGGCTGGTTGACTGCTTGACTGGCTCTGCACATGACAACTGTCAATGTCGATTTTCCCGTCGATTTACTTTTGAAAATACTTAGTCACTTGTGTGCGCTGCCAGGTTGGCTGGTAGAAGCGTTGCAATGTGAAGTGGATTGTAGTCTGCGAGGCGGATATTGCAAGTGTTGTGTTGACTGCTTCCTTCTTACGTCACCGTCAACCGTCTTCTGCCTGTGGCCTCTACCTGCCGGCTGACGCTGACACTGGCAGTGCCCGTTTACTTGCTGAACAAATTTAACCAAATACTTGGCCAAATGCGATTTTGGTAGCTGTCGCCAGCAAATGGCTCCTCGCAAACGTTCCTTACTTCCAAGTATTTGCATGCGAGTGTACATTTAAGTAGTCTGTAAGCGAGTTGCTTAGAAACCAGAATGCATTTGATCTTCTATTTTTCTCATTTTGCTTTGGTAAGCTTATTTCCGGTTTGTGTTGGCGACATTTCAACATTTTCTTCCCTCTCCACAGCTCCGCCAATGTTGTTTAGCAAAGTCTCGAAGAATTTTAGCATCATACCATGAAAAAATGAATGCACTTCAATTACATTTAAGCGCATTTTAAATGTATCCTCTCTCCATTCACCAGCATTTTACTCATTTCCCGCATTTTTTCTTCTCTTCTGCTTGCAGTCGCTCATCTAAATACACCTACGAGACGGCGACCAACTGTGCCAACTTACTGCGTTGCTGGAAGAGCGCTTACCTCGCCAGTCGTTCGTACATCGAGAGTTCGGGCGTTGGTTCACGTTGGGAGTTCGATCGTCAAACGCTTTTTTCCGAAGTGGATCACATATGTCATATTAGTCAAGATATCGCCTATATAGGACGTGTCTTTATACAATATGAGAACTTATTTGGTCATCGTCTTAAAGCGCTAATTACCGATCCATCAATTGTCGATGATTTGATGAAAAAAGTCTATCGCATGTTGGATGATATGCTCTCATCCGTGGACTATGATATTTTTAGACCTGGCAACTCGGAGAATTGGGAGCATACACTGGAAACATTCAATCGTCGGCTGGAGAGTGTTGAGTCTGATGCTAAGGCGGTGATTGAGCGTAGCATAAACACACTACGTTCATCGGATATGGGTCTGGAGTTGATTAAGACGATTAAGGAGATAGATACACGCGACGAGTTGGCAGAGTTCATTTCGACCAAGCATGAAAACATTTTGCGTTTCTTCCAAACCGAAATCAACTCGGTGGAATTTACTTATTCGGTGAGTATGTTTGGGTGTGCAGTAATTTACCTAGTAGAGGAAAAAGAAAGGGCAAAAAGTATAAGAAGATCTTAATATTATTGGCTTAGAAATTGGAGCAAAATGTTTTATTTTAAATTGAGCTTTCGACCAGCTAAACTAAGAACCAATTACAACAGCGGGCAGCTTTTTGCGTTCTGTTGAAAAAAAAAGATTCGTTATTCTTCTCACCTTGTAATTACTTCGGGCTTTTCTTGCTTGACAAACATTTTACAGAAACTTAAAGGCCGAAACTTAAAGGCCGAAACTTAAAGGCCGAAACTTAAAGGCCGAAACTTAAGTCACAAAAAAAATAGCAAAAGGGTTTTAGCTGACTTATCTGACTTTCACAGAAGAGCTAAAGTTCAGTTGGAACTCTCTGTTACATTACATCCTTTAAGAGGAATTAAGTTTTCTAAAAAATATCCCCTAAATATGCAATCCTAAGACAACAGATCGACCAAAACGAGTTTTTCCTTAGATGTTGGGTGGGTTTATTTCTAGAGAAAGTGCCAAGTTCTGTTGATCAATATCTTAAAAATTGGGTCCTGAGCGTACGGGGCTATGCTTACGTTTTTCCATTTATTGCGATCGTCCTTGAACAAATACAGGGTGTGCCATCTATACGTGGTCAATGTAAGTGTTGAATAACTTGAAAAATTTTCAATGAATTTCGATCAACTTTTGTTTTACCATCAAATTTGAAACCTTTTAATTTTTTCTAGTTAGGTACTGACCTAATGACCCCTTCGTTGCGCAAACAAACAAAACTTCCCTTTTTTCGGCATTTTCCATAGCATTTGAAAGCGTTCCGGGCGATATAGCAGCGATTTCAGCTCAAATATTCTTCTTCAGTTCGTCCAAAGTCTTCGGTTCGTTGGCATATACACTGTGCTTTTCAACAACAACAACAACAACTTCAGTAGAAAAAGTCTGGCCAGTCGATACCACATATCCGGGGAAATTTTGCCGTAAGAATTTCATCGTTGGCTCCGCTGTGTGACATTTTGCGTCATCTTGTTGAATCCAAAAGTTTTTCAGACCTTTTATTGCTGGTAAAACAGAGTGTGCCAACATCCACTTATACCATACGCAAGCTGTGTTGCCAGAACTGAGCGATACATGGCTAAAATTGTATTGGAAACCCCTTTTCAAAAAGCTTTTACTGCACGCAATCGGTTGAAGTCTGTCAAAGTTATTTAATTTCCATTGACAACATATAGATGACGCACCCTGTATAACGAACAAACTTAATCCGTACAAAGCGTAGCCCAATCTAATAAGAAAATATTAACTCTTCAAAAAAAGCTGTGTCAGAAGACTCGATGAAAACATCAAACTAATAATAATAACAGGTCCGAAACGCAGAGTGAATTTATCGGAAAAGAGACCGACCGAGTGTATATTTTAATGGCATGAAATGAAAAGCTTCTGTTAAAAATTCCCCAAACTTTCGGCGATCAGGGATTCAAGGATTCAAAAACTTACTAAAGGCGCTTAAAATATAGTGATCCACATTACAGGTGACTTTTTATACCAATAGACCCAAAGCTTAACACGAGTAAGCACAATTCTTCAATGCCAATTTTGAAAATGCTTGCTTGAAAGAAGATGTGGAGGACCTAGCTAAGAAAACCGAGCACTACAGAGTTTCGCTCTTGTCTGTGTATGATGAGCCACTCAGCTGGTTGAACTACCTACAACTAGTTTTTAAAGACTTTTTCTAAGGAGTAGATGCCTGGCGTCAATAAACCCACAAGAATATCAATTTCTTTTTTCTTAGACAGTAATAGAAGTTGCCTTTTCATTACCCTCGTTATTCATATGAAACAGCACCCGAGTGATATTCACTGTGTTTTCGTCTCAGAGTTCCTTAATTACCACGTTGCGCATTGAACGTCTAATTCTCCACCTGCTGACTAACAGAAGTCTTGTGAACTAATGCTTCTTTTGAGCCCTCGGTAACACCCACAAATTTCTGCTGGGAAGACTGAATCGTGGTCATTGAATTTGAAGCCTGATCGAATTCAAAATGATCATTATACAAAAATAAAAATATACTCTCTGCTGGCAAAAGAGCTCTTGGCAAAAGTTTACCTTTCAACGTTTAGTCTACTCTAATTTTCTGTAAGCTGCCTCTGCAACTCAAAAAGCAATCGACTTCAACGATTTCTCAGTAAAACTCTGTCTTAAAGAATAAATCATATATTATATATTTTTAACCGTTGAAATGATTTTCGGCCCAGCTGCTCCTCCAACTTGTGGTATCTGCCTTGATGTTTGCGCAACAACTACAGGAACCTAAAGTTTACTTTAAGCTGCCACCGAGCGGCCGATGGATTGTTATGTGGACCTTTTAATTTCTTTGTCATAGATAGACTCGAAGGGGTCGACATTCCAGGCCGATGGGAGACTGAAATTAGAAAAATTAATTTTTTTGGATGTTTAATGAGATCAGGACTCCAACCCAGGTCCTATGAATATTAGTACGTTTTGCTAACCACTAGGTTCATCTTCCTCTTCGTCGCTTCTGTGACCTAGTCAGCGCAGCCGCTGTCACTTCATTAGCTGAACTATATAAATGTACCAAATAACTCGTACTACTACCAATCCATAAATTGTTCGCAAAACTTTTCTCTCGAAGAACGCTCACGCTTTTGCCCTATGTAGTAGGACAGTAGTCACACTTCATTGACTTTTACAGCATGGTTTGCGTTCGCCGAGAGAGCATTTTACTTTTCAATTGCCTACGCAGTCCAAAGTACTACTGTGAGCAAAAAGTAAGGTGAATTTTCGATTTCATCGCCTTCAAAATAGTCTCCTGCCGATGCAATGCACTTAAGCCAACGCTTTTCCCAATTAACGAAGCTTGCGAAATAGTCACGCTCAGATATGGCCTTCAGAGAGCGCGCCGATTCACGTTTAATCTCCTCAAACGACTCAAAACGTTGTCCTCGATGTGGTGTCTTGAGTTTTTGGAAGAGTCGGAAGTCACACGGTGCTAAGTACGGCGAATACTGTTGTTGGGGAGCGATATTCGTGGACTTTTTTAGCGAAATGGTCACGAAGAATGAGTGCTGGGTGAACTATTCGCGTCACGCAAACTACGCCTAACGCTCAAACAATTTTCCTTATTTGCCGTTTGACCGGGCGGAAGGAATTCATAGTGCACCACACCACGAAAATCGAAGAAAGCAGTCAACATGACCTTGATTATTTTTGAGCGATTTTGACGTGATTTTTTCGGTCTTGCCTCACCTTAAGCACGATATTCTTTGAAGTCTTTGTACTACTTATACACGTTCTTCTGCGGCATTGTTGAGTGCCCAAAGGCTTTCTGCAGCATCTTCGCCGTTTCAGCAGCCGAAAATTAGTTCGGCAAACAAAATTCGATCGCACTTCTTTGCTCAATTAAATCCGAAATTATAAAAACCGCCGAAGGCACTTTTAGTCATTCATAAGAAAAAGAATTAACCCGAAATTTTAAACGTGCGAAGCAAATTAAAAATTAACCTTACTTTTTGCTCACAGTAGTAACACCTGTCGGCAAGAAGGATTCTACATTGAATTTCTAGGCTGACGCTCACTCGGCTATTGCGTCCGAAAATCATGATTGTAGTAAAAATCTTGAGAACGTTGAATCAAATAACCAAAGCGAAAATATACGTAATTTAAAAGCAGTCCAACCCTTCATTCAGAATATCTAGAAAGTGTAGCAACTTTTAAAATTTCAGAAAATTATTCAGACCCCTTTGGTCCTTGTGATATTTTTTCACATTTATTTATAAGAAGCAGTCGAGTGAAATATTCAATCAGATGTTATTGACACGTTCCTTTATTATGCATTTCCGCGAAAACATGAGCTCTCCACAGAGAATGAAGGAGCTGCTGCAATATATATATATATTTCCTCTTATATTTTAAACCTTTTTTTCATAAATATTTTATGTGGGACCATTTAAAAGCTTAAATATTTTTCGCGTTAACAATAAACTATTTTCCGAAAAATACATATGCACATACCTTTGTATATACATAAAATGTATTTATATTTAAATGCACTCCACTTTATTGAATTTTCAACAATTTCTCACACATTTCGTAGAAAAATCGGAAAAATCCACCAATTGGCAAGCACCAGCCATTCCGGATCGGCTGCATACAGTGGGCGCGTCTGTTGACCAATAAACTAAAAGTCTCCGTGTTGGCATTCAAAAGGGTAAACGTTTCAATTATTGCTTGAAGGCATTTAGTAGAAACATGCACCCATACATACATATGTACATACTCATGTGCACCCATGTATGTATGTATGTATTGTAGATAGTGTGAACAATTGTTGGCATTGTTGTTGTTAATGTTGGCGTAGTTTGTGTTTTATATTTTGACTCTTAGGCTTTAAATATGATTTTTTGTTTGTTGTTTTGTTATATTTTATTATTTTTATAATTTTTTTATTTTGTTTTGTCTGTAGTCGCTGTTGGTATTTATATATTTACATATATGACATTTGGCTACAAATACATACATATGTATATGAACTGGTATGTACGTACAAATACCCGGTTACTTTTTGCTGAGTGTGTGTCCGTTATACAGCAGCACAACACACTTTATTGTTGTATTTTTATATTTTTACTATTTTACTTTGTTGTTACTATTTTTTCTTTAATTGAAATTTCAATTTCACTCTGTTTTTACTCATCGTCGTTCTTTTGTAGGGTCTTGTTGTCGTTGTTGTTGTTATGTAGAGCAGCAAGCAACGCTTGTTTACCGCCGCCATACTAACAGCAGTAGCCAGTCATCATTGTATCGTATAGAATATGGTACATATATACATATGTGTGTATGTGCATGGTAGCGGTAGCGTTGAATACTATTTTGCTGTTACTGTTACATTCTCTGTTGTTTTTGTTGTTGTTGTTGTTGATTTCACTTAAAATTCCTTCCATTTTTGCCTCATCCAATGGCTTTTATTGTATTCCTTTAGTTGCATTTAATCTTGTTCTGCATTTTATATTGTTGTTATTGTCGATTTGTTTATTTTCACATTCTCTTTCTTTCTCTCGCTCTCTTTCTGCCCATCAGTACCAATATTTGCTATTATTTTGCTATGCGATTTGTTGCATATATACGTACATACATACATACATACATACATACATATTTTATACACTTTAATGCTTCGGTTATTTATTGCCGACAATTTGTATTTGTTGTGCTTTTGTACTTTGCAAATTGCTTCGACGCTCGTTTGATGTTTTATGTTCTTTATAATCACATTTTTATTTACAGTAAACACTTCATTGTTGTTGCTTTCTATGTTTATTTATTTATTTATTTTTTTTATTTTTTTTTATTTTTTTTTTCTTTAATTTTTTGGCGGCATTGCCAATCGTATGCACGTTTTAATATCCGTTTTCGTGCCAAGTGCAAAGAAATTAAAATTTACATTGTTGTTGTTATTGTGCTGCACTCTACATAAACTATTTATATGTTTTTTGTAATTAATTTGTTTATCACTTTAGCTTTTATTTCTTTTTTTATATTATTTTCCATCGTAGATGGCAGATGAACCCAATCTGAAGAACAGTTATGTCAAGCGTAGCGCATTTAAGCAATACTTTGAGTTGGTCAATAAAATGTATCTTTTCGAGAAGGAAATGTTCGATAGATACACCGCTAAGGGCACATATATGGTGAACGCCGTTTTCAGACAGAATATCCTATGCATACGGATTTGTAATCCCAAGTTTTGTAAGTAATAATTTTGAAAATCGTAAAATAGAATACCAAAAAATATTTTTGCCAGCGATAAGTTAATAATTTAAATTAATTTCGTATTAATTATTTAAGGTAAGTTTTATAAATAATTTTTGTATTGTATTTAAAATAATTTAATTTAATTTTTATCATATTATTTTATTATATCTTGTTTTATTTAACTAAAATTAATTTTATTTAATTTAATTTTATTTTATTTTACTTTATTTTATTTTATTTAATTTAATTTTATTTTATTTTATTTTATTTTATTTTATTTTATTTTATTTTATTTTATTTTGTTTTATTTTATTTTATTTTATTTTATTTTATTTTATTTTATTTTATTTTTTTAATTTAATTTTATTTTGTTTAATTTAATTTAATTAATTTAATTAATTTGATTTAATTTAAGTTAATTTAATTTAATTTAATTTAATTTAATTTTATATTATTTTATTTAATATTAACACAAGCGTTCATCTATTTTTTATGGTCTTTTTTACAGTTGAGTATATTTCGGAGTCAATGGAAACGCTTCGTTCAACTCGCAGGGTGAGTAAAAAAAGCAACCGATTACTCTCTCTCTGTAATTCAGGTACATTAACACTACAGCTTAGCTACCCAGATATTGAGTAATGCGAGTCCTTCGATATTCGTTCAATACTCTCTGGATACTCGTTCGTTGCGCAACTGCTCAATTATATATTTTAATTTCAAATCTAAAGTCTATGTTTTCTTTACAGCGCACCGAAGATGTCGGTGATGGTGCCAATCTACAGCAGTCCGCAAATGTTGAAACCGGTTTCGTACGCAGAATAACCAAATTTACTGTTTATGCAACACTCGTACAATGGTTGGTGTGTAGACCGCATAAAGAAAATATACATATTCAAAAAGCAAGAGCCTTTATAAAAGCGGTGAAATCAAAGAAAAATATGACCGAAAAGGAAAAGTCAAGCTTAAAGATATGCGAATGTAAGTAGGCAAAAGTAATGAAAGAATTACGTAGTTAAATACTAGCGATCCTGACGAACTTCCCCTTACCTCAATTCCACGCTATAGAAAATTCAAATTTTGAACGAAATCAGAAAATAACAAATGACAAAGACGATCATATTGGTAGAGTAAATTATCTTCCTTAAAAACTACTCAATCGTTTTAGAAAAGGAAAGTGAAACATTTAAAATTTGAAGCAAATTGAACCATAAATATGATTTCTCCGAGTATCTGAATCACTATGTGGATAAAAAAGAGCCTCAGAACTAATAAGCCATAAATAAGATCCTTAAGATCAATTTCTCGCATGTTAATATGAACAAAATGTAATCAATCAAATTTCTAGTGAATTGAACCATAAATAGGAGTTTTTCTTATAAGTCGGTTCTGGGTGCACTATTCGAACTAAAGTTAGATTCTCCTTAGCAGAAAAATTCTTTAGCTCTCAATTTAAGGAAAACAGTAATTTTTTCCACAATTTTTTTATAAGTATTTGTACAGAGGCATTTATGTTTAGAACAGATCATTCCCAGGTCTATTTCGGTCCCAGAATTTACTTTCCTGAAGAAAGTGTGTAGTACTGTTCAGGTCGAACCAAGCGTAAGGAACGCTATGTACAAATTATATGTGAGAAATTTACAGAAAATCGAACAAAAATATTTTTTAAAAAGGTCGGTCCCTGATCCACTTCTCAGATTTTTAATATTATTTTCTTTTTACTAGGTATAAATACACTCTATTTACCGCACTCTTTCACCAAGTTATGATATGTGTATTGATGTTTTCTAACATATGGAGTTGCATACAGTTTATTCATGTCAGAAATACATTCGGAGGGCATGACGTTCCCTGCACAGGGGCATCTGTAATTAGAAACAAAAATTTTCTATAATCCCTGCTGATTCGAATGCTAAAAAGCAACGCTAACCACTCAGCTACACCGGTCGCCACAGAAATGGCTTATAAATAATAGAATAAAGGTCAATGTGATGGACTAAAGAGCTTGGGTTATGTTTGAGTGGGCTTTGAAAAGTCCTTCTGACATTTGTGCTTTTAAACATTTAAATATATATATGTGCATATTTACATATATATATATATTATATATTTATATATATAATTTTTTATTTTTAACATTTTAATGAGCTAAATCAATCATTTAAGCCATAAATATTTATTTGAAACTGTTATTTTAACTGACATTCTGAAAAACATGCAATACAATTTTTTTTATGCTAAGAAGGTGCGTTGTGGCGTATGAGTTATCGTAGAGAAGACAAATTCCCACTCTTTCTACTCCACACCTTCAGCGCCTTAATGTAGGCAATCATTTTTGACACTTAACGCACTTGTACGCTTCTTTTGCGGAAACGAAGATGAGCGGCCACTTCAAAGCTAAAATTCCGTAATAAATATGTGCATGTGAATATATTTAACGCGCCAATGGCAAGGCATAATGAAAATTGTGCTTCAATTATTCGACGATTGAAAGCGATTTTTGAATGAGCCACTCACTCAGCTACTCAACTGCTTCATTTATTGGTTTATATTAAAAATGCTGTAGAGATAGAAAAATTAAAAAAAAAAAATTAAATAATTTAGTACTTGACAGTTGTGAAGTCCTTCAGTTGGAATTCAATTTAATGCTATCGTACGCAGCTTTGCTATTAATGTGGCTGCTGTAAGTGAGGCTTTTAAATTTGAAATGTGAGATTATTTGATTTTTTATAAGGGGCGAAGAAAGACTGTGGACTACAAAAAAAAAAAAATTGAAAGAACAATCACAATCAAGTTTTTATGATGATGATGTCTTTAAAAGAATTGACGCCAATCTAAAATGTATATTTGTTCTATTTGCTCGTGCTCCCACTTCTTTTCCATCTTACTATATATCATCCACTCCAGCCTGACTTTCGCGCTTCTCAGCTAATAACCTCAGTTCGTCACTCAGTCATTTAGTCAGTCAAGCATATTGAATATCCGCAAAAGCTCGTAGAAAGCAAAAAGAACCATTGCCCCAACAATGTTTGTATAGTAAATTTGACACTGGCGCCGAGTTCAAAGCATTTCAACTATATATATGTATACGGAGACTCTTCTACGCTTCACTGCTTTTATTAGACGCATTAAATTTTTTGAGCGTGGGGTAATTTGGTTAACGTATATTAGCGTAGATTACTTTTCACTTTGAATAAGTGAAGAATGTACTCAAAAATGGAAATAAACATATATGTATAATATTGTTATTAGTGTATTAGTATGATTTCATATTAGACATACATTTAAGTGTGGTTATATACACAAATAGCAATTTCTTTTAGTTATGGTTTTTTTTTTAACATTTTCATAATTCCCTTTTCTCTGCTTTGTTTGCAGTGCTTGTGCGTGCTGAGCAGCAGGATGGTTTGCCCACTTGGCGTGAATTGGTTGGCGATCGTATTTTGATTGAGTTCGATTTGCAATTTCGCGTTAACTTATCGAGAGGTAAGTGTAAGGATGGAAATAAAGGGAAAAAATACCGGGACCTACAGTTAGAGTTAGAATTAAATAATGAGAGAAAAATTCCGTGAAATTACTTAGTTCATAGAACTCACGAAAGGGCAACAGATTAATTAAAAATATTTGGAAAAATTCTAATTCTAATCATAATAACAAGATTATCAAGTTATTAACTGCCCAAGAAATTCAAAAAAAAAAAACATTATTAATTAATTATCTTCTAAATTATGTAGGAACTTTTGAGATATGTACTTCTCGCTTAATTTTTTTATTAAATAAAATTTTAGAAATTTTTGAAATCATGTTTGAGGGTCAACAGTTCGAACATTTCGGCTATGTCTTGCCTAACGTACTGCGTACTGCCATTATGAAGAAGGAAATGCTTTTCAATGACTACGAAGCCGTGTCCAATGTCATCGATCGATACAATGCACTCATAGATGGTCTTGTGTTGTCGGAAGTAAGTACGGCGGTTCTGTTAAGTTGTGGTGGTATTTTATTTTATTTTATGCTTTTTAAAATCTTTTAGTTTTGAATTTTTTCTTATTTTATTCTATTTTAATATATTTCTATTAATTTGATATTATTTTATTAAATTATATTTCATCTAATTCTCATTTTATGCTTTTTAAAATCTTTTGATTTTATTGTTTATTTTTCTAATTCTTTTATTTATATTAAAGTTAATATTTTTATTTAATTTTTCGAATTTAGTTTATTTTATGTATTTAATTCTATTCTATTTACTTAATATTATTTTATTAAAAACTAGGTCATTTATTTTACTTAATTTCATTTTATTTGTCTTTATTTTAGTTTGCTTTAAATAATTAAATTTAATTTAGTTACATTTATTTTTAAATTTTATTTTATTTTGTTTTATAGTATTTTTTTTTAATCTTTTTTCATTTGATTACATTCGCTATATTGTATTTGATTTAAATTTATTTTATTTTAATAAATGCCATTAAAATTATTTCGTTTTATTTCAATTGGTTCATGCAAATTAATTTAATGTAATGCATTTTGATTTAATCGAGTTCAACATAGTATTATTTTATTTCATATTAATTAAAGTTATTTTATTTTATTTCATTTTAGTTATTAGCATTTTATTTTACCTTATGCCATTTAATATATTAATTTTTTTATTTTGGGTTATTTAAATTAGTTACGTTAAGATTTTAAATTAATTCAATTTAATATAATTTTACTTTATTTTATTCAAATATATTTTTGTTACATAATACTATTTTATTAATATCTGTTTTATTAGTTTATTTCTGTATTTTAGTTTGCTTTAAATAATTAAATGTAATTTAGTTATTTTTTTTTTAATTTATTATATTTTGTTTTATAACATTTTTTTATTAATTTTTTCGATTTTATTTTATTTTTTGTATATTATTATATCTTAAATTTATTTTATTTTTTTAATAGTATATTATTTTAATGCAGGCTATTTAATTTATTTCATTTTATTTTGATGTATAAAAATAACTTAATGTAATTTTTTTAATTTAATTTAATTTAATGCAATATTATATTATTTGATTTTTAAATATTTTATTTTATATTATTATACTTACTAGTATTTTATTTTATTTGACGTCATTTAATTTCTTTAATTTTGTTTTTATTTTGGTTTATTTAAATTAATTGAGTGTAATTTTTGTATATATTTTTAATTTTTATTAATTAATATTTGTTTATTTTATTATTTTTTATCCTGTTTTGTTCTTTTTTTTAATATAATATTATTCACACTATTTGATTACATATTATTTTAATTTTTTTAAATTAAATTAATTATATTTATTTATTTATTGTTTTTTTTTAAATTAATTTTGTTTCACTTTGTTTTACTTTACCTTATGTTTTTTATCATATTTAATTTCATTTTGTTTTAATATATTTTATGTAATTATATATCTTCATTTTATAATTTGATTGAATTTCATTTAATCTTTTTTTTTTGGAAATATGAAATTATATATTTTTATTGCTTCCACCTTTAGTTTTATCATTCGTTATTTTTTCAGGTCAATTTCCTACGTGATCACCTCTACGAAACCGAAATCGTCATACAGACCGGCATCGGTCGCTACACCTGGCAGTCATTCAATATATTGAAATTTTGTGAATCGGTCAATACGCTCATACGAAAACTCATCTCTATTGTTTCGCAAATAAATTTCATACGTTTAGACATTAAAAGTCGCATTGATCGTATGAAACAATTCAATCTCTTTGACATACACGATCGCACCGGTTTGGGGCGACCATCCAAAACACCGGACGTACAATTTACAGAAGAATCAAATGAATCAGAAATTGAGCAGCAACAACAAGTATCTAGTGAGCCGGATGAAGGTGGTAGTGTTACTAAGATACCACATGTTAAGATTGTGCAGCTAAAAGAAGAGGAAGCTGAGTTGACGTTGCAAGAAAAAGAATGCGGCAGGGACATGTACCATTTCCAGGGATATTTTGAGAAACTCGAGCAATCACGTAATGAAAAATGTGCGTATATGAAACGATTGTATAACTCCATCGGTCCGGTATTGGTGAAATTGGAGAGTCTGGTCTTGGGCACATTCACTGGGCGGTCTGAGAAGATGCGCGGCTATTACACGTATTGGGAGCAAATGACTTTTCACTGCATATTGGAGTGAGTACTCAAGGATGTATTTTTTTGGGCGCAAAATTAAATAAGTATTTTTATTGCAATTGAATTTGTACTTATTAAAATTTCTTTATTGCAGTAACGCCTATAAAAACCTCAAATGCTACATTGAGCGTTTGCTGAGCGACGTGCCAATGTTTGAGGTGAACGCTGTTATGCTGATGTCTGAGATTGTGCTTGAACCGACCGCTTCGGAAATGCAAAATATAATGTTGCAGTCGGCTAAGGACTATTTGGAGCGGTAAGGAAGTTCGGCAAAGATATTAAAATTTAAAATAATAAATGTATTTAAAATATTCCTTATTTTATTTTAAAGTATTCACATCTACACCCGCTGGATGGATGGCACTTGCTTGCCCTGCCCGCCACTCAACGATGAGTATGGTGATAAGTATATATTTACCTTTTATGAGGATGTCATTAAGGTGAGCTGAAGAAAGGTCTTTTCTTAATGCTGTTATATACCTGGAGTTCGCTTTATGAATCTTTCAAGGTGCGTGACATCAGCCATTTGGTAGTACGCGTCCAAGAGGTATCAACGGCGTTGGTACTTGAATGCAAAACCGTTATTTCAAAGTAAATATGCTTTCGCTCATACTTAAATATATTACAAATCCATTACAATAAAATCATATATGTTTACTTTTTATATTTCTTTTATTTTAGTTATTTCTCTAACTCTAACTCTGATACTAAATTCAACTTAAAATCTAACTCAACTGCAACCGTAACTCTAAGTATAACTCTAGTTTTAATTTTAACTCTTGTTTCAGCTTTAACTCTAAATCTTAGTCTCAATTTAACTCTATTTCGAACTCTCACTCTAATGGTTACTATTATAGCTCAAACTCTAACTCCAACTAGAGCTCTAAATAAACTCAAACTCCAAAACTAGTCTTAACTCTAACTCCAATTCCAACTCTGATTCTAACTTTAACCATAATTCTAACTCCAACTTGAACTCCAACTGGAACTTCAGCTCTAACTCTAACTCTAACTCGAGCTTTAACTCTACTTCTACCTCCTTTACCTCTTACTTTAATTATAACTCTGGTTCTAACTATAAAACTAACTTTAAATTTAACTCAAATTAAAACAAATACTCTGTCCTTCTTATAATCCACCTCGTTTAAACTCTCTTCCTCTCTTTACTTACAGATTTAAGCAATATTTCTACTTGTGGGCCTTCGATAAAATGGCCATTGCTGAGAAATTCATAAATCGCGGCATGCCTCTCGTCACATTGGATGAGAAATTCACATTTTTCGCTAATATCATTGAGGAAATACAAATGATGCCACCCTATTGGAATGCCCGGAGTATACGCATTAACTTGAAAAAACTAATGGACAGCATTTCGCAGCATGCTCAGCAGTGGCGTTCAACACTTGGCGAGTTGTTGGCCAAAAGAACAGCTGAAAATATTATTAGCTTACGTAATGAAATCAAAGTGAGTATGGATGGGTTGGTATCTGTATATACATACATACATACATACATATATAATATTCATATGTGAACTGCAAATAATGGTTTAAGCGCGTTTAAGCGTCCGAAAGGTCATTTGAGACACTTGAAACAGATAAAGTACATCGATTCTGAAGTACAAAATAGAGGTTATGTACATTCGAAAGCACTGTGTAGGCTTATACTATGAAAGAAGAGCAAGATGCTCTAAATTAAGTACAAAAAACTTTTCCATACTAGGGTTAACCCCTTTTCGAACTTCCGAATTCCGTCCGTTTTGTTGAATATATCCATAGTGGAAGAAAGCCTTAGGCTAGCAGCTTTACGTGCCGAATGTTAGAAAGGCAAGCTGAAGGATGGATGGTATTGAGAAAAAGAGAGAGAGAGAAAGAGAGATTGCGATGGCTGCACAATAGTATAACGATTTTCGCTAAATACGCCTCGATGATATCCCAAATCATAGGAGTCGACTGCTGGGTCGTTAAATAAAAAACACCAAAATTGTTGTGCAATTTCTTAATTGTAAGGAACTTAATCAACGTATATTTATTACTCAATAAATAAAAATTCGCTTTACTATACACCAACACTTAGTTCACATCTCTACTGTTTTCACTTTTCACCGCTGATGTTACCAATGAGTTCACTTTGCAACTAACTAACGCTGTGTTGACCACTCTGTTATATTCCTCACTAATTGTTCGTATCCAGCTCTGGAAATTTCTGAAATATACTTATGATATACAGATTATTCGATATTCGCGCTCTAGAATACGCTTTAATTATCGGCCACTCCTTTTCAACTCACATTCCTATTTGGCATTTTCGTCACAATGAACTCATAGCAATGGTATTTCCAGGGCAGTTATAACTGCCGATTAAGATGAATGCACAACTTGCCTACCAGCTGAAATGAAGTGACTGCAAATATCCGCAATAACAACCGAGAAGTGACTATTGGTTCAACTAGTCACCGACATATCGACTCAAATGAAATAGAAAGAAAGAACGCCAAATGGCAACTTTAAACGGCGATCGGTAGTTAAGTGCTAAAGCCACTGTATACGTCAAAAAAAAGAATCTTTTTTCAAAAAAACTTTTTTTTGCGGAAAGAAAGGCACAAAAGTTATTATAAAATAGAAAAAATTATAATTTATATGAAAAAGAAATTTTAATACGGCGGAACTATGGACATTTTTGTAAAGTGATTTTTCTTCTGGGAGATGCGCGGCTTTCAGTACACAGGCTGCTTGTTTATTTTTATAAGAATAGCTAAAGAATGACGGACGGATCTCAAAAAACGTGATTCGAAAAAAATATATTTAGATTTTTGACCCATACAAAATATCTGTCGGAGCGGCCCGGTGCGCTCGGTAAAAGAGCAAGTAATTTCAATGCAATCGATGTCGGGCACGTAGAAGACCTTTTTTTATTTATTCTAAAAGGTTCCTAGAATATTTTTAGCCTTTGAAAACACAATTTCTTAAAGCAACTACAGTGGTTGGCTTGGTGATAGAGACTGCGGGAAGGCAATTAGAGGGATGCTGTCTCCGCCCTACGAATAATATCCGAAACGATCTGATAAACTGCATTTAGCTTGGACCAACGCTACTCCTGTCGGTTTTTACGTGAGAAGTCCAAGAATTACTTTCTATGCCGCCAGAAGGGAGGAGGAGTTAACTGATGGAAGTTTCTCCTACCAACTGGTAGTAAACGTGTGCTCCGGTCTTTAAACCTTGTGCAACTAACACATCTTCTCAAATACTACTCGAGAATTTCCTCTAACGTCCAGCTATTCAAACCATTTATATTCACACATTTGTATTGATTTTTCGTCGCGCTGTATTTTATCTCTCCATTGCTATTCCGCATTCCTCTTGCTTTTTACTAACATCGTCGAAAGTCATTTTTTCTCTAACAGCGTCATGTAGGGAGTACGAAATATCGTTCCATAATTCCCTTATATCGGGTTGTTGATGTGTGCCTCGGAAAGGAGAAAATCATTTGACTGTGTGGAGGACGAGGCGCGGAGCGGGAAACCAGTTGATTACCGTGGAGTCGTCCACAAGGGAATTATTCCACCGGGGTAAACCGTAAATTAAGTCTACAATCGCCAAGTACTCGAAAGATTGCGAAAGGGAGTAAATAGCGTGTGCCCAGACATCGCTCATAACTGGATCCTTCATCACGACAACGCGACGCGCCACACCGCCTTCACCGTATCGCAGTTTTTGGCCTCTAAAAGGATCGCCGTATTGCAACAACCACCTTATTTGCCTGATTAGACACCCTATGATTTTTTTTGTTCCCTAGAACAAAATCGGTTGCCAAAGGAACCCATTTTGATTCGATTGAGGATATCTGGGCAGCTGTTACGGACACCTCAATCGAAGCGTTCCAGAAATGTTACGAAGCATGGAAAACGCGCTGGAATCGTTGTATAGCTGCCCAAGGGGACTACTATGAAAGGGATGGCAGAGTTGTAGAATAATTGGGAAATAAACGGTTTTTACGGAATCAGTTTCATTACTTAATTGCCGTACTTCATAAATGTACCCGTCCCGAAACGGTGTGCGGTGAAACTACATTCAATGTAACAAGACAAATCTGGTCATGGTTCGAGTCTTTGCTCTTTCTAAAGCGAAAATTTTCTTTTGTGCGCCAATCGACCTAACAACCACATATTTTGTGATGGAAGCTCGTGTGGCTGTATTTCGCTAACAACTTCTTTCACAGCTGCCGGAATATAGAAAATATACGAAGCTAAGAATATTCCTCTTCCTGCTAGCTCGACTGCATCTCGACTCCTTGGGTTGTCTCTGTGTCTGGTAATTCCAAGCGTGGACGTTTGGCATACTTTAATGCGACTCCTTACATCATTAGTGTTAACTTTGGGGTGTAAGCGTTGCGTCTGTCTGAATACTTTGTAATTATTTGAATGAGCATTGCCAAACGGAGTACCCACGAATCGGCTGATATTATTCTAGGCAGTTATGGGTAAAAGACGCTGCAGACAGCTATGCAGCTTAATATATTTTCTTGTGGCAAAATTAGTAGCCACTTAAACACATATTCCTTGCCCCGATAAAGTTGATCAGCTTCAACGCATCACCACCAACGCACTCACCATAGTCCAACCTTATTTCGTCAAACGCATATCTCTAGCTGCCGCCAGGGCAACCTTAATTTTTTCGAGGGCAACAATTAGCTAAACAACAACGTCTTCCCAATTAAGCGACTGGGCATTCCAGGTGCATACAGAGGTCTATGACCGAAAGTGGCTAGCTTTTTGAACCATATACGGAAGAGTTGTTCCATACGTGGCCTCATGCTTCAACAAATCAATAATAAAAATATATAAATTCAGCTGCAAGTCTCCCACAGATTCGCCTTAATATATGTGATCATTCAAACTCTAAAATAAGTTTCTCTCTCACTCTCAGGAGCTACGTTTCAACCTGGATAAGACGACCAAAGAGCTGGCAGACTTCAAATTGGTGATGCAAACAATATCTACGATACAAACGAAAACACTCACATATGAGCAGAGAATACATGAACTGCAGGAGACTTACACTGTACTCGCCGAACACAACATCAAGGTGAGTTTGCCGGTTATTAATTGGTTGCTTTGCATAATGTAGAGTGTCTTATATGTGTGTGTAATAATTAAGTTTTTGCTTTTAATTTTTTATATATGTATGTATACATGTATCATTTTTGGCTTGCAATTATTTTGTAAATTTCACTAAACTCAAAGGATAATTTAATATTCTTGAGTCAACGATTGCAGCATAAGCTTTCGACGAAACAAAAAAAAACACTACCAGAGAAAATAGTAGCAAACTTGTTGGCGACAACGTAAATGCACTCTCCAAATGCTCCAAATGCTCCAAAAGACACCAAAGACTCAGCGGAACCAGCGCAAATATTAAAGTGACCTAACAAACCAACCGCATTTGCGTTGAGATTTCATATTTCGTCACACATGCACACACACACATGCACGTATGTATAGTTTGCTTAGAAGCCACAACGCATGAGTCCATAGCTTCCTTTTTATTTTGCATATTTTTTTTTTTTTTTTTTTTTTTGGCAAAAGCTCAGTTACACGCTGTTGACCAAAAGCATTTGAATTTAAGTAAAATGAAAATTTATATAAGTCCACATGTGTGCCAACAAAAAACGCCCACATGTGGGCAGACACCAGCACAAATGTCCATGTGTATGTTTAAGCAAATACACAAGAGCGAGCGTCACATGCATATATGTATTGTATGTACATACAAATGCCCACTAACAACTGCACTACGTTGACTGAAGCTGACTGAAGCTGAACTGTTTGGAGTCTAAGCAAACTAAACTACAAAAGCTCTACTTCATCTATCTGCGTACATACATACATACATACATACATCTATACTTGTAAGTGTGTGTGCGTGTGTATGTGCGTTTGTCTCAGTGTTTTACTTGCCCATTTTGGCACCAGCCAGCCAAAATGATGTGTGCACCATGCACCCGCTTGGACAGACACAAGCGACAACAATACTTGAATATATTTGCATGTGTATGTATATTGTATGTGTGGGTGTAGCCCGATTTTCTTTGTACACTTTTTGTTGAATTCAAAAAAGGATTTTTCGAAAATCCCTCTAAAAGCCACACGAGTATTTACAATGCAAGCAGCAGCAGTACCTTTAAGCAGCAGCAGCCGCAGCAGTAGCAGCGAGGACTTCAGCAGCTCGAAATTTCCCAACGAACTGACCGCTGAGTGGTGGTGGCTAACTAAAATTTGCATATACAAACGTGTAAATGTATGCGTGAGTGTATTTGTAAAATAGAGACTAACAGCTGGTGGCACACATGCAGTTATTTGCATATACACACGTATGCAAACGTGCATGCATACACAAACCTATCTCCCCGCTTTGAATCCCTCTCCACTGCCGCTTGATTCCCCTTAAAAATCAATACATCCGAGAAGCTGTTGCAATGTTACATACATGCATACATACATACTCGTACATACTCGTATAAACACACTCACACATAAACACACACACACAATTCAACCGAAAAATATTATGCAGATTTCAATATCTTACTTTTGCTATTTGGAAATTTGACCGCGTCCCGCTTAAATTTCGAAAGCTTCCCGTAGCAGTGGCAGCAACTGCTGCTCGTTCATATATTCATTCATTTAGTCCAAATACTTGACTGTTGGACTTGCTGGAGCGTTAGAGAGTTATTGGCGCGCTTTGAAGCGTAGACTTTCTGAGGTCGGTCTGCATATTTCCACAATCCCCTCACCCCACCTGCCACAGCTGTTATGGCTCTGTCCAAACGATTTTCATATACGAGCACTCAAATGTAAGTATTTGAGCCTGGCATTCAGCAGCTGGGTATTAACTTGCATTTTATAGAAATTAATGTACAAAGCATCGAATAAACTTACCAAAATACACCACGTTTGGCAAATGAACATAACTGTCAGGCGAAATGTTTTGCACACTGCACACTTTGTTGCTTTGTTATTTTTTTTTTTTTTTTTTTTTTTTGTTAGAAAAAATCCATAAATATATTTATTTCACTTAATTTACCATAGTGGCTGCGAGCGAAAGTGCATTAACCGAGATTGGATTTTATTTTATATATTTTTTTTTTCGATAAATTCTAAAACTTGTTTGGTGGCTAAAGAAGGTGTCTTCGCGACTACAGTCGGGTAATTCAGCTTCCCTAGACCGTAATAGAATATCTCCAAGGGAGGTGAAGCACATCGACTTCTCCAAGTCCGTAAATATGGTTGTTTGTAGCACCATTTTTTGGCACAAGAAAGTTCAGCAAACCACTTAGTCCCGGATCTAAAATCTCGCACCCAAATCAAACATGTTGTGTGAGACATGTATCCAGGGTTCTAATTTCGATCGACTCAGATACCTGTCACTATCACTAGCGAAGATCCGCATTCACATTTGTGCAGCAAGCAACCCGACTTTCTCATCAGTTCTCTGAGAGCGTTCATCAGCAACTCGATGTAAGGGAACTGTGATACGGCATTTTTAGCAATAGCTTTAAAATGAGGCTAAAAGTAGAGCTGCTCCGATGAGGATTACCGCGTAGCAGTACCGCGGCGACTTATAAGAATATCTCCAGTTTGAAGCATACTCATGTAGGAATGTTGGAAGCAAGCAGGTAATCTGTTGACCAATGTGCAGACTCTTCTGATTTTATGGAGGAAACTCTTCTTCAATCTGCTGAATGGTTGTGAAAGCGCAACGCTCAGAGAAGATTAACCCGAGTCAGCAATCTTGATAATGGCAAAAACGTTCCAATGTCCAAGTAAAAAGAAATACGAATAGCGATCGCTCGCTTAAAAAATAACAAAGAGCTGACTTACCACCCGAGCTATTTAAATATGGCAGTGAGGTACTTCGCGAAATATATTCGGCGGAGCTCTTGTGCAACGATTGAAATCTAAGAACGCTTTGCTCCGTAAGTCCTCAGTCATCCTTTTCAACGTAAATCTTGAAATACTTTATTCGACACCCACTTGAGATGAACTAATGACATCGAGCACCGCAAAAAAGCTTAACGAAATATCGCGTTCAAACTCAACCACAATACAAACGACTTTTTCATTGATCTAATCCTCATATATTTTTGTTAGTTGATCTTCCACCGCTGTATATGATATATATTATAGAGCCCATTGAAATTGATATTGTTGTGGAAAGGGATCTTAGAGACTATATTTGGAGGCGCCACAAGCGTTATTCTCTTTAAATTAATTTCAATTGAGTAAGACTCTGTTAAATTACAATAGCATTTAATTTAACCATAAATATAAAATTGTAATAATTTATTCTTTCTTTTCTTCTATCTTTCATGCATTATAACCTCATCTTGGGATACCAAAAAATCAATGCTAACCAACTCGCCATGGAAATCAATCATTCACCATCATTATAAATATTTTATTTTGCCATTTTGTATGCCAACGCATCATCCTATCATTATTGTTGTTGTTATTACAATGTGCTATTGTGGCCTAAAATGCACACAAATACAAATTTAGTTCAACTTTGACGACTTGCTGATGGCACATCACCTAGAGAAACGCTGGAATCGTCTCTTCCGTTCTTCGCTCTTCCGCTTGGATAAGGTGCAACCAATTAAGCAGAAATTTGCTGATATGACGGCGGTGGAGATATCAACATTTTGGGAAGAGGTGAGTTGCTAGCGAGGTATTTATATCTCTTTAGTAAAATAACATACAGTAAACTTGAGTTTAAATGAGTTGAGCTCAAATAAATATTATATATAGTAGAACAATTGAAATAAAATAAAATAAAAAGAAACCAAATCAAGTCAAATTAAATATAAAAACATTAAAATATAAATCATTAAATTAATAAACTAATATAAATTAAAATTAAAAATAAAATAAAATAAAATAATATAAAATAAAACTAAATAAAATAAAATAAAATAAAATAAAATAAAATAAAATAAAATAAAATAAAATAAAATAAAATAAAATTAATTAAAATAAAATAAAATAAATTAAAAAAAATTAATTGAATTAAACTAAATTAAAATAACACAACATAAAATAAAACCAAATTATCAAAGTAAAAAAATAAATTAAAAAAATATAAAATTTAATCAAGTAAAATGAAAAAACTTAAAATAAAATTAAATAAAACAACTCAACATAAAACCAAATTAAAATAAATTAAACTAAATCAAATTATATAAATTAAAAAAAAAGATATAAAAATAAAATGAAATAATTTAAAGTAAAAAAAAAATAAAGTTAATAAAATAAAACAAAACACACTACAAGCATGATATACAATAAAATATTTATTTATTTAATGTAAATTAAATTTAAACTACAAATTTAAATAAAACAAAAACAAATTCAATAGAAAATAAAATGAAGCCTAATTAAATTAATTTAAAAGAAATAAAAGAAAAAGAAATTAATTAGAATAAAATTTTACTGCAATAAATAAAACTTAATGAAATGAAATAAATTAATATAAAACAAAATTAATTAAACTGGTGTAAGTAACTAAATATAAATTTAGTTTAACGAAAAAGATATATTATATATATAGTATAAAATTTATAATAGCTTTAAGATATGTGATTATAATATTAAATAAAGAAAGTTTAAATGAAAAAAAAAAATTAATTTAAATAAAATTTATTTAAATTATTTATATTTAATAAATTAAAATAAAATAAAATAGAGCAACAATTATTAAATATATTTTTATCATGCCATTTTAGCTGGAAGTCACTTAACACGCTTTTACTTATTATAGCATTCGTAACTTTTGATCTAACATAACTGTGTATGTGCCGTTGCCAGGGACTTCATATTCTTCTTGCCTACAGGGTGACCATATGAGATTGCTGGGAGAAAATCAATAACATTTTTTAGGTTGAGAATTGTTTAACCCAACTTAGGCAAAATATATTTTCGTTGACATATAAATTAATTAATAATTTTTTTTTTTGCAACGGGGTCTTGGTTAACTCTCAAAGTTTTCAGCGCTCTTTAAACATATTTCTTAGTGATATAGAGGCCGTGCGTGGTCAGTAACTCTCCCATGGAATAACCATTTAAAAGCATTCTTCTAACAGCTCCTGCCTATTCTTCGAACGCTGTGAAGTAAGTTCCAGTCAAGAGCCAGCAGAACTATCGGATCACTCTCTTATATACAATCACAATCCACGTCTTCATCTCTGCTACCTCACATGGCATTCGCATTCATTGTTTTATTTATTCCATTTGTTCAGCATTTTCCTGTTGTTTTGGTTTTTCTTCCATTATTGCTTCCGTTTTCAATGTGAATTTAATTGGATTTTCTCTAGCGCTGCCATTTTAACGAATATTCAAGAAATGGACGGACTCTCCTGACTTCCATATGATATGACTACACACAAACAAATATATGTACATCCGTAGATAAGTGTGTGTGAATAGCACGTCTGCCTGGTACTACCCGCACACAGCTTGCTGACGGACGTCCATGGCTTGGCTCACGCACGCACACTCTGCTCAACGGCAACGGTTGAAACGGCTGCTGCTGACACCATTATTGTCTATTATATAACAGTAAGCACTTCATGGCGCGCGCTCGCGTACAGCAACAATAGCCCGGATTACATCACTACCACCCACCTGCAAACCACATGCACCTGCAACTGCAACTTTTTTCCTCCTTGCAATGTGAGCCCTCTCCACTGGCAGTTGGAGCTCAACGCATTTGCCCGACGTTTGCTGGCTGCTTGCATCCTGTCGCTCTCATTCGCTTAACGTCCGTCTATCGACATTGACGATACTGTCTTGTCGCTTGTCGTTGCTGTCATTCCTACATTCCACATTCATACAAAATGTTCGGCTATGTATTTGGACGAGTGTGTGTGGTTGTGTGTGTGTGTGTGTGTGTGTGTGTGTGTGTGTACGTCCATTGGCATTATGCGTTTTACGTTTTCACTTCGCCACTTTTGTCTGTCGGCATGCATTTTATATGCTTCATTCATTTCATTTGCGCATCCGGCCAATAGTGTATGCTCCATGCGCTTCATCGCCAACCACGTTCTCATTCTTATTCTTACCCAACGTCATCTACATCTTCTTCCTTTTCTTCTTCATTTGCTCGCAGCAAAGAAAGCGCAGCAGGCTTGCTAACAAACCAAGAAAACGAATCAAATTGAAGTGTTTATTATGCGAATTAAAAGCGACAATAAGCCGTTGGCTGTGCAACTATTGCTGTTGTTCTTATTGCTATTGTTGTCGTAGGGGCTGTGTGCGCGTGTGTGTGTATGGGTGCTTGAGAAAATGGAAATAGGCAATGCAGCTCTTTTGTATGTCATTAAATTTAGATTTTAGCATCACAAAGACAGACGCATAAAGTAAATATTTAATTTAAAGTTGAGAGGCTATATGCGTCTGTACGTATGTTTGTGTGTGTGGATGCGTGCACAAATTAATGCCAAGAAAGGTATTTGCTTCGCTGTTGAATAATTATAATGGAAGCTAATATAATATTAAGCTATGACTGAGCTCGATCAAGCCGCGAGGATGAACGGCGGTGAACCTCCCACACGCTATTCAGCCACATACCAACCAGGGGAAGTGAAACATCTGGATGTGATGAGCTTGAATTCCTCACCGAAACTTATGGAACTGACATTCGAATACCCGACTTTTACAAAGTACAAAAAGCGATTGCCCGTCTGAAAAACGTCAAAGAGACGGGAGCCAATGGCTTGCAGATTGTGTCTGATATGGCAACATGGTGGCGGAAAAGTGGCAAGATGTATGCGGCAGCTCTTTGCTGGACATAGTTCAATGAGTGCATGCCTGATGATTGGTATTGAAGTGTGATACATCGGAAACACACAAAGGGAGTCACAATAATCTGCTGCAATTAACGTGACATCGCATTCCTAAATATCGCTTTCAACGTCCTATAGAACGGTTTTTGTGAAAAATTGAAGCTCACCGTTACCGAACTAATTGGATCTTATCAGCGCGCCTTCAGTCCAGACAAATTTTTATCCGCTATGCTACTATATCTGAATCTAAGGCTGTATAAACTCTCGCTGGCAAACACCAAAACTTCGTCAGAATCGGAAAGGACCTCTCCGAGCCGCTTCATCGTGTGACTTCTCTAAATTACTGCTGGAGAAAATAATGCGAGCTACAGCGTACACCCTCTATATGAGTATACAACCACCTGAGTTGTATGCCGATTATATTGATATCATTGGCCTCAGTAGCCTCGCTGTTAGTACTGATTTGTTTGGGCTGGTCAAAGAAGCAAAGCATACGGATCTGGCAGTGTATGAGGAAAAGATGAAATGCCTCTTATCATCATGCAAACTGTCAGCGTAATTGAGACTCACCTCCGATGTCCCTGGTGGTAGTCATTACATTAAAGGTGTAGACAATTTGAGATGTTTTGAGAACAGCTGTTTTGAAGTCTAAAACAGAGATACTTTTCCCAACAGGTGGTACTGAGTAGGCAATTGAAAAGTAAGGTTTTGTCTCGAAGATCAAATGCCAAGTTCAACAAGGCGCTCATCATTCCCGTCCTGCAGTGCAGAGACCGAAGGATGATGTCAAAATCGGATGAGTCACTGCGCACTGGGAAGTATCGAGAAAACGTTTTGTGGATGCAGGAAAGTGAGAGACATACTTTTGGGGATTTAATATGAAGGTTTTCGAAATCGATATTTTCTCCGAGCAATATTTCCAGAGTTCCTGTTAGTTCTAATTAGTAATGAAGCACAAAGAGCATCTAATTCATAAACTTCCAAAGAATTCCAAAGTTTGATAAACAGTAGCAGATTTCCATTTCCATTTTCGAAATACTACTTAATTTCAGTGAGCAACATATTTTTTCCCCTGACTTAAGGGCTTTCGGACCTACAAACATATTTCCAAGGGATGAATGGATTGCTTTGGTCTTTACTATGATTATCGAACCTCTTAGAGATGATTCCCACCCTTTAACTTCATTTGTTCAGATAACTCGGCACTGTTTCGGGTTCAACAAATGGATAAATTCATTGGTAGATATTTCTTGATGTTTCCTATTACTTCAGGGAGCTTTTTGTTTACTGACCATGATATGATACACACGAAGGGGGTTTCTGATGAGAAACGATCACACTTTAGTTGTTGAGTTGATCAAATGATAAACCATTGGCTAATGGCGCATAGTACCTACTGCTAACTGCTCAGCTACTGCGGCCGGAATCGCTTAGTTATACTGCAACTACCCATCTCACATATTGCACAGCCATAACATCCCACTGTAATAGAATATACAAACACGAGTATTTTCTGCGGAAAAACCGTCAGGTGACAACTCTGGCGTTGTCTTAAGATATGTTGCTATGGATGGAAGGTACGTAAAATGGCTAGTTGCAGCATTAGAAATGAAACCTGATTTTCGCTACTCGGCTCACTGCTCGGCATACCTCCGTCTTACCTAACTCAAAAGCAGCATAGCAAGAAAACGAAAAATAGGAATTAACTATTTTACTCCAAACTTATAAAGTATTCCCTTCAGGGAAAATACAACTAAAACTCCCTTAGTCTACATTACCATCGTCCTGTTAAACTAGTACTTTTTTACTACTAGTATTTAACCAGAATTTTAAAGCTGTAATCATACCAGCTAACTGCTTTTTAGCTAGTGTCCTAATAAGGGTTAAACCTTCATTTCCACTAACATGCCATCGATATGTTGTTTTAATTGTGCTAGAAATGTAGAAATTTTATCTCCTGACCTGCTGAGCTGAGTGACTTTGGTTTAGCTGGTAATGAGATGAAATTTGCTTTTTCGTACTTATATAATTTTTTTGATAATTTATTGTATAAAAGTATTGGATGAGTGCATAAGTTCGTGCCCGATTTCAAGTGCAAACTAAAATTGAAATTTTTTGAAGAAAGCGCTTTTATTAATCAATTATATACTCGCCATCATGTTCGGCAATCCACTTCCAACGTTCACCAATTTACGGATGCCTGATTCACAGAAATCGCGCGGTTTCTCGTTGAAAAAGGTGTCAAGGTGGTTTTTGACGTCTTCCACATTTTTAAGTTTTTTTCCATTCAAATTGTTCTGTAGCGATCGAAACAAATGATAATCAGAAGGTGCAATGTCGGGTGATAATGGGGGATGCGGCATGAATTCCCAATTCATCTCCTTCAGTTTGGCCAGGGTCGGTTTTGCAACATGTGGCCTCTTTCTTGGTATCTCCAGAATGAAATTTCGCGAACCATTTCTTTACTGTGCGGAGTGCTGGAGCACGGTCCAAATAAACTTAGCGAATATCTTTAGTTGCAGCGCCTACTGTTTTTCCTTTGCTGAATTCGTATAACATAATATGACGCATATGATCTTTTTCGTTGTCCATCTTCCATGTGTCTTTTCACTAAGCAACTCAAATCAAAATGAAGTTATTTTATGCTTGATTTACAGCTCGGACTGTAACCTTTCCAACGATATATAATATGTATATATTTCTTTCACGAGCGCCACTCTCAAACGATTCGAACGGCAGCCAGCGGAATCGGGCACGAACTTATGCACTCATCCAATACAAAGTGTCAGAAATAATTTCCAAAAAAATTTAAGTCGATCGAGACGAAACTGTAGAAATTAGAGATTTTTAAAGCCAGCCGACTTTGTCATGGCCTGATCGATGGCGAAAATTTAAACGCGATTTTCTTAAACCCACTTTATCGAAATCGGTAGTCAAAATTTCTCAACGACTATTGAAACGATCGGGTTCAAATTTTCCACACTTCTTTTTAGCATGTTTTCGTAGTCCCTGAATGAAAGATTTATTAAATATTTGATTTTAACCCATTTTCCAAGGCAATATGTGGCCGGGACAAGGAAAATTCACCTACTGTGAGAAAAAATTTGAATTTTTTTATTTTGGATACAAATTGAAAAGGTTATCATGGCTACCACGAAAGCACTTTCTTGTGAACGGTCTACTTAATACAATATGTAAACAAAATAAGCTTTATTTTTTTTTTAATATATTTTAAAAAAAATTAGAGAAAATAAGCTTTTTTTTTGGACTTCAAGACCTATGTAACCCCTTAAGCAAAGAGTTATCTGTGTACCAAATTTCATAAAAATAAAACGAAGTTGTTTTTTACTCGATTTTTTCGAATAGATCGGCCAAGGCTCACTACCCAGCACACGCCCTTCAAATTTAAGGTTTATACAGTGGTTCAGGCTGTGAATTGATCCTTCACTCAGTCAGAACAAAGCTCTTTATAATATTAAACATACTAGCTAAACCCTGCAACGCTTCAGAAAAATTATTTCGGAAAAACCTTCCCAGGAATCATAGAAACATTCTGACGAAATTTCAAGTTAATCGCTAGCAGATTTTTGGAATTTCCCTAACACACATAAGATTGTTGTATCCAAGACAAATTGGATGACCAAGCGGCTAGCTGCTGCCAGTGTCGGTTATCAGCTCGAATCTGTCAGTAGGCAAATTTAATTTTTTTTTATTTTGTGAGGAGTAGAATTTCAACATGCTTAAGTGAACTGGTATTTGACTAGAATGAAAATGATTCAAGGACAGACAATTGTCATTTCGTAGCTCAATGCTATGTTAAAAATGCCAGATATGAACAATGAAGACGACCTAAATATACATACCAGTAGCATTCAAGTTAACTAGCATAACTATTATCATTTCCTCCACAATACTATAAGCACACCCATAGGTATACCTGAATTAATTTTCAACGAAAGCGCATAAAGCAAATCAAATAATAGTCAGAGGCAAATATTTTGTCCCAACTTACTTAGTTAGTGACTGTTATTTGCATTGCAGTAGCTCATTTTAGGATTTCCATTCATCCATTCGTATTTATTCTTCCCACAAACTCCGCTACATAGCTGCACTCATATTCCAAAAAGGAAAAAGGAACTCAACTCAACTCAAGTCAACTAAGTTCAATTGAATTGAATTGTCTTAATTTACATTAACACACATTTAACCTCTCCTCTCTCTCCCGCTCACTATTTTCTCATTTCATATACAACCACGACAACACGTTAGTTGGAGGCATTCATCAAAGACTTTGAGGAGAACGGTCCCGGTTCGGTGGGTCCAGATTTGGACAAAGGCAGCAAGTTGATGGATCAATATGGCGCCAAATTGAATAAATACGAAGAGCGACGTGTTGAATTGTGTAAGTAGAAAAGCATAGAATTTGTAAAAAAAAAAAATAAAAAAGATTTTTAACTTTCATCAATTTGAGAGAGTAAATACTATCGGCAGTGCACCAATAGATTTCGTTCGCTCATTGACTAAGTTTGCTTTGCATTAGTTATTATTGTGTTAATAAAGTTTTCTTTCTCTCACACTCTCTCTCTCTCCCTCTGTCTCTCTCTACCACACTCCCAATGGACGAACTGCTCGGCTGATTAAATTGAACAATTGGCTTCCACTCCCGACTTGCTGCTGCTGCTCCTGCTGCCACGCTTGTGTCCAACGCTACATCAGCTAATGCGGAGAAACTTTTCGATATGCCGATGGCCGATTACAATGACTTCTCAAGAATCAAGTCCGACTATGAAGGCATGATATTGGTAAGTTCATCATGCCGCACGCACGGCTCAGCAGTCCAATGCAACACAGGCTGGCGTTTTTAGCCTAACTGAGCAAAATACCTCCGTGTGCGCCACCCACTCAGTTCAAGTCAACAGACAAACAATTTAATTTTTTAATTAATTTGTTTTGTGCCACTGGACTTGATGAGTCTCTGAGGCGTGGATGGGCGCTTTCTACCTGCAAGGAGGTGGCTATGCAGCTTATTGGTACTGTTGTTGTTGTTGTTTTTGTTGTCGTTTATTGAAGAGCGACTGTGCAACACAATAGTTTGCTTAATTTTTTATTAACTTTATAGTTTTACGAACTTTTTATTAAATCACTGCATTCTGGACTTTGCTCCTCATTTTCCCCGGCTTTCTTTATTGTCTATTTGTTCATTTGTGTGTTTGCTCGTTTGTTTCATTTGTTCCACACAGGTCTACAAGCTATACAAATCCTACAAGACTGGCAGAGAAGTTTGGTCCAAGACACTATGGGCTGATTTAGATCCACAAATACTAACGGATGGCATCGAAAGTTACATGAAAGAGTTCCGCAAACTACCCAAACAGGTATGTATGTATGTGTATGCGTGTACAATTGTAGAAGCTTGACGTTAATTTAGTCTTGCGTGCAGAAAGTTTCGTAATTAGTTTACTTAAATGATTTGATAGACTTGCAGAGCGCGTACAGGGTTGAGGGTATCGAAGTGAATAGAGAGTTTTCCAAAATGTGACACAGTTTTTAAGGCAATAGAAGTAGCTAAAATGCTTGCAGCTTTGCTGTTATTATTACAAATTCTTTGTAGTATAAGCTCGCGGTCTCTCGGCTGAGAATAGCTGAACTCGGTTCAATTAAGTTTGGGTTACTTAAAGTCGACCGAGATACATACAGATAGATTATGACCTGTATACAATTCGGCAACCCACGATTGTAGCTACATCTCAGCTTTCGATTCCTAAGCCTGTTCAACTAACATTTCTCTTTTCATAATATAACTTCACCTCAACTGCAGGCTTCCTTAACATTCTGTGCTCGTTAGTAACCACTCATTCTCACTCTCCTCTCAATTGCCTTGCTCACATCTAACGAATAAGGTGATGTAACATCCCCGATTGAGTATTGCTTCGCGGTCTCGTTACTCTACACGTTAAGAGTCATAACCTCGGTAGCAACAATAAAAAGCTATCCCTGGCATCTTCATTCCAACTGATATTTGACTCCTTGACACCGTATTTCGCAAAATTGTACTTCAGCCTCTTTAAATCAATTAACTACAAGCATCCAGATAATTTGGAAATGGATATTATCTGGAGTTCCTCTTATTGCAAAGAGATTAGTCATGCTAGCCTTCGTCGGGGCACAACCAACCCTGTAAGAGGTTCCTTTCGGAAAGTCATTTGAATTTTTCTCGTCTTGGGACTTCTAATATAAATAGCGCATTGTAACAGCTGAAGTCGACAAATGGAGAGACCTACAATTTATCGTAAACCACTTCCAAAAGGCTACTAGATTTCTATTAGAAGGAGAGGTTGACAGCTCATAAATAGCCGTCATCATATTTACAAAAGCGTTCATAACTTTTTTTTTTAATTAATTTTCTATAGTTTTGGATGAGGTCAAGAACCGAACCTAGGATCACACTGCTAACCATGCGGCTAATGCGGGTGCAAGAGTTCCAAAATTTCCGTTCAAAAGTTGACCGAATCTTTATTACCGGTCACTAACCGTCATCTAACAGTCTTAATATTTCTTTGTTCGCCCCCAACGCTTTTTTTGAAAAGTACTTTCTAATTTTATTATCCCAAAGCAACCTTGCACATATCTTCGGTTCATCAGCGTAGAAGCTCTCTACTGCACTTGAATGTTGCTGAAAGTATTAAAGATGGTAAATTCTCTATTAGGAGTCACTGATCTGTGCACTCAAGAGTATAGGATATAGCGGTGATGATAGAAGGAATATCACTTTCTTAGTATAAAACAGGATTTGGAAGACATTAGAATGGCTAATCATCATCTTCACCCATAGATCCAGATCGGATATTGCAAACAAACCGCACAGTTACACTAAAGAAATCATTACTCGGCGGACTGCTAAATTCAGAGAGGATTAAAGTGAGAGGGTCGAAATACTTGGCTGGATACAGCTGAGTTTATCCGGCTTTGAATAGACTGTGGCGAGATAGTTGATTATGTATATATATATACACAATTGGCGCCTTGTAACTGCTGAAACGATCTTCGGCAGAGCTCTTTCTCCAATTTGTGGTTTTGCATCTTGATGTTTTTCCAGTAAATGGAGGGAACTGCAGTTTATACTAAGCCGCCTCCGAACAGCTGATTGTTTTTTCATGAGGAGCTTTGAGTTTCAAGTCTGAAATACACTTGGAGGGGTAGACATTCCCTACCGAGGAGTGACCGCAGTTAGAAAATTTAACCTATTTTTTATTTAAATTAATTTTCCATAACTTTTTGGTTTTGGTGGCACCGGGGTTTGAACCCGAGCCACTCCGCTTGCTCATATAGGTGATACTTATTGTACAACAAACTCATTAGTAACTACTTAAGAATCATGAAGGATGGCTCTCTGTCAAATGCTCTCCGAATTTCCCTTTCTACCAAACTGCCAACGAGAAATTTAAAATTTATTTTTTCCCCACCATTTGTGTCACCCATTATTCGTAAGTCGTATATTTTCTAGCATCTCTATAACTCATTGATTGTTTCCATCTGCTGGCTTCAGCCTTTCATCTTGCTCCACGTGACTTCCGCAACTTTAGTCTAAGCCTTTTCCGCTGATTCTGTTGTACTCATCAACCGCTGCGTTGTTGTCTCTGAATTTCGCCTTCTTCAGGTGTTGTTCGTTGCTGCCGCAGTCTTTGCCAAAAATATTCGCTTCTCTGCGTTCTATGCCGTTATAGAATCGTAGTTATGCAGCAGCGTGAAAGGTGACTTGCTAGCGCTTAGTGAGAGAGGCGTCAGCGGCGACTGCAGCTACGCAGTGACACAATTTCCACATTCTTCTTCTTTATGCTGATTATGACAAATTGATTTATTTACTTTCCCAACAAGTTTTATGGCACTTTACTAGCAGTTTCCGCTTGAACTTTCTGCACTTTGTTGTACGACGGAAATATTTTTTAATTGCCAAGTCAAGCCAAACAAATTTTCGAAATCTTAAAATTTCTATTATGCATAAATTTCAGCGAGTTGAAAGTTTCTTTTTTCCCTTCCGCTCTTCTCTGCTGTTTTTGTGGCGTGTGATATGAGTAGTTTAGACGTTGGATTTTGCCACATGAGTGAATTTTTGGCGCTAAGGAGACCGAATACACATACTCGTACATATATAATGAAGAGATTGTAGAGTTTTTGTTTGTTTTTATATGAGATACTACAATAGCTGTACCTTGCAACACTTCGCTGCCGCAGAAACTCATTAAAAGCATGACAAATTAGTCATGGGACTTCTTTTTGTCATAGCTTTTTTGGTCTTACCATTGACCTTGGTCCACTTCACGAAAAGAAGAGTAGTTTTCTTGCTCATCTAACCAAATTTCCAGTAAATACAGCCATAAGTACAATAGGTTAGCCTCAGGTCCACTTTCCGGAAGAAGTGATCTTCCTCTTAATTAAAGCAAAGGGCCACCGAATTTCAAGTACATTGAACAATACGAGGTGTGATAATTAAGTAATGAGACTGACCCTTTTCTTTCTCCCGGCACCCTTCTCCTCTCCATTGCTATATTTGTCATCGCTGTAGCTTGCCTAGTTCGCCTGCTCTGTCGTGGTTTTCGTCACGAAAATGGAAAACCGAAGTTAACGAAGAGCAACGCGTCGCGATAAAATTTTACATTGAAAACGATAAGATTTTTTGGACAAACGGCAGTTGAGCTTTTCCTAATGAGGTAAACATTCACTCTTTTAACTGACTCAAGGCCGTTTTTTGATTGCATGTTGACGTTTGGGCTCACACTTAAGATCGCCGTGCTCGAGCTTTGTTTTTATGTTCGATATTTCCATTAAGCTTCGCTCCGTTGTTCCTAACCTATGCACAATTTGCTTCTTTTACTTCACCCCAATGTACGGAGCAGCTTAAAGTTTAATTGCGAGGTTAGGCTCCGTACTTGTACTATTTTCTATATTTCTTCAGCGACTTCATTGTAAATATATTAGCATAACATCGGTTTGTCTCCGTTTATTTACAAACTTATACGACTGTTTAAACTGGCAACAGAGATGCTGTTTGAATTGGGACGGACATCTCCGAGCCGTTCGGCTTCAGACAGGGTGACACTTTATAGTATATTACGTCACTTTGGCAGTCATAACTTCGAGATCGTAAATAATTTCGGCTACCTAGGGACCAGCATCAACCCCAATAATAACGTCAGCCTACTCTTTCCAATAGATGCTACTTTGGACTGAGTAGGCAATTAAAAAATAAATTCCTCTCTCGAAGAACGAAAACCAAGTTCTACAAGTCGCTTATCGTTCTTCTCCTTCTATATGCTGCGGAGGCATGGAAGACGTCGACATCTCAGGACCAGGCCCTGGGAGTCTTCGACAGAAAAGTTTTGCGAACGATATGGGTACATTGATATAGTTCAGAAAATGACGAAACAGCGGCTGCGCTGGCCAGGTCGTTCGCATAAATGAATATGATCCAGCTTTGAAAATATGCGATGCAATACCTGTCGGTGGAAGCAGAGGAGGAGGAAAACCTCCACTCCGTTAGAAGGATCGATTGGAGAGTGACCTGACCTCACTTGGTATTTCTAACTGGCGCCAAATAGCTGAAATAAAGAATAATTGAAGCACTATTTTGGTGTCGGCTATAAGAAGAGGAAATCTAAATATGCCAATAAGTTTCAATTTTGGTAATATACGCTAAATTCTTCCTAACTCTAACATATACTTACCAAGATATAAATTTAAAGCTCTAGAATCTACACTAATTGCAATGCATTATACTTCGCTCTGTCCAGTTCTGTTTTCACATTTACTAATGTCCATATTATAAATTCCCTATCCTAAACATTGCCCCAAACTGTGCCCAATCAATTGCACAATCCACAAATATTGGCGGCATTTCATTTCATGTTATTTGCTCAGCCGCTAAGGTCGCATTTATACAGCTGCTCCCCGTCGCATTGCTTACTGTGTGTATACCACGTGCTGCGAGCGCGGCGTGTGCGTCATAGTCGTACATCAGCTGCGGTTGGTGGGCTTAGCGTTGGTGTCAACGTAAATTATGGCAATCCCTCTGCCGCCGCGGCATACGTGGGCCAAGGAGTCAACGCATACCCCAGGCGAGTTGTTTTAGGAAATTTCATACCACTCGTGAATGTAATAAATCGCGTATTGCAGCCTACAGTGGGCTGCACTCAGATATACTGATAGGGTATTGCACTACGCCAAGGGGGAAGGGATAGTAGTTATGGCGATTAAAATGTTAATTTAGGCATAGAATTTACTAAATATGTGTCTGCGTGCAATTCACATTGGCGGTTCACTCGCTCGACGCCTGCATATGTCGGCAATCAGATGCATAGCCACAGTCGTGGACGGTAATGGGAACGACGGTACCACCCAGCCATGGCAATGACGGCCCATAGCGACTCTGTACTGCAGCGGCAGTAGTAATGATAGCAATAACAGTGTTGGTAAGCCGCAACATGTCAAACATTACAAATGTGGCGGTCGCCATTTCGCGCCTGCCCGGCCGCTGCACCAGTTGATGGGCCATCGCAATTGCTGCGTGCATTTGTTTTTGTTATTTGCGATATTTTGATTATTTTAATTTCGTTCAAATTGATTTACATTTTAGTTGTGGTTGATTTGTGTGTGGGTGGGTAAGCACGTGAAATGGAGTTTGGCTGTGAATGTAAGCACTGACGTCCTCACTGGGTTTAGCGCATAAAGCCCGCATCACTGCTTAGACCCGGCTCTCACACTCCTTACGTGATCTGCGACAGATATAAACACAATCAGTGGACTCGATAGTCCTATGTGTGGGTGGCAAAGTGCAAGGCGTGCGGCTTTTGTCAGCTGCCAGCGATAAGCACTGCAATGTTGTTTATTTATTGGCAAGCAATCAAGCAGGCAGGCGCTGGCCTAATTTAGTCAGGCTAACAAGTCCATCCGCTCTGCGTGGTGAGTTGAGCAATTTGTGATTGACCATTTTTAGATTGGCTGTTGTTGTAATTTAAATATGCATTCGGACAATTGATCATGCTTCTGCTGCTGATAGGAAATTAGTGAATTTAAATTTCTAAAAGGTTTTGTCGTCCCAAATGTATTTTTCAGCAGTAATTTATGGCATTGGTTCCCAGAGAATTAAATTAGAAGCTAATTTTATGAGTGCATTTTGAGGGAGGAGCGCATTGGTAACTGATTGAGGGGCCATTAAAGGGAAGTTATATGTAAATAAGCGGCAATAGCCAATTCTGAAGAAGAGGATTCGAGTCATGGTTCGATTCACAGAATAATATATATAATTGGCGCTTTATAACTACTAACGCGATTTTTCGGCCGAGCTCCTCCTCCAATTTGTGATTTTGCGTCTTGATGTTTTTCCAACAAATAGAGGGGGCTACAATTGATACGAAACCGCCTTCGAATGGCTGATGGCATTCGTGTGGAAAATGAAAACAATTTTCATTGCTCTCTTTGTCTTCATATACAGACCATTTGTCGAAAACCCCTGGTCGTAAATGATTTTGCAAATAAAGCAATACAACATTTTTGATTTTGGTCAAGTCGGCTTTCGCACCCAATCGGGCAGTCCTTCAGAGGACTCGCACAGCTTTAAGATATCTAGGCGAGTTACATCTACACTCTATATGGAGGTTGATATTATCTAAATGTTGGCAATACAATGTACAATACTCGTACATATCAGGTGTACAACTTTGCTTCCGCCGTTTTTTCCCAAAATTAGAAGCTCTATTGCGAAAAAATGCTTACAGATATATTATTCAAAGTGTTGTCCTTCGCTAGCGACAACTTTCTCCCATCTTTCCGGCAATTTTCGTATCCCGGCTCGAAAAAAGGAGTCCTCTTTTGACGCTATCCATGAAGTAATCCATTTTTCCAATTTTTCGAAGAATTGAAAATGTTGATCTGCCAGGTCGTATGCCACCGAACGGAATAGGTGGAAGTCAGAAGGGGCGACATCTGGGGATCACGGCGGGTGGGGCAAGACTTTCCATTTCAGCATTGCCAGGTACTTTTTGACCACTTTTGCTAGATTTCCCTCGGTTTCAACTCGTGCGGCACCCAGTTTCCTTCTTTCTGAATCATGCCCAGGGCCTTGAGACGTTTTGAAATGGCTTGATGACTCACTCTCAACGATTCGGCAAGCTGTTTTTGGGCTCGACACGAATCTTCATCAAGCAATGCTTCTAGTTGTTCATCTTTGAAGGTTTTTTCTCTTCCACCACCATGTTTGTTTTCGACATCGGAATCACCATTTTTATAACGTTGAAACCACTCCCGACACCTTCTTTCACTCAGAGCAGCATCATCGCAAGTTTCTGAGAGCATTCGATGCGCTTCAGCTGCATTTTTTTTAAATTGTAACATAAAAGTAAAACTTCCCGCAAATTGCTAGAATTAGGCACATAAACGGACATTTTCGAGGGTGAATAATACGAAAACAAAAACAACTGTCACTGAAACGGCGATGACAATTCGTTAGGCACTGTCCACACTCACTTTAAAGGCATTATCATCTATATATTTCAGCCAGCCTCAGGCGGTACAGCCATCTATCGGAAAATGGCGGAAGCAAAGTTGTACATCTGATAGAACTTGCGCCAACCTGAAGAAAAAATAATATTTGTCATAGCCAAGTGGGGTAAAGACTTACACGCATTCAGACGGACTATAAGCATAGGAGTATATAATCTCAGATAAATGGTATCTTTATAAATAGTAACAAGGTTAATCTTCAAAGTTTATCTTTGGGAAAATGTAACGGTATTCTAAGCACATATAACATTTACCAGAGATGGCAATCCTTATGAGTTTTAGCAAAAGAATCGCTTTTTAATCATTATTCAGCGTTTTGCAAATTTTCAGTCTTTCATAATTATTTATATATCAGATTTAACATATCAGTCAAAGAGCAGTAATTAAAATTATTTTACAAGCTTTGTACATTCGTCCGCACTTATAGCGTACCACTCTTTGATTAAGGCATTTTTTAAGGTAGTTTTTGATGTTATAATGTGTTCCTTAGTCTTGCCTTTTAAAAAAAGTCGTTAGGCTTCAATTCTTGCACCACTGAAATTAAAGGTCCTGTAGCAACTGGAACGGCTCCTTATAGATAATTCATCATCATAACTGAAACCGCGAAACAGTGCACTATACATAGTTCCAAGCACAAATTCTCGTCTCGGTAGCTGAGTTTTTGCGACCTTTTGATATGCATTTTTTGTTAGAAAATTTGTAATCCAGTAAGATTTTCATAATTCTTGAACTGAGCGGAAGAAATTTCTTTTCCTTCCTTCCTTACCCTATAGTGATGGAACACAAATTAAAATCTACAAATCTTAATCACTTTATTTCCCCCAAAAAGGTACGCACACTACCCTCCGGCCAAATGCTCGAACTAAGTATGAAACAATTCAAAAACACCGTACCGTTAATGGTCAGCTTGAAAAACGAGGCTCTGCGCGAACGGCATTGGAATCAGCTGATGGAGAAAACGGGTCAATACTTTGATATGGCGCCGGCACGCTTCACGCTGGAGAATATGTTCGCCATGAAATTGCACGAGTATCAGGTGAGTGGGAATGAACTTTGTGAACACTTTAAAATTTCTTACTCTCTACACTTCTTTTGCCAGGACATTGCTGAGCAAATTCTCAATAATGCCATTAAAGAATTGGCCATTGAACGTGGCGTCAAAGCTGTTGAAGATACCTGGGCTAACATGACTTTCAAAGTACATCGGCATTATAAAGGCACAGAGGATCGTGGCTATACGCTGGGATCGGTGGAGGAAATTGTTGTAACATTGGAAGATAATGCGATGAATCTGCAATCTATGGGCGCGTCACAGTAAGTAGAGTGGTGGGGAGTATTGTATTCGGTTTTCCAATTAGAGGTGCTCCTTTGATATGCAAAGAAAAATGGAACCGTTTGATATGAAGGATCGGATGTTTATTTCAATTTAAGCGGAAGATATGCCATTAATAATAGAGCGCAATATCAGCCACGGCTACGCTTAAAAAACCGTATCTTTTTTATGAAATTTTCCTTCACCAAATCGCTAAGTCGCTGTTTTATGCCCGCAATAGCTTCACAAATTCCATCTTTGAGTTCTTATCTTTCATGGCGCCCCAAAAGGAAAAAAACGCCAGATGTTAGATCGCAAGGATAACACCGTCTGGAAACTTTTTCCTTCAGAGATCGATAGTTTCGTGGTCACATTTGCGAATAAGTAAAGTTCAATGACCCCGCCGGACTATAATCTTCAACACACAGTTACACGTGGAGAATCGAGAGACTTTTCAACAATAATCTTTGAGATATACTGGGCCCAGATGCGACAGTTTTGCTTATTGACATGCCCATAGAGATGGAAATGGGTCTCATCAGACAAGCTTCGAGCTGAAGGTTCGTGGGCTCAAATCACGGATAGTTCACGGTCTGAAATATTTTTTCGAAAGGCCTCTTGGCAGAGAATAACAATCCATCTAAACAAATTTCTGATAGCTATTATTTGCAGAAGCTAAGCCAAAAACCGCCCCAGCTGTTCCCAAGGAGGGAGTTTATTGCCTACAAGACCGGAAATTAAATTTTACGATTAGAATATTCTTCTTCGTTCACTTTAAAAGGCAGTTCACGAGGGTTTCAACTTGAACTGATCCTCAGAGGCAGATTTCTTCTTAAAAGACCTTCAATGTTTATGAGCTCCTCCTTACCTCCTAATCATAATTACTCTTCTGTATGATACCAGCGCGAGGTCTTTCGCCCTCATTTAGACTCCCGTTTTCCTCCTCCAAAGTTCTTGTACTCTTCGTATCAGTTGCAATTGTCATTACGACACTTTTCATTTCTATTTTGAAAGTAGTTGCTATGAATCGAGTTTCCTTGATTCTGGTAACTCTTATTTTTTATTTTGCTATGCCGTAAATTAGCTTCAATCCTCGCAAATAAATATGTACACTGCTGTATACACATTCCACTACTATTCACATTCAGCAACAATTTCACTCACACGTCGCCATGTGTGTTGCAAGAACTCTATCAGCAGCCACATTTGGTTGTCATGCCACCAATGTGACATGGAGGAACCTAAAGTATCCCCTTGTGGCATTACCTATGCACATATTTTTCTGTTTATTAGTTAAGACATCATCAGGTAAAGACACACACACACACACACACACAAACACAGACATACATGCATATATATTACACATTCTTCACCGCATTTTTACAACTTTCCCACGCGACCTACTTTCTCTCTACGCTACCGTTATATATAAACACATTCCATTTCCCTTTTCTATTTCACTGACAGGTTCATTGGTCCATTTCTGGAGACTGTCAATAAGTGGGAACGTTTACTGTCCTTGATCGGTGAAATCATCGACGAGTGGCAGGTGGTGCAGCGCAAGTGGCTCTACCTGGAGGGCATCTTTATTGGTGGCGATATACGTGCCCAGCTGCCGGATGAAGCGAAGAAATTCGATGACATTGACAAAGCATACCGCAGGGTAAGTACACTCTTCAGCAATACTACTAACCCACACCCACAGCTGCACCAATACTAGCAAGAGCAAAGGAACCTCAATACACAGACGTGTGTCTGTGTGTGTGTGTGTGGTGCATAAAGGAGTTCTATAGAGTTGTTTGTTTGAAGCATTTCACCATGGAGATTTCTCTTGAAGGTTGAATTGGTTGTTGTGTAAGCCAAGATGCTTCACATGCATATATAATATTTATATATATATATATATATATATATAAATGTTTGTAAGTGAGTACACGACATGTCCTATTCATGCTTCATTCACTTGTCGACAACGTGGCGTCTTACTACTTAACGGTAAATTTAATACACATGCAAAACATCATCATGCCACACAATAGCGCATGAAAATTGATTCGAGCTTACTGTGGCGCACCAATACATTGCAATGTGTTGATGTGTGATGTGTGTTATTCGAGGATAAAATTACCCGTTATTCGTTGTTATGTTGACATCTGACCGTGACAAGGTTAACCAAGTTACTAACAAACATAAGCTCCTTTGGCAAACACACCCACATACACATATACACACATACAGACAGAGCACTAAGTAAACACACTGACGGATTTAAGGCAACTCAGAATTGCGGAAATCTCTCTTTCTGCGCTGCTACGAGGTGTTCATCTTCAGAAGTCACTTTCCACAAGTTTAAAAAGTGTAGTGGGCTTTTATGACCTACCTATGGACCTCAAATAGTTAAACTCTGTTCTGAAGGCATTTAAAAAGTAGCAAAACACCGCTGGTTTCCTGGTGTGAACGGGAGTAATCTTGTCAAAACTAGCCCAAAATTCTTGAAGAGAACCTGGGCTATAAGAAATGGATCAGATGTTAAACCTCAGCTTCTAACAGAGCGCTCACAGTTTTCTTGCCAAGGTTCAAGTTGAGATTCGACATAGAATCTTGGTTCGATGAAGCATTGTCACGGAGTGGCATCCAGTCGAAATGAGTCGCAATGTTTTGAAAACAAATACTCTTCGGTTGATGCTTATATAAGGTGAATAACAAACCCTATTGAATACCATATGCCTCCGACGGGATCTTTTGCATAACTGCAACTTTAACTGAACTCATCTTGGAATTGTCTTATAGCAAATAGGATATCCGTATTCACCCTGAGTGACCGACGGTTCTTTCGAGAGTATCATCTTTCTAAATGCCTACGAAGCTGTGAATATTGTGCTTTTGAAAAATAAGTCGCTTCTACCAGAAGCATAAGGTCGTGTTCTGTAAAATAAACGTATTTTGTGAAGAATTAATGACTCTAATCCAGGCTACGAAAGTATTAGAAGGGCTTTCATCTGGACTTTTGAAATGCTAGAAGAGATAAAATTCTTTTTTTGGAAACATCGGCCAATAAGCCAAAGTTCAATTCGTTTATCGATTGACTATCTCAACACAAATCTTTGGTAAAGATGATCTCAGTCAGTACCCGTTTTACTTTTTCCTCTTCCACTTAAGGAGCGAAGGTATATTTTGAGCTCTTTATAAAAAGGTTATATTAGTCCACGTGCTGGATGCTTGAAGTCCGAGATTTCTGCTATTCTCAAAAAGAAACCCAGTTAATGCTCATCGAGAAGCTTTGAAGGAAAGAGGGTTAATATCTTTCCCAATCCATTTGAGATGTAGTTTGGAGAAATGTGTATCTCAAAGCAGAGAGGAAATAAAGGAGATTGAAAAAACTGTGCCACCCTCATGCACTCCTTCGTTCATGCACAATTTGCCACAATTGGAGGTAAAGCGAGTTTCGGACCAATAAGTAGTAGTCACGTTGGCAAAACTCTTACCAAGCAGATGACTTTCTTGACGCCAACAAATGCCAAATGCTCTTACAAACCCTACAGCAACAACAACTCCAATAGTAGCAACAGTAACAACAGCACAGCCAACCAAGCAACTGTCACAATGTCTTTAACGGAAATCTTACTCATGTATTAACCTTGTGCCAAGTATAGATATTACGGTACTTATGTAAATACCGTTTTATACAAATATATATATATATAATTTATATCTAGGTATGTACTTGTATATTTGGTATCACATTTCGTTATTTGTTTATCAAGTTTGCTTACTTGCCACTTACGTTTGCCACATTTGCAACATTTGCCACAATCACTGCACATTTATTTGATTTATTTACTTTGATTTCATTTCATTTCATTTTGTACACTACACTACACTTACTCTCTCTCTCTCTTCTCTCTCTACCACTCCCCTCTAACGCTTCTCAGCATCAAATCTACAATTTCTACAAATCTACAATTTGTTTATATTTTCGCTTTTTTCTTTGTTTTTCGACATTTCATTTCACAGATTATGGTTGACTGTGCCAAGAATCCTTTGGTGGTGCCACTGTGTTCGGTGCCTGGCCGTTTGCCCGAAATTCAAGGACTCGGCCTCGGCTTGGAGAACTGTCAGAAGTCATTAAATGAGTATTTGGAATCGAAAAGACGCATATTTCCGCGCTTTTACTTTATATCCACGGATGAGTTGCTTTCCATTTTGGGCAGCAGTGATCCGTCGGCAGTGCAAAATCACATCATTAAGGTATGTATGTGGTAGACTGTGAGCATATTTTTCCTATGCATTTTTTTTTTCAACATAAAAGCTCGTGTGTTTCTGAAGTAAGCCTAATATGAGCCTGCTCTATTACTTAGGGTCAGCCGCTCACGGCTCTGTCCTTAAGAAATAAAAAGATTAAAAGTATATATGTTGGAGAACTTTTTGCGTATTAGAAATAACTAAAGGTTAAAATTAAATTTTTTTGACAGTAGTGCGGCAGTAAAAAAATTCTTAAGAACAGCAATAGGATAAATAGGACATTTGTCTTTAAAAATCATATTAAAAAAATTTTAAAAAAAAGTCGGTATTGTCATATAATCACGTCATTAAAGCTTTTACATTAGTTATTTTTGTAGGCTACGAAAAAGCTCAGTGGAAAGTTTCCTTACGTTTAATTTTTATTATATTTTATTTTATTTTATTTAATTTTATTTTATTTTATTTTATTTTATTTTATTTTATTTTATTTTATTTTATTTTATTTTATTTTATTTAATTTTATTTTATTTTATTTTATTTTATTTTATTTTATTTTATTTTATTTTATTTGGTTTTATTTCGATATTTCTTTCTTTTTATTTTATTTCTATCCCTTAATCCGTCGTATACATACATCACCAGAAAATTACCGTAAAGACATTGCATATACCGAGTTGCTCAACGCCACATATGCATGTACGAGTACTCACATTTTAACTCATATGCTTGTATATAAGTACGCATGGGTAGGAATGGCGCCATAAAAGTTAATGTTACTGTTTATGAACTTGTATGTGTTAATATTGTTGGTCATTTGTGCTTTTGTGGCATAATGCAGCAGCCACATGTTGACGTTAATGTTGACGATTTATGTACCAACACACGTTCAAGTTTAGTATATGTGTTTGCATGTATGTACATATATTTAAATATATAATATTTTCTAGTAACTTTTGTGATTTAACTTATCTTTCTACATTGGCTAGCGCATTTATTGTTTTTCGTGAGTTTTTATTTCTTTTCTTAAGTCTTGAAAGCAATTCTGGCAAATTTATTTAATATCATATCAACGGACAATAAATTCCAATTTATTTTTGGTTATTAAGTTTTTATATTTCACAAACTGATTTACTGCATGCATATCCTTCATGTTTGTTGGCTACTTAATTCGTTATTTTATTATTACAATTTTATGGATTTTTTTTTTTTTGCATTTTTTGTTTTTATTTTTCATTTTATGCGTCACAGCTCGCGCTCACACTCAATTTCTTGCTCTTAATATAATTTCGTTCTTTTTTCTTGTCTTCTTCTTAATTCGCGCTCCACAACTCATACACACACACACAGATGTACGACAATATAAAGTCACTGCGCTTCTCCAAGGACAATTCGGATCAGCCCATAGTGACTGCAATGATATCCAGCGAGGGTGAGGTTATGGAATTTCGCCATAGTGGTAAGTTGATACTCACCTTACATAAGTGTGTATGCATGTATATACATGTATATAGTATGAGCTCTCGTTCACAGTGCAATCGGTCGCCAAATGCTTGAGCCACACTTAATTATTAGTGACTGCTCAGACTCTGTCGTAGATTTCTCAAGTACCACTACATTAAATTATATAACAATGGCAACGAGCAGGCGAAGGAGAATTATAAAAATCAAAATCAAAATGAAGATGAAATATAAAAATGAAAAAAAAAGCTAAAAAAAAATAAAATAAAAATAACGGTAGTAATAATATAATTTTACGCAAGCGAAGCAATAAGCGCAGTACATACATACAAACATACAAACATGCTTGTGGCATACTCGCGCGATTACAATTGCTAGCGCAGCGCGCGCACTCAGCGTTCCATATCGAATTGCCGAAACCATTGGTCGTTCCGTTGTCCAGCTTGTTCTGGCGCTTGCTTGCCTCCTTCGCTTTGTGCTGTTCTTTAACGGAATTACACCCGCCAATACAAACGATTTGCTTCGATTGATTTTGCTATTTCCGCGCGTGCATTATTTTTCTCAAGCACCGGCACATACATACATACGTGTACTTTCCATTGCTTTTCTTAATTCGCTCGTTTGCCGGCACCAGAGGTGGGGGGGGTGGGTTTCGTCCGATAGATTGGCGAAATGAAATTGAAATTTTTTATGTTCATAAACTTCTGAAATTTCTCTTTGTATTCTTTTATTACTTTTAATTAATTGTGGCAAACGATACGGACGGATGTGTCCTTTGGCTGGCAGCTACACTCTTCAAGTGCTCATAGGTAAAAAGTGCTGACACAATGGTCGAAATCACAACTGCAGTTGGTAATTATTAGTAACTGAAAATGTCTTCGAAATTCGGTATTTATGGTTTCGAAGTATGAAAATATGGAGATATTTTTTTTAAATAGCACGATTCTTGGATCATAAATTATATATTCAACTCAAGAAATATGAAAATTTTCACGTTTTTCTTTTTCTCTCTAATTGGCTTCAACACAAACACGACGATTATGGCTTTATCAATACTAAATATAAATGAACAAAGCGAACGGTTGGGATCCCGAATATATCGCAATGTCTCAGCAAAAGAACTCCTTTATCTCGACAACTTTCCCCGAAAAAAAGAAACATTCTAAAAAATTTCGGCCCATCTTTCTCTCCAACACCTAGACATAGGCACCGTTTCTCCTTTTTGTTTGACGCTTATTGAATATATAAAGTGAAGTCCGATTGTTTCCCACCCGCTTCGGAGGTTATTCTCTTCGTCTGCTTTCATCGGTTGGTACGGCATTTAGTACTTTAAAATCTGTAGTGAAGAAGATTGCTTCTTGATTCACTGAATTATGTCAATGTCATCATATATCTCTGTGGTTCTGACATTCGGAATGCTCGGGCTCATATGCCGGTGGCACCAACATCCAAAAGTTGTAGAAAATTAATTAAAATAAAAATTAAGTTAAATTTTCTAATTGCGGTCGGCCCTCGGCATGGAATATCCACCCCTCCGAGTGTAATTCGGACGTGAAATAAAGGCTTCTTCAAAAAAACCATTAGCCGTTCGGAGGCGGCTTAGTATTTGTTGGAAAGACATCAAGACGCAATACCACAAATTAGAGGAGAGGCCGGCCGAAAGATCGCTACAGCGGTTACAAAGCGGCTATCTTATATATATTTTCGCTGTCACCTCTTTGTTTGATAAGAAGACATTTTTCGCTTTGTCCTCGTCCACTACCATACCCACATGCTTCGCTTCCTTATTCAGTTTGGATAATCAATATTAACGTCGCGATTTTTTAAGGCAATAATATCAAGACCAGTTCTACAGCTAGTATTATTTTCTCGAATACTAAATCAAAGCAGAAGATAAAATTCACCTTTCCTTAAACCCAACTTGGTATAGATTGGCTCCTAGATATTCTATATGGAACTTCCTAACAATTTTCTTATAACTGTGAAGGGCCCCTTTTGAACGAGCTTATATTGTCTTCGTGCCGCCAAAAAAATGTCATCTTTCTAACGCCATCTATCGGAACCCGATCGGGCTTATGCCTTTGTGACCTGAGTTTATTCAATTGGCACTATCAATCAACTTCGATTTCCTTTAAAAAATCAATCGATCATGATGCCTCTGCCCTTAAAGTGAATCATCAAGAAATGTAAGACCGAAACTCGGAAGCCCAATACTACGCAATGCATCTCCTGTAAGAAGCCTATCAGAACTTCTATTACTTTAAATGTGTTCCATCTCTTGAAAGAGTGCCTTGCGAGTGGCTATTTTTACATATCCTCTCCAAAGTCAAATTTAAATACCACGGAAGCCATACCAGCCTATTTACTGTCAGGATGTTGGCCATTGCTTACCCACTAGTCCTAGAGTAATATGAATTAGATTTTATTATTCCATATCCTGCTTTATGTGCGATATTTTACGCACAACAATTTGGTCTTCCAATCACTGTAAATTGACATCCGGTCCGACTCTTAATGCAAATTGCGCAAATCGCACTCCAGCAAAGAAAGAAATCGAAACGCAGCATTTCTCACTCCCACTCCAACCCAACACAAACAGCACCGCACAAGGCCTCGACTGACCGTCGATAAATGTTATATACTCATCGTGCCTCCACAGCCACAGCCACTCCATCCACTCACGCCACCTGCAACACACTCGAGCATTTCAATTTCATTTTCGATTGCCACAGTTGATTATCAGCCGATGTCGCTGTTGCTGCCGCTGCTGCTTATTACACTTTCGCTCGCTTTATTGTTGCCATTAATGTACTTATGTCCTTCGAAAGTCCTACGAAATATTCTCGCTTACTGTTGTTGTTGTTAAATTTATTATTATTATTTTTTTTTTTTGTGTTTGTAATGTTATTATTTATGATTTTGTCATATTGTGGTCGTGTGACATTGCCGCCGCCTTTGCACTCTGAGCGCTTACAGTTTTAACTTTCAACGACTTTTTTCTTCTTTTCTTCTCACTAACGCCTCACCAATTTTCTTACACAACTCTTCATACACATACAGTACGCGCTAAGGGTCGCGTTGAGAACTGGATGTGCGACGTGCTGGATGAGATGCGATGCTCGAATCGTTTCATCACTAAGCGTGCCATCTACGACTTTGGCACTGATCTGGAAATAACAAGGTAAGTCGAGTTGATTGGGGTGGGATGACTAGCCTTCGCAGTCAGCGTAAGACTCACAGACAACACCGTGCGGGTCAAAGACGTTGACGCATTTATCCCAATGCATATTGTGGATAAGCGGGCGAGCATGAGCATGAGCGCTGCATTTGGTTGACGGGGTTGAAGAGTGCTCAACAGACTCAAGAGTATTTTATTATACTGTCCAATTGAGCGTGACGTCGCTGCCTGTCGATGTACCTTCTGTTGGAGTTCTTCGCTTGTTACAACCGTCGTTGTGTGAAGCTGTCTTGATGTATGTGTTGGTTTGGCTTGAGCTCTCTCTGTATGTTTATCCAGTGAGACAATTGTCGGTGTGTTCGTCGTCTTCACTTGCGCACCGCCTGCAACATTTTATTGCCAACAATGAATAATTTTGTCGTTTTCTGGGATTTACATTTTATTACCAGCGATTATACTGAGAGTACATAATATCAAGCAGCATCATCCGAACGCGCTCCCTCGCAGCTCGCAGGCCGCATTATTGTCCTTCAACCAACCGCAACCACTTCATGCGCAGCGCTTTTGTCACATTTTAAATATTTGTATGTACAAGAAAGTATTTTTTTCTCGTTATTTGTGTCGTCTTTTGCCATTTTTACGACGCCTTTATTTCAATTGCACACCATTTACTCATGCATTTGTCATTTTTCTTCCCCCATTCCGCGCTGGCAGACCTGATTGGATGATGAACTACCAAGGCATGGTCGGTTTAGCGGCTTCGCTGGTGTGGTGGACCGCCGAGGTAGAGGAGGCCTTTGATCAAGCTACCAATCATCACAATTTACGCGCCATGAAGGATTTTCTCGAAAAGCAAAATCATCAAATTGAAGAGCTCGTGATTAAAGTACGTTCGAATTTAACACGCAACGATCGCCTGAAATTCAAAACCATCACCACAATCGATGTTCATGCACGCGATATCATTGAAGCATTTGTACGTGATAATATTTTGGATGCCAGCGAATTTAGTTGGGAGAGCCAGCTGCGTTTCTATTGGCTGAAGCTGTACGATAACCTGTATGTGATACAATGTTCGGGTCAATTTGAGTATGGTTATGAATATATGGGTCTGAATGGTCGTTTGGTCATTACACCGCTGACGGATCGTATCTATTTGACTATAACGCAAGCGTTACTCATGAATTTGGGTGGCGCTCCAGCGGGTCCAGCTGGCACGGGTAAAACGGAGACCACTAAGGATTTGGCCAAGGCCATGGCGCTGCTTTGTGTCGTCACCAATTGTGGTGAGGGTATGGATTTTCGCGCTGTCGGCACCATTTTGTCCGGTCTGGCTCAATGTGGCGCTTGGGGCTGCTTCGACGAGTTCAACCGCATTGATATTTCTGTGCTGAGTGTGATCTCTACACAGCTACAGACCATAAGAAATGGATTGATACGGAAGTTGGATCGCATCATTGTAAGTTGGAAATACTTTTTGGATTTGTTTTTAATTGTGTTCATGCTAAACTAAAACTATTTTCTATCAACACGCCAAGAAAAAAGTGTGTAAGAAAAAGTCGAATGTGTCAGAGCATATGAAGCTCGCGGTCTTAGTATACGCTGTGCTCTTTTGCCTCTTATTTCGCAAAGAAAGTCCATCCAATCATTCCTTTATATGCCAACATTTTTCTTGGAAATGTATCCTAATAACAGCTGAAAACCCAAACTACTGCAAAAACAACATGGACACACTTTCTTCAGAGAGACTTCTATCATGCTCTTATGGTCTCCCATCGCGTCAATTGCTTCCCCCGCGGTGTACAGTGAAGAGTAGTAAATTGGTTGTCGATACTTAAAAGGCTACCAATGTGTAAAAGCAAATCCATGGACGTAAGGAGAAATTGAAACACCTTCCCAGTTATTAGAGCCAAATAATACTTTTGTCTAAAATACCACCGTCTTGTAGAGATGGGAGTTATTTTAGAGTTATTGGGTAAGAGACCAAAACTTTGTTACCACTTCAGCTGCTAATTAAAGAAAAATCCATTAACCTGTTTCTCTTAAAAAACCTTTCGGTTAATTATTTAGCACGAAATGAACTGTGGGTTAGCTTGCTTACGATGTGCCCATAATTTCTGCTTTGTGGGTTACTTTAGATTAAAAAATCTCAAGCCCTGATATGTCCTTATTCTATTTACGTCGCATTTGGCATTGCCTTTCGAAAGGTTTTGAGTGGAAAAATCAGCATTGGTTAAATAAATGAAAGAAATAATTCAGGAAATATCGTTAAAGTCGAATTCCTCTCCCATAACTAAATATATTCCTTTACTTCGGTTTTATCTTAGGTACATCTAGTACAAAAGACTTGACATTAGATTTCATTTTTTACTTGCCGCTCCTTTGTCAACAAGGCTATCTACTAAGAAATGATAACTAAATCCGGCAGCTAACAGACTGAATATTTTCTGGAAAAATATGCAATACTCAACTGGTTATTATTTTTTTAGCAAAAAATATAACATAGCCTGCATTTATGCTGATGTTAATGGAGCCCAAATCAAAAAGCCAAGGTATGAAAAGATAAGAAAAAAATGTTTATTACCGTTAGGCATACTACCATGCGGATAATCCAGGTAGGATCAGACCAAAAATTCTTGAAAATTAATTTTAAATTAATTTTTCTAATAACCATCGTTTACTCGGCAAATAATGCCAGGCTCTCCGGTTATATTTATGATTAGAGATAAAAAGCTTGTTGTAAAAATCTCTATCAGTCGTTGATAAAAGGCTTAAAATAAACTGTAGATGCTTCAACGTATTCACATCAAGACCAACCTCAGCAATTAGAGGGGAATATAGGCCGAAAATAGTGTCAGCGGTTATAAAGCGTTATATAAATTCTGATGGTTTCGGAATACTTGAGGCGCTTAATATTGCAAATAATTTTTTAAATTTTTAAACACATTTTTACTTCACTTACTTACTTATTTTACTTTCTTAATCTCAAACGCCCCCATCTAATTTTTCAACGAACTAATCTTATTTACTATAAATTTGTGAAATATTGCTTACCAAATGGAAAAAAATTAGTTAGAAAATGTTATGAAAAGCATATTTATGAAGTCACAGCCTTATGTGGCTTCGGCTTTTTTACCACTATAAAGAAGAGATGGGCAAAGCATAACGAGCTGTAGTCCCTCTTAAGCCTCAAATATATCGGTTTTTTATTCATTTTCTGGAAGGAAAGTAATTTCGTATTAATCGATCCATAAATAAGATTTTTTTTGGAATCCATGGTTTTTTGGTCCACGGTCCACTTGATGGCAATAAAAATTATTCAATACCGTTTTCGAAGAAAAAATTCATTCAAATCGCTCCAAGCGAATTTTTTGGAGAATTTATTGCTCCAAGATTTTTAATATTCGGCTTTGTCGGATATTTCATATAAAAAAAATTTGTGTGAAGAATTTCAGCATAAAACAATAACAAATTTCGGTGTTTTGTTTCTGTCCTCTATCAATAATTCCACACGAAGTTTTCCACATTAGAATCCCAATAAGGCCGATTATGTTGATCCCAGCAGCGAGAATTTAGATATGAGATAAATTAAAAAAATCATAGTAGACTTAAAGGGAACTTATTATTATCATATCTTAATTAACACAATTCCATCATTAAACCACTAAATATATTTTTCAAAATCAATAAAAAGGAAAGTGGAAAACGTTGCCTACATTTAGGCGGACACTGGAAAAGTCGCCTAACTGAGGAAGAGAAAAAGTTATAAGCATCTTAACTATATACAATATATATTATATAATTAAGACAAATACTTTCTTTGTAATAAAAATGTGCAGATACCATACAAAGTTTGTTTTTGTAAACAAGGTGAAAGATAGAGCGTCACTTGTTTAAAATTAATAACATGAAAACTCATTGAACACTAATAATTACTATTAAAACTTATTTCTATTTATTTATGTGGAAACGACTGTGAATATTTTTCAACAAACTACAACAAAACACAGTTCGAAGGAGGCGACATCAAACTCGACCGTAAAGTAGGCGTCTTTGTCACTATGAATCCAGGCTATGCCGGCCGTACCGAGCTGCCCGAGTCGGTGAAGGCGCTCTTTCGCCCAGTGACCTGCATCAAACCGGATTTGGAGTTAATCTGTTTAATATCATTATTCTCAGATGGATTTTTAACGGCCAAGGTAAGCAGCGACAGCAGCAGCAGCAGCGCCAACACATGCACAACGCGCTGGCTTTATTAGCACTAAAATTTTAAATGCCATGCCATAGAGTGCAGTGTACTGTTGCTTTAAGTGCAGCCTATACAAAGTTGCTAAACAACAAAAACAACAACAGCAAAACTAATATTAATAACAAAAAGGAGAAGAAGAAGAACAACAACAACTACCATGTTGTTACCTAACAAAAATGTACGTCATTAACCTTTAATCACTTGAAGTTGCCAATGTCAACTTATTGTTGTTTCAACATCATGTTGTTGTTGTTGTTGTTGTTTCTCCCAAGCACCTTTTAACCACCACACAGTGATTGCTCCATATGCTTATGTCATAACACAATGTCATCATAACACAATATAATGCGATTATTAAGTTGCCAAAAATGTGGTTACCAAAGCAAGCACTTCCACACGCAACGGACGGTGCTGCTGGTGGTGCTGGTGATGGTGGTGATGGCAATAACAACAATGTTGCCGAACGCATACGCCAACAGAAGCAAATCGCAAGCAGGAACCGCTATTGTTTGTGCAATAAAAGCTGATTTTATGCACCCACAGGCACACACTCACACCCACACATACAAGCATGAGCAAAGTTACATGCAAACATAGCATCACACGGCACCGTTCATACAAAACTAACTGCTCCTTTCACTCTCAACGCCAACATTAAATATAAAGTTTAATTAATAATTCGAAATAATAATAATACTAATAATAATAATAACGGTTATTATTTCTTTTACAGGTACTGGCAAAGAAGATGACTGTACTCTATAAGCTCGCTGAAGAGCAACTCTCCAAGCAATGTCACTACGATTGGGGTTTGCGTTCGCTAAATTCGGTGCTGCGTATGGCAGGTGTAATGAAGCGAGCTTCGGAGGATCTACCCGAGGCGGTGGTGTTGATGCGTGTATTGCGTGATATGAACTTTCCAAAGTTTGTCTTTGAGGATGTACCATTGTTTTTGGGTCTTATTAAGGTGAGTAGATTAACAAGCACACGCATTCGTATACAAACATTTACATATGAACATATATGTGCGTACTTATGTTTGTACACTCTATTGAAGGTCGTTTTTTATTAAAGTGTCGGAAGCTTTAAGCTCTTATCAAACAGAGCCACGGTAGTAGTATATAATTGTGAATACTAGGTTTTTTAATATGATTCAGAAGGAACATTTAAATATAAATATAAATACCTCTGTATGTCTATCGAAACATCGTACGCTACATACATTGAAACAAGTTTTATATAGCAAGAATAGTAGATTTCATTGAAAAGCAGGCTCGTTGAACCGTATGTGTGTAAGCTTGTTTATTTATGCTTGAATATGAGTGAGCATAGACAGATTCCCTGCAGGGTAAAATACTAGTTGCAAACTAGAATCCAACTAGTTTGCATTCTCGTACTTACCTGCTCATTTTCCAAATATTTCCCATGTAAGCAACGAATAACTTTAATACGGCGATGTCCTACCAATTGTCCTCTCAACTGTCTGATGATACATCAGCTTCATACTAGTTATATACCAGTTTATTTGGGCATGGTAATCCTAAAACTCAACTTCAAACCCAGCGCGCAACTTTACTAGGCGAATAGGTTTATATTTTGCACACATTTTGATAGCGACCCGCTTTGCACACCCGCTCGCAGCCACAACACTGATGAACAGCCTCTGTAATGGAACTTCAGCGAACCTTTAAATAGAGCATATCGGTCCCGTGACTGTAACTACATGCCCAGAAGCTTGATAACAGCCGATTATAACCTAGAAGGAAATATCTTCTGTCATAAAATGAACAGTCATCGATTCATGACTTTCACTGATAACTTTCGCGTCTCTTGGAATGGGAGGACCAACAACAACGTCAGACTAGTAATGTAACGTAAAATCACTCTTGCCATAAAATCCTTTTCCACGCACAGAGACCAAACTCTACAAGTCCCTCATCATTCTAGTCGATGCCACGGTGCGCTTTAGCTATGCTACACTATAACTTTGACAGTTCTCGATGAGGCATCTATCGGTGGAAGCAGAGGAAAAGCAAGAGCAGACTACACTGTTTCCAATTGGAGCTCAAGTCGAAGATGGACATCAGCAAAGACAAAATACGATATATATATATAGTTTTCCTGCGAGAAAGGCGAAAACACAAGTCAGCCAGCTAAAGATGTGAAGCGAATTTATGGTTCTGAAACAATCAATCATCCACAATTATGGTTTTGTAATTTCAATGTAAAAGATGTTCCACGGTGTGGAAGGACAGCAAAATCGACCCATTTCAGAAGCGCATGGTAACTGATGTTTAAAAGTGGATCTGTTACACTGAAAATGACCAAGCTCTTAATTCCTTTAAGACCTGTTCTCTCTTCAATTGGACCGTTTGGCGGTAGCAATGGCATAGAAGTGCCGAGCTTTGACCAACAAAGGATGTATTGTGTTTCATCAGGACAACACCAGACCCCATACGCTGATAGCGACTCGCCAGCAGTTCCGAGAGCCAAACTGACAAAAAGTTATAGAGCAAAGCTTTGCATATCTCACATGAATCGGATAATTCTAACTATGATAAATAAAGCCTTCAATTTAATACAAATAAAATGGATTACTTTTTACTATATCTACTTAAAATAATTTTTTGGAAAGTAAAATAAGTTTTTGGGCGACTTTTTCCCCCCATCAGTTCCTAGCACACAGAATAAATTAAAAGTTATAGTAATTTTTTTGTACATAAAGTGGCATTCAGAGAATATTTTAAAAGCGATTTTGAAGATCTGTGGCTAAGGGCACCGTTGAAGCATTTCTACATCTCTTTTTGTTAACAACCTCATTGATAATTAAATATTTTCTATTGAATACAACAAATCAGACTTCTCTGAGATCAACGACATTGAGACACTTTAGGCTTGAAAATAATAAATAATAAAGAGACCAGCTGAAGAGCAACCCGGCATAAGGCGTAATAACGATATCGCCAGTCGAGCGAGAGTAAAGCGATAGCAAGAAATCATCAGTTAGTAGTAAAAGCCTCAGTGTAACCTTTCCTGCGGGGTATTCTTATTAAGTTTTCATATTTATACAAAGGTGTACACACCTCGAATACTTCCGCCATTGTTGCTTGTCATTATGGCTTTAAAGCTTCACTAATCACGCTCCCGGCGTAGTTTCTGTGCTTTTGTGCAAGTCGAAATTGTAATTACAGAAATTTTAATGATTTTTGTAAATGCCGTAAGTACTTTTGTCAAGATGTTAGCATCTGCGTGTATGTACATACATAGATATTATTTGTGCAAGGCTTATTATTATCGAGGCAAACTTGTGTGGCAACCCAAAATGTTATTTGCAAGAAAGTTTCAAAATTTGCAAATTTAATATTCAGCTTTCGTTTATTGTTGCAACTTGTTATTGGCTTTTATTGGAGCAGCAAATGTTGGAAGTTGATTTTAAATTATTTTTTTCACTATCTTCTGAAGATATTTCGTATTTTAATTTTGTAATTTAATTTCATTTATCCGTTACAGGATTTATTCCCTGGCATAGACTGTCCACGTATCGGTTATCCCGACTTCAATGCTGCTGTGAGACATACTCTCGTTGCCGATGGCTATGTGCTACTGGCAGATCAGGTAAGACATACTTTAAAGATGATAATTTTACCCTTTTTTCATTTTTCGTTTGAGAAAAAAATGATCAAAATATTAATTTCCTTCAACTACTTAAGCTGCGCTAAACTCTTGACTGACACTTTTGAAGAAGTTCTTTCTCATGTCAACAGCTTGACACTTCAGCACTCTCTCAAGAAGACAGACAAAACTGCAACAAGCAATTCTTTTGAAGCCGCTACGAATACAGCGATTTTCACTGAAACTGTCCGTCCGACAAGAATTTTAAGTAGAACACCGCAATTTCGAGTTATGTCAGTCAGTGACCACGGACAAGTGGTCGCTTTAGGAATTTTGTGAATGGTGTAAAGAAAAAATGTGGACAGCGCGAAAAATATGACAGTGTAAGCCAAGCCAAGTAGAGTAGAGACAAAGTAGATGGTGTAGTTGAGCGTAAAAGAGCGCAGAATAATGTCCAAAGCCACTTTGAAGCTATCCAGCTGTAGGGCGTTTGTTTAAACACTTCAGTCGTTATATTCTAGCCAACTCTGAGCAGCTGTCCACAACTGCGCTACACCGTTAGAGCTTGACGGATATTACTGACACTTTGACGCGCTTTTGAGCAAAGAAAATAGCGCACTTAAGGAAAGGAACATTTAAAAGAAGTTTTTGCAGATATCTCCTGGAAAATTAATAAAAATAAAAAAATTTGACTAAATAAAATAATATAAAATTCACTAAAACCCAAAATAAATAAGACAATAACAAAAATAAATGGCAGATGAAATAAACAAAATATGAAATGTAAATTGAAATTTGATTGAATTAAAATAAAATTTACCAAAAAAAAAATAACAAATTATGTTAAGCTAAAATATATTTAGTAAAATAAATATATATAAAATAAAAAAAAATAAATTTAAATGAAGTAATACAAAATAAAATGAATTGAAAAGGAAAATCAAGTAGTAAAATAAAATAAAATAGAACAAAATGAATTAAAGTTAAATACAAAAATAAAATATAAAGTTAAATAAAATGAATCAAAATACAATAAAAAATTAAATACATAAAATATGTAAAATAAATAAAATTAAAATAAAATAAACCCAAAAAAAAATAACTAAAATAAAATATACGAAAAAAAAAATTAAAAACGAAAATAAAATTAAACAAACGTAATAAAAAAAGATAAAATTAAAAAAATATTTCAAACTAAAATAAATTTAATTACATAAATATAAAAAAATAAATAAAAAAGTTAAATGAATTGAAATAAAAAAACAAAAATGAGCTAAAAAGGAAAATCAAGTAGTAAAATAAAATAAAATTAAACAAAGTGAATTAAAGTTAAGTACAAAACTAAGCTGTAAAACCTAATAAAATAAGTCAAAATAAAGTAAAAAATTAAATTAATAAAATAAGTTAAATAAATAAAATTAAAATAAAATAGACCACAAAAAAATATTATTAATAACAAAAAAAAAATAACTGAAATAAAATATATGCAATAAAAAAATAAATTAAAAGAAAATTAAAATTAAAATGAAAATAATAATCAAAGGAAAATTAAAAAATATAAATTAAATTAAATGAAAATTATAATAATAATAAAATGAATAAAAAAATAATGAAAACTAAATTAAATAAAATTTATTAAAATAAATTAAATAAAAATTAAAGTTAAAAAAATAAAATAAATTTAAATAAATTAGAATAAGTTAAAACAAAATAAAAAAATTAAGAAAATTAAAATGAAACAAAAAAGTCACAGATTAAAAAAATTAAATTGAAATAAATTAAAAAAATAAAACAAATAATAAATAAAAATAAAAAAAAACTAAAAAATATTTAATAACTCGATGCAAGTTTTTCATATCCCTGTTTTCTAACAACCTCTTTTTTAAACTAAATACAAATCATTCATCGCCATCACTTAACCTGCAACGTTCATTTGCAACTCATGAACACCTCAACTGGTCAACTACAAAAATGGATGCCTGTGAACCTACTGCACTTTAATGACTTGACATGCACAACTTTCTTCCGCTCCCATCGCCTACAACACCCTCAAAATGCAGGAAGATAAAGTGGTGCAAATGTACGAGACCATGATGACCCGACACTCGACTATGATTGTTGGACCAACAGGTGGTGGCAAGACTGTCGTCATAAATACACTAATTAAAGCTCAGTGCCACATGGGTCTGCCCACCAAGTGCACCGTACTTAACCCCAAGGTGAGTTTAACGTTACTAACTTACTTATACTTTATATCTATATATATTATATATATAGTACATCAGCAGCCGTACAGCGAAGATGCAGCAGCAATTTGAGTAAAATCATAACGGAAAAAGAATACAAAAAAATACAAAAATATTCAACTTGATGAAATTCACAAAAATAAATGGAAAAAAAGGCGTTGAGTAAAAGTATTCAACAAAAATGAGCAACAAAAATAACCACAGCATGAAATGCATGAAAAAGATTTGCAGTCGCTTGTTGCTGCTATTAGCTGAGGCAACTGCTTTCTGGCTTCAATGGCTTTTGTATCTTTTGTCTTTGAACCCACTGACCACTGACGGCCCAACGACCAGCCGGCTAACGGGCTAACGGGCCAACGGGCCATGCACCAACCAAGCAACTGACAAACCAACCAACCAACATCCAACAAGCCAACCTTGATGCAACTACCCAGCGATGTGGCATGTTGTTGAGGCTGCTGTTGTCTTTTCACCAAAGCAGCAACAACAGCAGCAGCGCCGCCTTTGTCATTTGTCCGGTCGGCTTCCGTTAACACTCGCTCAGCTTAATGTCCCCTTCCTTCAAGCCTTCAAGACTTCACGCTCCTCACACCCCTTGCGACCGGCACAGTTGCTCACAAGAGAGCTTTTTTTTTTACTTGTACAAAACAGTATTTGTTGTTGCTTTGTGGCGGATGGTAGCTTGTAAAGGTGGTTCCGGTTATTAGCCGAGGATTTTGTAATTTGCGTAATTGCATTTGCAACCTTCCAACACGCGTCCAACAATTGCGAGCAAAGTAGAAAAGTAGAAAAGTAGAAAAGTTTCATGTTTCATTTATTTTTCATTTCATTTTATTTTGCACATTTAATTACTAAGGCCCATTATGGGCAATGAATTGAAATCACAATGCCGCTGTGTGGGTGACTGTGTGTGTAATAAAACACAGATCTACTTCCAAGTGAATGCCGTTCGATTGGAAATTGAAAATGCAAAAAATGGAATTTCAAGAGAACGCAATTTTATTGTAAAAGTTTTTCTGTTTTCTTTTACATTAATTGGAATGCAATCGAAGGCGCTTAAGAATTAATCACTAAATTATAGAAATATCATAATTATCACTATTGTGTTTATTCTATTGTATTTACTTCCTTTTAGTGTTAAAGTACATAGCACAGAAGATGACTTCCCATTAAAGCACCAAAGCACTGGTCCCAAGGTATCAACCTATGTTCTTCAAGGATAGGATGGTTGATTATTCCAATACAAAAGGCCTTTGTGAATGCTGTCGGCTTTCAGCAAAACTTTTAAATGTCTCCGTATATATTTCGAAAAATAAACTTAAAGTTTCTCATAGAAAACCATCCACTGGTTGGAAGCATTTGTAATGTGTATATTTTATTCGCCCATCGGAGCCAAGTCCTTGTGCACGTGATATACCCATGTCGGTGGCATACTTCCACTTTCCTTACCTCTAACAGCGCTTACTATATCAATTGCCTTCGAATCTGGACTATTTTCATCTCAGGCAAGCAGTTTGGGCATTTGTAGCAGTGACACATGTTGGACATGTTTCTGTTCGGTCTTAGCTAGACCTCGTTTCAGATATCTCGAGGCTTCGCAATTCAAAGGACTATAGGACATTTCAAAGTCTCTGTTGCACTTCGCCAGAGATGTTAACGTCCCGTACGATATATATTTTAGATCACTTTTAAATGGATCTCCAACTGGTATTACAAGATACCAAAGAATCTATATAAGGCTCGTCAGCCGGTCAGTGTTACTTAACCTGATCTAAGCATATTAAGGAGTCCCCAAAAGTGACTGAAGCTGTGAAAATTATATGCTGTTTGATTTTTATAAGGAATAAATATTGCTCAATTTAATTACTAAATAAATATATTAATAAATGCGCTTTCGGCTACCATCAACATCGCAGCAGAGTTGTTGTCCCATCTTAAATAAGTTAGTATTTAACTTTTTACTTATTTATTTATTTCAGTTGTATTATTTATGCCTCTTTCATATGGAAAATCAATTTAATAATGCAGTTCGAAAACATGTCTACCGCTACTTACGCATGCATTTCACTCTTTTTTGAACATTTCTTTCCTTCTGATATTTTTTCGGAGCATATAAAAATAAATTTGATTTCTTTCAATTTTGCATATTCCAATTTTATTTAATTCGACGCCGCTATTTGCAGCCGCAATTTTTTTATTACCGAAACATTCCCTGCTATTATTATACGGGCCAGAATCGGTGAGCGGCGACGATGATGTCGACGTTGACTATTCAATAAACATCATACTTCAATGTGCTGTTATTAATACAAAACGCTTGTGGTTGTTGTGTGTGTTTTTTATGCAAATGTTGTTGTCTATCCTAGTTATGGGTGTGTGTGTGCAGTAAGTATGCGTGTGTGTATATATGTATATAATAAAATTGCATAACTTTTGGGCATAATGCACGCATATGCATTTATGTACGTGTATGTGTATATATTATATACGAGTATAGTTATATTGAGCCAACCTGCAGGACGATATCTGATTTTTGAAAGCATTGAAAAATTTTAATATATGAAACCAAAAGTTTTCCTACTGGGTGCCCACACATAAATACGACCATATTTATTTAATAACGCTCTTATCTGTATGTGTGCATTGGCCTGTCGCTGCGCTGTGCTGTATGTTGATTTGTTAAACTTTTTTTCTTCTTTTCTTATCATTGATTTCGTTGGATTTTTTATCGTTGTTTTTGCGCTGCTGCTTTTTTTTCGGCTGTCAATCGATTTTATTTACAATTTTTCGTTTACCTTAATTTTGATGCGAATAATTTTTATATTTATTGCAGGCCTGTTCGGTAATCGAATTATATGGTTACCTCGACATGGATACACGCGATTGGATTGATGGATTATTTTCGAATATATTTCGTGAGATGAATAGGCCGACTGAACGAGAGGTAAAGTGAAATACTAGACAATGTTGGCTTGTCAGAACACATGAGTGTGCGAGTAGATATAAAAATATGCATACTTTTTGATAATACATACAGAGCACCTACAAACAGAAAACACTTTAACTACTATTATCAGTTACGTTACGGTTTAAAAGGAAATTGCATGCGTATGCTATGATGATGCACAGTGGTTATTGGATGCAAAGAAGCATTTGAATTTTTAGTGCATCTGGCTTATGATGTGTATTAATCATATGCAAATTATATGAAGTTATTTGAAAAAAATATGAAATGAGATGTGAGGATATGACGTATAACGTAATTGAAGATACGATGTGATGCGATATGATAATAATAGCATAATGGTATGATATCATATGACATAAAAAAATTGATTGATGTTATATGATATGATAAAATATGCTGTCGCATCACATCATATAAAACTATGTCTTATGATATGAGCCGATGTGATATAATTTGATATGTTATGATGTCATATGATATGAGTTGATGTGAAATAATTTGATGTTATGTTGTCATATGATGCGATATAATATGATATTATATGTTCTGATGTCATAAGATATGATATAATTTGATATGTTATGATGTCATATGATATGAGTTGATGTGATATGAATTGATATTTTATAATATCACAAGACATGGTATAAATTGATATATTATGATGTCACACGATATGATATAATTTAATATGTTAGGATATCACATGATATGATATGATTTGATATAATTTGATATGTTATAATGTCACAAGATATGATATAATTTGATGTATTATGATGTCACAAAGTATGATATATTGTAACTTGATATGTTATGATGTCATATGATATGATATGATGTGATATAATATGAAGTCACTTGATATGATACGATGTGATATAATTTGATATGTTGTGATATTTCATGATGTGATGTGATCTACTTTTGATTTTATGAGTTTGATTGGATATAATTCCGTACGAATCATATATATGATATAACATGTTTCGTTGTAATGTTATATGCTTTGATACGTATGATATGAATGAGGATAAGATTATGATATGATATGGTGTGTATAAATTAATACTATAAAAAGAGATATGGTCTGATACATATGCTATGATGTATGATACGATATTAAATGCTGTAAAATAATGTGATAGACCGCTATATAGATGAGATAATATGGCAGTGAACGATGTGCTTTGCATGAAATAAGCACTTGATAAGATGCAATAAAGATACCACCAAATAATTGGGAAAAATTAGGTTATGGTGAGATCAGTATAAAATCTGTCATATGATATAGCTGAGATTTTGTAAATATAGTCATGTGTAATGAAATTTGAAGTGATGTGATGTAAACTCATGTGATGAGATCCGGCGAAAAGATGAAATTTAATAAATATTTTGAACTGATACGATAGTAATAAACGACTTTGGCAGATCTTATTGTGTAAAATGATAAATATATAGTCAATATTCCAGCATTTCTTGAGAGTTTCCCTCGACTGAACTAACTGCCTGACACACTGTAACATATGGCTGAGTAACGTCAAGTGCGTTCACTATTATTTCCGCAGCTAATTTACCAATACACACCCATATATAGATATATATATTTATATGTTTTAACCAACGCACATTATTGTTGTCTTTTACATTTAAAATTTTAACGTGTAATTTTTGTATGCAACGACTGCTGCCGCCGCTGCGTATGAATGCAGCAGGTGCAAATTTGATTGGCACATTTCGACTTAAAATTGATTGACGCTCGCATTTTTGATTGTGAATTGTGAATTTTGATGTGCAATCGCTGTTACAACAAAATAAAACACACGCATACGCACTTAAATGAAAAGCGTAAAAATGAAGCAAATAAAATTAAATTGAAAAATCAACGCGGCAAACCACTGCATCACCACATGTACCTGGTGAAAAATCAACGCCTAATCCTTGTGCTATGGCAGGTGAATTCCTTGAACGTCAGCGATCACATTTTCCGTTATGCACTATTATTCATTGTGAAAATCTAAAAGACACTGTAAAGATTTTATGTCAATGTCAAATGCATTGCTCTGAGCTAAGCTGTGCTGTGCTTTTGCGTCTTGGCTTTAGCGGCCTTACCAGCTAAGCATGTGCCTGTCACATTGTGCCACTTGCAACATGCCACATCTTTAAGAAAATGCACTTTGATGCTCGCTAGCTGGCGATTGTTTGTGCGCTGAAGTGAGAACCGAAAAAAGTTGATAAACAAAGCGGATAGGAAAAGGAAAGAAAATACGAAGGAAGAGCTGGGTCGTTCTAAGGCTAGTTGTATAAAAGGCATAGCTTTCAACCAATTTGGCTCGGACTTTTATCAAAGTCAGTTCAGACCATAAATGATCTATATATGTAATTTTGTTCTAATTCATGGAGGGGTTATTCAGTTCGAGCAGATTAGATTTAATCGCATGCAAGTTTCGGCTATCGTATTTTACTCAAATAACATTATTCCTTGCTGTTCTACTTCAACAGTTCTTAAACTCACTTTTAGAAAATTGAATTTGAAAATTGGCGATGCTTTTTGATGATTTGAGGCTGTATAGATATATTACAATAAATATTTTAGAGTTATGGTTCTCCGTACTCTTCGCGATTCCATAACGTTGCACACGAAGTATCTCGCTCAGTTATCTTTGCGCCCAAGAAATGTTTGCCCCGGAAAGCTTCATATGTTCAGCATTTATCTTCTTGAAAAAAGTTCCAACTGCGTTATTTAAGTGGCTTTCAATCCTTACTTTAGCTTGAGGTCTTCTTGGAAAATCTGGTCCCTTCTATTCTTAATAAGGAGATACATGGCCGTTACAGTTTACTACCAGACTTATTATACTCTTACAAAGTCTACCAAAAAGGAATTTTGCATTTGTAAGATTAGCGTGGTATACTTCCTTCCAAAATTCTGCCCTCGGCGAGATATGGATGTTCCAATATAATAGTGATCCCTATTATGGCTTCTTTAACGCAGCCTATGAGCCGACTCTGATTTCATAATTGCTGTGTTGAATCCTTTAATCTTGAATAACTAATCCTTCAAGTTCTTCGCTCAACAAACAGACAGATTAGCACACCCGGGGAATGCACATCGTTTTCGTTTCATGCATTCGTTTTTCTGAGCATGTTGTAGAACAAAGTTATTGTACCCTCCGCAACGAGATGAGCGTCGCTAAAAAAGTTACCAAGCTCTGATTCCCGACACGTCGAAGTCAAGACCATTTCGATGTTGTCTTGCCAAGCCGCCACTGCGTTGAGACACTTGCCCCACATTGTGCCCTATCAGAGCTGACGTATGGGGGTGTTTGGCCCTTATATCACGCTGCCACAGAGCGACATTCTTGTACCGTTGTATTATATGTGCGAGTATTTGTGTGTGTCGCTCCAGAGCACAGTGGCCACATCATCAGCCGAGTGGAAATCACACTCGCAACTCGCGGCGCCGCTAATAAATCCCGAAGCGGCACAGCTGCTATTCTGACACTCACCCGTCGTGTGACAAGCGTATCTTTGACGGGCTTGCCAGGTACATGCACACACACACATGCAAGGTATATCAGCCGCTAAGTGAAAAAAGAAATGTTGCATATGATTGCAATGTCAATCACAACAGATGAGCAGGGGGACTTGTAAGCATACATACATACATATATACATGCAAACGACCTTACACTGGCTTAACAACAACTACACACTATATAAATATTATAGTTGCTGGTAAACTAGCGCTCAGCACCCCTCAGCTCACCCAATTTCGTTCACTCGCCTCGCCTCAGGTCGTCGCTTTTCAATACCGTCACACCAACGATATGAGAATTCATATATATATGTGTGAGTGTGTGCCATTAGTAACATCGGTTACATGGGGCATCATGTGCCAAGTGGCAAGTGGCAAATGACAAACTAATACAATCAGCCTAATGCATGCATCTACTGCGGCGAGCCTTCTACGTTCATATATACATACATACATACACACACATATTCACACGTATATATCTATTGCTATTTTAACTCAGCGATTTGTTGTCATGCACTTCCTTTAATCGACAGGAACGACGTTATGTCTGCTTTGATGGCGATGTGGACGCGCTGTGGATTGAGAATATGAACTCGGTTATGGATGATAATAAGCTGTTGACATTAGCGAATGGCGAACGCATCAGATTGGAAAGCTACTGTGCGCTGTTATTCGAGGTGAGTGAAAGCATCAACATTCAAATGTACACACATACATGCAAGCGTACTTACATACAATGTATGTAAGTATTTATAATGTAACCGTAAACTTTGAAGGACATACCAAATTTGATGGTGTGTGTGTGAAGATTTTTTATTAACTAATGTGCGCTTATGTATGTAGGTGTGTGTGTGTGTGTGAGTGAAGGCCTTCAATGACGAGCTGCAGGTGCAATTATTATATATTTACTGATTGTCAGTGCAGCTCCACACAAACACACACACGTACACGCCGAGAAAAGACCAAGAAGGCATTTATGTAGGCTCGAAGATAAATGGTGATGTAATGAAAATTCGCTATTTCGCGTAAAGTGTATATTTTCCTGCTCTCCAATAAGTGCATCAAGATTCACTCTGAAGCAAAATACAGTAAGATGGAACTAAGCATATGAATTTCTCGTGAAAAATGTGGCAAAATAAAAGCTTGACACTTCGTAGTCGCTTAAACGATTTTTTATGTGTGATGTATTTTCCTACCAAAGAAGAAGACTGGAGTTTTAGGTCACTTCAAAATGATTGATGGACTTTTATAAGAAACTTTAACTTAAGAAAACAAAATTCAGGAACTCAAACTCCATTATTTTTCATTTACTTGCATTCAGTTAATTATCCGAATCTACTTTCATGTAGAGATATATTGGGTTACCCAAAAAGTAATTGCGGATTTTTTAAAAGAAAGTAAATGCATTTTTAATAAAACTTAGAATGAACTTTAATCAAATATATAATTGCCATTTTGTTCGATAACCTTTTGCCATCTTCCTGGCAAAATTAGTAT